TTTCAAAGAAATACAAATGTTGGACAAAGAAGACACAGTAGCTCATCAAGGCTGATGGCAGGGATAGTTCAGTAGAAGCAGCAGCAGCCATACACATTTTGAGCACAGTTCACAAATAATGTTATAATGCAATCTTATACAATACGTATTTCCACAAGCCCCATAGAATTCAGTGTGACCTACTCCATACCATATAGTTTTGGGGGGCAGGAAAGTGGGACATCAGCATGCTCTTTCTCCTGCCTCCCTCATTCAGTCCAAGAAAGGAGATTCCAACTAAACATCTGGAAGAACTTTCTGACAGTAAGAGCTGTTTGACAGTGGGACAGACTCCTACGAGAGGCAGTGGACTCTCCTTCATCAGAACTTTTATAGCAGAGGCTGGATGGCCATCTGTCATGGATGCTTTAGCAGAGATTCCTGCATTGCAGGAGGTTGGACTAGATGACTCTTGGGAATCATTCTACAATTCTGCGATTCTATGAATAGAAGTGCACCGCTGGTCAAATCAATCCTAAACATGTTTACTTGAATTAGCTATTTTTACTAGATTTTTTTTTTTTTTTTTAAGTTTCAACCAAAGCGGAAGAAAGGTGGGATGTAAAATGTAATGAAAGGGAAGGGAAGGGAAGCTGCCCAAGTAGCCATGGAAGGAGATAAAAAGAACAAGGATGCCTCACTAGTTCTCTGCATTATTTGGCTTTTGGGGGGTCTCAGCTGCTCTACTTTCCCCTGCAGGGTCTTCCTTCTTTCTTGATTAATTTTGTCATGCTTTTTACACATCACAGGCCAGAGCCCAATAGCATCTGGAGCTCATCTTTTTGAAAAGGAGGGTTTGTCCTGCACATCACAAATGCACACACGACTTTTGTGATCAGCAGCTTAAAGCTGGGCTGTTTCTACCTTTTCCACTGTTAACAGATGTCAAAAACTGTTAAATGCCATGTTTTGACTAAAAATGAAGGTGCTTCTTTTCAATTCAGAACTGCCATTGTGTAATTACAACAACGTAGACCACATGCAGTGGTTTCAGGTGTACAACCAGTTGGCATGGTAAAACCAGTTGGCATGGTAAAAACCAGTTGGCATGGTAACAACCAGCAAGCTTAAAACTGCTCCCCTTATGAATGTCTTTAAGGCACTGTTTACTTGTTGGGATACAACAGACTGTTCATTTTTCCAGAGATTGCTATATTCCTTCTCAAGAACTTAAAGCTGTCTCTAAGTAGGGATGAGGGGGGAATTGTTATGTGTGTGGATTTTCTTACAGATGACAGCTATTGCTGTGGGTAGGGACACTCTTGCACTATAGTGCAATAAAAGGAGGTCAAACCTTCTCCAGCCTCCTCTAACATACATGTGAGTTTTCATGGGGCAAAGTGAATTGTGAAGGTTCTGAAAAACAACAACAAGGAATGGTGGGGTGAGCAGAATCCCTACCCTTCACCCAGTATTCCCACTCTTCTCTGTTCGCTCCGAGAGCTACATTTCAGCTGCTGCCAGAATTTAAACACACTTTTGCATCACTTTGCACCCGAGACCTTGTGGCTACTGTAAAGAAATTAATGCCCCACACTGATGAGAGTATGCCATTTTATTTAATGCTATCACTCATAACCTGATGAGGTTAATTTATCACACTGGGCTGTATTTCGCTTTATTTATAGCCTCAGAACCCCACCCCCAGCTCATTGCGCATTTGTTATATATTTGTTGGTCACATCTGTATTCTGCCCAGAGACTGCGAGACAGTGACTTGCCCAAGGTAACCCAGTGAGGTCCTGACTCTGGGTGAAAGTAGATACTGTAGGCATGTAGAGGATTTCATAAACCATAGGATGAAGAGAAGGGGTAATGCATGCAACTGTACACTGAATAAACTAAGGCTAGTTACTTCCACTGAAAACTGGGAATGGGCACCGGGGGGGCTCTGTGTGTAAGCCATAGTGATAAATATTTTCAATAAAAAGGCAAGTTTTAGTTTTGCTGCTGAAATGTCCAACACTGCAAGGTTTACTTAATTAGTTAAAAAGCTTCTCAAACACCTTTTTCATCTTCAGACATACCAGGGTGGTGGGTATACAAAAGTAAAGAAAAAACAATTTTTTTAAAAAAAACACCAAATTGATTAAGGATAAAACAGCGTCACTACCATAAAAAAAATATAGTGCAGTGAAGAGAGCAAGCAGAACAGATGTTATTATGTTGTCTGCACTAAGTGATGTCACCCTGGCCACGATTGAATATGTTCGTGTTTTGTCATGTAAGCTTGCCCCTCAAATCCTCAATATTCTTTGCAACTAGCTAGGGCTATCAGAAAGTATTTGCCAGCAGTTTCTCTCTTGTGGGGGAAAAAAGCCTTAATAATGGTAGGGAGCTGTATTTAATCCCTTCAGAAAATCGCTTGCTGTACACAAACAAAATATTTCTGGGCTAACATTGCCTTGCTGATCTTTATAAAAAAAAGAACAAAGGAGAGGGGCAACCTTCCCACACCAGTAAACACATAAACTGAACTGTAATGTAGAGTAAAGGTAAAGGTAAAGGGACCCCTGGCCATTAGGTCCAGTCATGACCGACTCTGGGGTTGCGGCGCTCATCTCGCTTTATTGGCCGAGGGAGCCGGCGTACAGCTTCCGGGTCAGGTGGCCAGCATAACTAAGCCACTTCTGGTGAACCAGAGCAGCGCACGGAAACGCCATTTACCTTCCCGCCGGAGCGGTACCTATTTATCTACTTGCACTTGACATGCTTTTGAACTGCTAGGTGGGCAGGAGCTGGGACCGAGCAACAGGAGCTCACCCTGTCGCGGGGATTCGAACCGCTGACCTTCTGATTGGCAAGCCTAAGGTTCAGTGGTTTAGACCACAGTGCCACCCGCGTCCCATGCTAATGTAGAGTAGTTCCCCCCAATGATTATATTTGTTAAGATGATTCAAAGACACTTTATTGGCGCATATCAGCAGGCCAAAGAAAGGCATCAGAGTGAAGGAAGGCAAGATGAGGTGAAGAAAATGCAATGGAGAGCCTGGCAAAAACTGTTCCCTAGTTCTAGTAAGCCTGGCCAGGACACCTCTACAGGGTTAGGCAACGGAGTTCCCCTGCCTCTTCTTCTCCCTGTACATGCTCTGTGCCCACCACAAATCTGCTCCAAAGGGTTGAAGGAAACCCCCATGCCCCATATATTTTAGGGGCACACAGGGGCAGGAGGGGGGAATTCCACTGAATGTTTGACTTAGTGCAAATGTGGATACAAGCCATTGCCGTGTTAGTCACGTCACAAATACCGGTAAATACAAAGAGTGCAAATCTGATAAGCAAATCTGCTTATCCTACCCAGAATATGTTTTCCCTTTAAAAAAGGTAAAACATGAATTATGTTCAGTCAAATAATTTGCTATTAAGGGCATGTTGGTAGAGACACCGGTGTGCGAATGCTTACTTTCTATTCTAAAAGTTTATACCTCTGGTATATAAAAATTGTGGCTTTGAAATGTCAAGTGGCATTATAGAGAAGGTTAGCTTCTTGCCACAAGTATTCTAGGACACACATGTCAGAAACTGTTCAAGGTGGTTGTAAGGTCATGCCTATAAATAAACAATTCAAGCTCTGATGCAAATATTCAACAGCTTTCTGGGAATATAGCTAGCACTAAATCCTAGCACTGTTTAAAACTGGAAAACAAGGTGGTCAGTGGTTTTAAGCGACAGGCAACAGACTAAATTAGCTGAAGATAGGTCCTATTGAAATCAGTGGGACCTTGTCATTTAAGATGTTTTGTTAAAGGCATTCCAAGATGCAGGCAAATTACAGCTCTTATGGGCCACAGATGCCTTGTAATACTGATATGATATAGTATTATCCCCCACATCCACACCATACATTTAAAGTACATGGCTGCCCCCAAATAATCTTGAGAACTATAGTTTACCATGGACATGGCTACAATTCACTATTCACTCAAACTACGGTTCCCAAGGTTATTTGGGGGAAGTCATGTGCTTTAAATGTAAGGTGAAGGGTTTTTTGGGGGTGGGGTTACTGTACACTTGCAGGCAAGGACTGTCATTTCACCTGATTGCATGTAAGCCACCCTGGGAGATTTTTTGGCTGAAATGTGGCACATGCGTGCATGCAATAAATAAATAAATATCCTCATTAATAAGAAACACTACACCATTTAAAAGGGCAGGAATTCAAATGTAACTTTGTATGCTTGTTAAATGGCCGATATACTAAGCGAAATAAGATTATTATTGTTGTTGTTAAGCTTATTTATATATTCTGCCTTTCCCCCTGGCAGGGACAAAACTTTGTATTGGTGAAATCCTTGATACTTGTGGATGTTTGTGTGCTTTTTAAATTATATTCCTGCAGCATGGGGATTCATGACAACAAAAATGGGTTTTACAAATTCTGATAGTTGCTGAGAGAGTTATACTTCAAGCCTAGAAGGATATATACCATCTATCTTTTATGAATGGTCTGAAGCCTTTAATGTCCATGAGACATTTGAACATACTTTTTATAAGCACTGACTTCACTAGTTTGGACATTTGGATGGCATACATGTATAAACTAAGATGGATGTGTGGGTGCTTATTGTATTCTTAGTGTAAACTGATGGTTGTTGTTGGGGGCTTTTTCCCCCTTTAACAAATTTGCATAAAACTTTTTTAAAAAAATGATTGGCTGTAGCTGCTTTTCTGCCTATAACAACCAGTTAACATTTGCAAGGGGTCATATTGGTTCCCAAGCCCTGTAATTACCCCAGTTGCACATTGTATGGTTGTGCAGGAGAAGGGCAGGCTGGGCTTTTTAAAAAGGTCAGTTGGTAGGCCTAGCCTTAAAGGTTGCAATAGGAAAAAGAGGAAATCCAGCCGTTAAAGTCTCATGAATTGCCTTTCCTTTTTTCCTGAAAGCTCTCTTGCACCTTTAAAAGCTATCAAACAGAAATACAGTCACTGTGCACATCAGAGAAATTTCCTCTCCCTTTTCTTGCCTCTCAGGCTTTTTCTACCTAAGTCCTGTGATTTCTCCTTCCTGCCTAATTTCACACCTAACTTCCAGATTTAGGCCTGGTTTGTGAGTACCTATGCCTCTCTCATCTCCACTCCTCTCCTTCACACATCCAGACTCTAATTGTGATTTTCCAACCAACTCTCTCTGCCCTTCCTTACTCTCACGCACCATTCCATTCCACCCCTTTCCCCTTTTATCATCTTCCTCTTTCAACATGTTTTGTACTGAGCATGTGCAGGGAACAACCTTATGAAACCCCATTGGCTGACATTTGATTTAAAAGGCATTTTTGTGGTCAAACTACAAACATGTTACATAGCTCATGACACATACTAGACGGTTCCCTTGACCTAACACAACAATTTCCCCAAAAGATATTGTACAATCATCCCCATAAACCATCCCAGCAAAGTTTATGGAAAGAAAATGCAATGTGCCAGCTTCCCAAAGTCCCACATCAGCAGCGAACTTTGGGCTCCCAAATTTCAGTAGTGCCCTGTGCAACATTGAAATTTGGCGCACGCCCCCACCTCTCATGCTCTGTTTTACAGCACTGTTGTGTCGCCCCACCCTAAAACCGCCTCTTTTCTCATCACACAGTTAACTCATTCCAAATAAGCCACTTCTTATCCTATATTCTGCCAAGTTTCAAATCAATCCATTTAACCATTTTCTAACAACAGTGAAATTCAGCCAACTCACCCTTAATACAGACCCATGACTGTGGCCCTATAATAATTAATATTGGCACAGCTAGTGTTCTGATGGTAGGATCTGAGGCCTTAATTCCAGAAACTATGTGGTGTTCAGCAGGTCTTTTTTTCAGCTGGAACTCGCCGAAATTCAGTTCTGGCATTACTCAGGTGGGAGCTATTGCCATTGTAAGAGACAAGGGATGCATTCAGGGGGAGTTCCGGCACCTCTTTTTCTAGAAAAACAGCACTGGTTTTAAGGTTTGCTTCACACAAAAACAACCTCCTGCATTTCCAACCGCACCATATCTTCTGTCACGTTTAAAGGACAGTTGTGTGTCTGAAAACAGATGGAAAATATAATCCCTTGAGATCTACTATAAACTGAAGACAAACGAGTCTACCATGTATTTTAAGACATGTGAATATCAGAGAAATTTTTTTCTTTTTAATAAAAAAAGTAGGTTGAGCAGCAAGTGAAGGGGGGGGGAGCATGTTCCAAAGTTGTTATAAGGTATGAAGCAGTCCTAAGTGCTTTGGGGTAGCAAGAAAATAGTACACCACAGCAAATTCTCCCAAATTTGCATGGTTGACCACTTGTTCATCGTTTCTGCTGGTTTGCACTGAGAGATACAGTGAGATTCCTGCTTCCTACTGCAGTTGAGAGAGAAGGACCAGCAAATGTAGGTTGCAGAGCAGGAAGTTTTAGTGCTTCTGCTGTTGCACACTGCCTCAATGTCGGAGATTTTAAAACAACAGGTATAATCTCTGAATATGGGGTACTGGGGCAGGTCCAGGCAAACAACCTATATTTACAAGTTCATTTAGATGTTGCCCAGTTCCAGTGTCCAAAAGAACACAACTGGATTTTTTTTTTAAAGCTTGCAAGGATTCTCATTTTTAGATGCAGCTATCTTAGATGACTGCCTTTCATTTATAGACATTGACATGCTCACATCCCTTGTGATGCTAATAACAGCATCTTTGAATTTAATGTTACACACTTGAATGCGGCTGACGATGAGTAGGCAGAGAAGATTACGCAGTTATTAGTCACATTACCTGTCAAAGCTGGCAATATGAGCCTCTGGGGATACATCGTACACTTTAAAGATGCAATGTACTTGGAATTTAAGCATATGTGCTTAGAAATGAGCCCTATTTAAATCAACAGGCCTCATAAGCAAGCGTGTGTAAAGATGGACTGTAAATGTTACTGTGCATATAAAATTGGTTACTTTCACATTGCCATGCACTGACTACATTTTATAAGTACCAGATTGTGCATTGGTCTAATTAGGCAGCAAGGTGCGACTGTGGCAGAATTTTCAAGTACCAAATGGAAATAATAATGTGCTGCTATTCTTCCCAAAGCAGTACCATGCAATTTTGTTTAATATTAATCCTCCAAGACTAGATGATTCAGCTATGCACTGAACCAGCTCTTAATTGCATTTTAGGGGAAAGGTTTTTCAAGAATCAGAGTATACAATCCAATGCACTCTAACTTGGAAATAAGACCCACTGTGTTAAATGTGACTCTACCACGTGACACAGAGGTGAGGAACATGTGGCTCTGCATACGTTGTTGGACTCTCTCAGTCCCAGCCAGCTCGAGTTGCAATGCAGCAGCAACAATTATTCTAACTTCAAAGTATGTGCTTACAGATGCAAAATCTCATGTCTACCTGATACAAGACTATAATATTTTATACTGTCACCTAGCATTTCATACTCTGTCAAACCCTCATGCCAATCTAACAAACAGAAAGAAAGAAAAGCAAATGATATTTGCTACAAACTGAATCCATCCACACTGTACACAAATATAGGTATTGTGGCCATTAGTGAGTACATACTGCTAGATCATTGTTTATTGAATGGCACTGAAAGGCAAAATGCCAGAGAGAAAGAGAAGCATGGGCATGAGTGCACTCACACCCTTTAAACAAATCACTGTTAAGAGAAATAGCCCCTGCACAGCACAAACTGCTTAGGTCATCCCTATGACCCTGGTTAACCTCTGAGCGAGAAGACAGCCAACTGGGCATGTGACATACAATTTCAGATCATTTATCAGGAAGGGATAGAGAGATGCCATGGATAGTTGCTTGTGTTACTGGGTTCAGGCTTAAACATACTTAAAACAGAAAAAAACTTTTTTTAAAAAATCACTACTGGTGAACTCAGTGAGGCAAAAGTTAAAAATAAAAAAAACTGACAACATACTTTGAAGTCTCCATTTCACTGCGGACCCCTCAGCCCCATCCCACTCATTAAATAAGCACTCAGATGTTTCCCCAAGATTAACTTATTGTTTGTTTGTTTTTTTGCTTAATCTATTACAATTTGTTAATAGTCGTATTTTTCCAAGGTAAATAAGCCAAGTGTCCAGGCCAGCAGAGGTGGTAAAAACAGAGTCCTGTAACTTGGACTAGACCATCCCCGTCCTTCAAGTGTGGTAAACAGCAGATTGAATTTCAGCTGAAGTTGAAAGAGGAAACAAATACTGCCAAGTGTGGAGACCGTCTTTGATTAGACTTTCACCTCTCAGGGGGTGGGGGAAGTCTCAGTCAATCACTTCAATGGGCACCAGAATGGCAATACTCCGCCACCTGTTTCCAAAGATAGAGGTGTTTGTAAGGTCACACTCTGTCTGGAATAATTCCCTGGTTCTTCTCTGGGAATTTCAGATGCGCTACCCACTCCCACATATGCCTAACTTGCGGAAGGGAAAGAAACACCATAAGCACTGGCCCAGCTGATGATTACACTGCCATGCATTCAGTGGGGTGTCAAAAAGGGGTTGTAGCTGCTTTAAGAATGTAAGCACCTCTTTCAGACACTCCATTGCATGTGTGGCTGAGGCTAGGATTGCAATCACATGGTGGGTGGGACTAGCAGCATTAGTTCATTAATTTCAATGGGTCTACTTTGAGTAGAACTTTGTTTGCTGCCACTCTTAGTACAGACTTTTCTCAGGTTCAGCTGTTTCCAATCTTAAACTCAGTTTGTCATATTTCTGCATCAGCTTGGTTTTTTTTTTTTAAAGATCAGCATTCTAGTGCACAATTTTCTTAATGCACACATACATTTTTTGTCTATAATTTTACCTCAAAATTGCATTATTGCAAACAACTTTCCTTAATGCAATATATTTGTGTATGTTTCTTTGACCTAGATAGGCATTTTTACACATACTTCCTCCCCTCCCCCCTCCCCATGGATTCTTGTGCACTTTTTAAATTGAATAACTACCTTGCAAGATTCACAGCAGTGTTCTGTTTCAGACAGCGTATAGTTTTGGGAAATGAATATAATAAAAAATCAACATTAAAATGCAAATTGAGCAGGATGTCCCCCCCATCTCCGCTTCAAGTGGTCAACTATATTGCAGTTGTTTGGGGAGCATAGGAGTGTATGTGAAGCACTCAACAAACCACTAAACACAAATAGCCCACTATGTTCTCCGCTTATTTGACACAGGAAATAATCTTAATAACATTTAATAAAATTTAAAAATTACTTACTATGTATCACCATGCTTTGCTGGCTGTAGAACAAGCAGGGACAGATGTATTTCTCACTGAGCAAATCAGAAGGCTACTTACTACCTGCACATATCCCCTGATAGCAGGGGCTAGAAACCTTTTGGAAAAGTAAAGCTGAATATTCAGAGAGGAGGCCTGGGATATTTCTGTGGGAGCCAAGCCTCCACAATGCCCCTCAAGGCCTCGCCCCCAATTATATGTTTGGTTCTCAGTGTGAGGTCCAAACTACACAGAAATGCATCAGACGCTAGGTTTTTAAAAATGCAAATCATCTCAGCTGGAGAAGGGTGGTAATTAACAGGATCAGAGCAGATGAGGGTGGGTGGGTTTAATGCTCTCCTCACCTGCTGTGGTCCTGGGAAAAATCCCTCTTCTGAAGCTGGTATTTGCTTTATGGGAAAATCCCCAGATGGATGGTAGAAGAGGAGAAAAGGGTTAAATTCCCCCTCTATCCTTGCTCTGATCCCATTTCTGCCACACACACACACACACACACACACACACACACGCTGATGCAATTTGCACTTAATATGCCTGTAGTTTGATGCTCAGTGAGTCACCAAATGAGGACAAGCTTTCTGGTAGAAAATGGGCCCCCTCTGAATACAAAGGTGGAAACTTGTGTATAAGCAGAATTGGACACAAACCCAACACAAGAGGATGAATCTGGTGATCTATTCAGGGCAGCCAGTCACTACATTGTTGCTTTAACGGGACACAGATGCTTTTCCTTTTATTGAATTAAGCAATAAACCTGTTTGGTTCCTTCTCATGCCATTAAATTTGGTTCTAAATGCACTTTTCAAAGCAGCAGCTGGAATAGACTGGAGGCAGACTCTTTTGTGGCTGTCTAAAAATAGGGCAGAATAAAAAAAAAATCTCTGAAAAGAAGTTTGATAGAATGTAAAAGATGAGCAAGATTCTATCTTGTTTCATCTGCTAGATTTAGGGTCACAATACACATTATGGAGATACAGCAAGCGCACCAATACCAGAAACTGAAGGAGTCTTAACATGACATATTATAATATATAGATGGTGTTAAATATATGTCATAGCAGTACCACAGAATCATAGAGCTGGAAGGGACCATGAGGGTCATCTAGTCCAACCCCCTGCAATGCAGGCATCTTTTGCCCAAAGTGGGGCTTGAACTCACAACGCTGAGATTAAGAGTTTCTGCTCTACCAACTGAACCAACGCTATCTGTTTAAAACAGGGCTGGAAAAAATGCAATTATGCTACAATGATTGATTGAAATGATTAACATGAGACTTAGATTGGGATGGTGTCCTGTAAAAGAATGGATTTTGGTGCTTTAATAAGCAGCAAACTAAAGTCTCATTCACTCATACAATTGGTTACAGTTGTCTTCTTACTACTACTGAGCAAGCCAGTTTCCCAGCTGTGTTCATCTTTATAGAAGAGACACAGTCTTTTCAATGGCATAATGAATTGAAAATGACTTGCTCCCACCAGGTTCCCATCTCAAGAGTGCTCCTTTATCTATGTCTGAAGCAGGAATTTCATGTTCTGGTGATTGCCAGTTGCATCCCTTCCTGATCATTTGGTAAAATTTATTTTCAAATCAACAGTTCCGACAGAATTTGGACTATATTTAAGACACACGCCTGACATTTCTGTCCAGCCCATGGCTACTTGTTATAAACCTGATAACCACAGTTGTCTGATGTACTGTGCTTAAAAAGAAGTGTTTAGCCCTCACTTTTAGAAATAGAGTTAAAAGAGGTTCAGAAACAAAAGATTGTCATACAAATGACAGGCAAACAATGGTAACCATGTATAATTGGATGAAATAAATACAAGGCACTCATTAAACCATATGTCTGAGAAAATTATCATGTTGCCCTCATGCCTTGTCACTCTTTCTATGCGGCAAACATGTGATGCGGCTGAGGATTTCCTAAACTGAGAAAAACATATGGCTGTATCAATAAATACATTAAGTCAAATGGAGCAGTCTTGGATGATGGTTTCGATCCTTAATTAAATCTGATTCTGACCTTCACAAATTTTAATTGAAACCATGACTCGGTGTAGCATTCCATGAAGGTGCTCAGTAAAACTAGTTTAACTGGAATTCCCTTTCCCCTGTAATTCAAATACTGACATTCAGATTGCAAAACATGATTGTTGCAAGGTAAAGATCCTAAAATTAGGCTTTTATCTTGTTGGAAAATGAGATTCACAAAATGTTCTTCCAATTTCATGCATTTATGTTCATCACTGTCTTGATACATCCTACATATTGCAGTGGAATTTGTTGCTGTGTTTATATACTGCCTGTAATCATGATCCAAAATAAATCTTGTAAACACAGTATCTTACTTGTTCTCAGAAGTACTGGGCAATGTACACTCATCGACCTTAGGCTGTCTCTAACCCTTTGTTTAAACTATGGAATTCAATTGCCAAGTACTAAATCTGTAGCCTGGCACGGATCCCAGTTAAGCACACATTATGTCATTAAGAAGGACAATTACATGGATTCTACCGTAATTTTTAAAAGCATTCTTTTCTGTAGGAACAGAAGGGAGGGGTGCATACAGGGACAAGGAACACTGTGTTCAATAGGCTGGAACAGTCGCCAGGGTAGAGGTACTGGTGTCAAAACAAAGGAGCTTTGATATATAAGACTGAAAATAATTGTATCATGGTATTGCACTAAGTTAGCGGTCATCATTCTTTTTGGGCCTGGAGATACATTTGAAAATCAAATAAAAACTGCCAAGAGCACTACAAAATACCCATTTCACGGAATGAGTGACAATACTTCTTAGAACCTCACCCCAAATACCCCCAACAAATAAAATCCTTTAAAAAAGATCCATTTTAAAAAATGGGAGGGGGAGAGAGTGCTGGCAAGCACCAAGAAGGGTTTCTGAGGGAAGCATGGTGCCCATGAGCACTACTGGGGACTCTGGCACTTAGCATTTTGAGGACTGGGCATTACAAAAAATGATCCTAGGACTGAAATCCTATCCACACTTAATTACATTTTAACCTTATCTTTCACGCAGGTCAAAGCAGTATGTATATGTGAGTGCCCATTTTTATCATTCTGCATAACACACTTGTGAAATAGCCTAAACTGGCTGCAAGTGACTTGATCTTCATGGACAAGTGAGGATAGACACTCAGGCTAAATGCAACACTTAACTCAGGGGTGGGTGACCTGCAGCCCTCAAGTCTAATTTCAAGTTGTGAGCAGTGACACCAGGGATTTGAAGGCTACAGTGGAGAACGAGATGTGCCATGGGAAGCTTGAGTGCAAATACAGGAGTTTGGGCTACGTGAAGACAGGAAAGAGAGCAAAATCTTGGAATTGAAAGAGATAAAAACCTAATTATTCTCTGGTCCAAGAAGATTGAGGGGGCTTCTTGAGTGAGGCCAGAACTGAAGGCTTCAACTGCACACCAAGGCTAAGTGCCCCACTCAGAGCCTGCAAGTATTGAAAGGCAAGCTATGGTTCATCAAGGGGGAATAGTAATCAGGGTGGGGAACCAAGAGGTAGACGTGCTTTTGCGGTAACCAAAAGCCATCTGGGTTCTTTAGAACCCTCCCAATATGGTTCCAATGGAGAACTTGTGCTTCCTTTAAGGTTCCTGACTAACCTGAACAAAACAACACAGAATGGAAGCGAGCCAACTGGGGTTAGGACAAATGGAAACTTATGCCACTAACCCTTATAACTGCATGGTGAGAAAATTTACAGGGGGTTGTGGCACAGTAGGGAAAGGATAAAACCTCCTCTTCCCACACACTGTGGTCCTGCTAACTATCCCCCTCTGCACCTGTACTTAAGTAAATACAAGATGGAGCTGGAGCTGTATGGTACACATTACATGTAACATGTCTTTTGTCCATAAGTCCCACTGTTATCAATGAAACCTGCTCCATAATTGGCAATGGAAACTTCACACTTATAAGAAGCCTTCCTCCCCAATGCAGCTCTGTGGTATACATATTGTATATATACAAATACTTTGACCATGAGTAAACATGCATAAAATGGCACTGCATAGAATATAACACGAATATTAATACAGACCATGGCTTTCCCAGCTTTCACTTAGGTGGTGAAGTTTACATCTTCTACTTTTGGATTTCCAAAATTAACTTAAGAAGAATCGACTAAAAATCCTGGCATCTAAAGGGGCATGCTTTAGATAAACAGCATTATTCTGCTGCCTTTTTTAGTATCAAAGGCAGACTGTCTCTAGTTTCAACATGGAGCTTCTAAATATCTATATATGTGATGCAATATACCTGTATCTTTAGTGAAGTCAGATGCTGCTGAGTTATGACACCTGTGTAGCCAAATTGGAGCTACTGAGAAACAAGAGAAATGTATCATCATGTTCAAAGGAACCCAAGGTTTGCAGAAGTAGAATAAATCACAACCCCCAAAGAATGAGCATGGCTTGTGCTCACAGAATGTGCAGTGTGTTGGGGCATATGTACATAAAAACAGGGAGGGAAATAAATGGAATATTCTAGGCTTCAAGTGACTTAACCATCCTTGAGTACTAGGTATCTTGACTTATTCTGGGTTTTTTTTTGGGGGGGGGGGCACACTTGATACTCTGCCCCTCGTAACAAAATGACAACTTTGACTGCCAAAGAAAGTACAGATTGATGTCTAGAGAAGCAGGACAAGGGAAAAGGAGCTCCAAAAGCCATCAAAGGAGTGCGAATAGTTTGAAGCCATAAAGTCTGTACTCTCACCTGCATTTCTTGGCACATGTACAAGTGCATTTTGCATCCCCCTCATCCCAAGCAACAGAGCATCAATAACATGTGCATTGAGCAACACAATCCCATCCTTTCTGCCCTCAGTGGACAGTGGATGGCTTTCCTTCCCCTCTTCAACACATCCTTCATTAAAACCGTTTGGCAGAAATGAAGGCAAACTGTATAAAACAGCCTCCCAGCTGCTCAACTTCACCTTCTAAATGGATAGCTCACAAGGAAAATAATTGATTTTCCCAATGCCACAACTTCCTTCTAGTGCTAAATTGATTCTTCAGAAATACAGCAGGCTGCTTTACCACTTAAGCCTTTCACTCTGACTGTATTAAAATTGCAGCACCCTGGAGTCACAAAGTACGAGGACAAGCAATCAGTCCTAAGGAAATGGATGCAATCAAAATAGTGTACTTAAAGAACCAAGAAATGCCAGCTGGAGTCAATAAATGAACCCAGAGCTCTGCTACCATAATGGATCATTATTGTCTGTGGAAATAGAGACTCCTATCTCAGCAGAAGTTGCCCTTTCTGCATGAGCTCTATAAGAAAAAGGATGGTGAGCACCAGAGCCCACACTGAGCAGGAACCGATTATGCTAATAATCCAAGTCCCATGATCAGAGAACAGTGCTATCCGGTCATAAGAACAGTGTATACTGACATGTCCATTTTCAACCTGCCAGATTATTCATCTAGCAACCTGGCATTAGTTGTATGCAAACAGCAACACAAAAGGCAGATTGATCTGCTTGGTACCATGTCCCTCCATAAGATATATGGTAGATAGGTTCAACAAGCAATATGGGCCACCCTTACCCAACTGTGCCCCCCCCCGAGGTTTTAGAGTAGGACTCTCTGACCACTGCACATGCTAACTGGGAAGGATGGGAATTGTAGTCCTAGCCATCTGGAGGACACCAGGTTGGGGAAGGTTGATCGCGACAATTTCTAAAAATGGCTCCTGACATTAAAAAAAAAACATTTATTTATTTCAATCCATTTATATACTGCCCATAATTAAAAAATGATTCAAGCAGTTTAGAAAAACTACATCACCAATTAATTAAAAAAAAATTGTCTCTGAGTTGATGGCAATGTGAAACCCAAGTTTCTTGTGAACTAAGAAACTGCTGGAACAAATCAGGTTTGTGTCTGGCCTGTGCCTTCATGGGAGACTGCATGGCAATTCCCACGTACATTGCCTTAAGCTTAGTTATGGAAAGCAGAATAAAAATACAGGAGGATACATATAAGTGGGACTCAGACAATCAATCCTCTTTGCAGAAGACTACGCTGTGCAATAGCAAACCCGCTACAAAAGCTAGACCTGTTTCCGACTACAGAACACTTACCATTCTGCCATTTAGAATACATCTCAGACAATATATTAAGCATCTAGGCAGACAAAAGCAAGCTGCCACCATAGTAACGAAGATTATAATCACTTGATTTCTTCAGTGGTGATAAGGGAACAAATCTAAGGACATTGCTTCTCCCCATATTATAATTTGTTTTTACATAATACAAATGTATATGCAAAATAATTAGATGAGTTGTTAGTGAAAGGAGAAAAGGTGGCAGATTAGCCTCCAAAAGAGAAGGTTAAAAGCAAGTTGCTGCATGGAAGGTCCTATTCCCAGCTGAGTCTGGATCCCAGTAAGAATAATGGAAGAGGGCTCATATTCACACCAGATACTGCTGATGGGACAAGCATTCTATCTGTGTTATACAGGCATTATGGTCGGTCATAACCTAACACATAACCAGAGATAACAATTACAATGAACCAATAGGGCAGGACGGTCAATGATGGTACTTCTACTGGAGATAATTGCGCAGGTTTGTACGGTTCTGAGTTACTTATAAATTGATGCCAATGAAGTGTATGCCTCTGTAACCCCAATTTATGAAGAAACAGGCAACAGATTTAAGACCACAGGTTTTATAACAAATTATTATTATAGGCGATGTAATATTTCAACATCATGATTTTCCCACTGAGAAATTAAATATGCCCATATTTATAGAAGTAATTTGTGTGTATAGAAACATATTCAACATCATCCAGACTCAGCTGAGTCACCCATGCAAATGGAGTTGCTACCTCCAAAAGTTGTTGTGATGTACTATGCAAAGTAAGGGGATATTTATTAAATTGCTGCTGCCAGTCTTCTGTTGCAAGGATTACAGATATTTGCCATGCATGAGCAAATGTGAATGGACATTAGAAAAAGTGATTACTACTGTATACAAACCATAATCTCATGGGTGCTCTTCTTTACACTCAGCCTATAGGGGAACCAATATACAGTTTTGTCAATCATTTGTTTCATTGAGGGGTGGATCTTAACACTGCTTTCACTTGCAGATGTGTGATCTCACTGCAATGAAACATTGCTGACAGATATTAAAAGATAAAGGATTAAATAAGATTTTATTGTCACATTTAACTGCTTTGTCAGAGATGTACATTAAAAGTTTGAGTGAGATAAAAATAAAATTTCTTGAATGAACTGATGAGATGGCAACAGCACTTATTTAACAAACCAGCACAACAGATGCTTGTAGATACCCAAAGTTAATAAAACCCAAACACACTTTTTGTTAATTAGAACAGACTGCAGCAATGTAAAACAAAACATATCATGTTAAGGCCAAATAGTATGTTAAGTACTGAAAACAGAAATGTTTATAAAGTCCCAAATGTCCAAGGAGATAGAAGTATTTTTATCATATTTCAAAGCCACTTGGTTTTACTTAGTACAGACAACAGAGAGGCGAACAGACAGATGTGGGATTGTTTAGCTACTGAGTTTTTAGCTGTAGGCAATCATATATCTAAAAGAAGTCTTCATGTGGGTTTTTAATCAAGAGTTGGATTAAATAAAACAGAGACGAATTGTTACAGAATCAAAGGTTTGCCATTTGCTAATTGAAGAAAATGCCTAGTTCGATACTTAGTGGCACTATTTTGTATCTTTTGGGCAATTTTTCCCCTGCAAGCATAAAATAAAAAATATAGTAAGTGCATTCAAAAATTATTTAAACGGATTCCACTTCATGCCTCGCAGGTTCTTACCCCAACATGAGAAGAGCTATAGTTTTAATTTAAGAGGAAAACCCTAGGGGATTGCACTAGACAGCCTCTTCCATTCTCCAGGACTTGTTATTTTATTATTTTATTTAATTAATTTATTTATTTATTATTGTATCCCACCTTTTCCCCTAACAGAGACTCAAAGTGGTTTACATAGTAAATCTGGATTATTTTGAATGTTGCATGAAGTTTTGCATTAAATGTTCGGTGCCTGACAGAAATGACCACATTATTTCACTACTTTCTGCTATGTGCTCTTCATTATTTTTAGAACAAAAATGCAACTGATGATAGTGTGGGAAAGTCACTTTAAATCCACCAAGGTCAGAGTAGTTATGCTTAAGACATTCACTGATGATTTACTGGTAATCGCTTTTCTACATAAAAAGGCAACCATAATTTTAAGTGATAGACATTAGGCTAGTAGAAAAAGATTGAAACAAACTTCATCTCTATTAAAAGAGCATGCAGAGAATATAGCTCACATTTGTTCCAATCAGGCTGCTTGAAATTATCAAAGGTTTTTGTTTCTGGCAATGATCTATTTGGCTTCACCATTAAAAAGCCTGCTGATCAAAGTTCTTAGAAATGCCCCCCTCCCCCAAAATTCAAGGCATGATAGTGCACGAGGTAAGCTTTGATTTGAGATCATTAGAGTGCGCTTAGTTGCTAAATTCCATTTTTTATGGAGAATATGGCAACAAAAGCCACAGGATTCCCCCCCCCCCAAATTTCATTTTGCTTATTTACCAGTACATCCATGAATTTCATCAATATTAGTAGTTTGATTATCCTAATGATTCAATTACAAAACTTGCAAAAATGTATCACAAAAGTGAATAAGCCATCTAAGTTCAAGTCTTCTACATCTGCTGTGCACAATAATCCACTTTTGTAGCCCATTTCCTCCAAGTTAAATCCCAAAATATTTCTGTAACATTTAGGAAAGATAGTGCTATATTAAGCTCATGTTCCATTAGATCTGGGAGATTTGAGTGTTCCTGGAATCTCCATCCGCATGTGTCAGGGGACGAGAATTTCTTGTCTGTGCGTATTCATTGTCAGATGACTCTGTAGGTTCAAGAAAATTCTCACAGTCACTGTCTTCTGATTCATTAACATTGTCACCGACAGTCGCCTGGGAAGAGGATGGCATGGATGTTCCATTGCCTGAAAGCTTCAATCCTGTATTTGTGGAAACATAACTGGAAGAGCCTACTGCTTGAGGTCGAGGCATGAAAACATTGCTTTCTAGAACACCAGGGCGTATGGCACTGTCGTGATTGATTACACTCAAGTCAGCATAAGGAGGAGGAGGATCAGAGGCATCGGGTTCTTCAATATTACTACCTTCTGCAACAAATCCAGCATGGGACATTCGGGGGATAAATATAGGCTCCAAGGTATCATTTGACATTTGTCTGCTTAAGATGGCCTGCTGCAGTCCTACAAAAAAGTGGAAAAATAAATGTAATTAGCTGTCAAAACAAGGTATCTTAATGTGGCAAACTGCATAAAATTTTGATATCATGGGCACTGAAAAGAAACTCACAATGCACCTATGTATTCAACTATGTTTAAGTAAGTCATTTGAGTGAAAAACTGCCAATGTTAAACTGACTGAACTAGTTTTCCTAGAATTCACTTTGCTAGTACTAGCATGCTTCATTATTGAAATGTCTTGCAAGAAGTTAAACCCAGTGCCAAAGTGAAGTGGAGCAATTTGGTTTAGTTAACTCAAACGGACAGGATTTCTCAAAGGCAGGCACTAACACAAACTTGATAATAGGCTACTTTAGGTGCATTTATTGCCCCTCAAAAGAGAATTCCTCATGGGCAAAAAAGAATGGTACAGTTACAGCAGAGTATATATAGCATACATGTATTATGCCTCACAGCAGAGGATTGTACTTATGCAGGAAAAGACTGAAGTAAAACCATTTAAAGCAATTTCAAATGGCTATTATTTTGAAAAGCCAAAACCACAACCTAATATTGAGAAGTATGCTGATTTTTAGGCAAGAGAATTCCTAACAGCACCTGAACCACAAAACCATCAGATACAGATTTCTCATTTCTGACCTCTTTCCTCAAATGGTACTGAGACCAACTGGGATGAGATCTATGTATCTCTGAACTATACAATAGTAACTTTAATTTTGATTCTTAGCTAATGAGGCGCTGAGGTTTTGAACACTAATTTAGAACTATCACATACCATCTGTCACGGACAAATGAAACTAAACATGCATATAATCTTTTCAAAAGTCAATCTTCTAATGTCAGAAGCAGTATTTTGTGTCTCTAAAATTGAAGGATTTTTTTCCAAACTTTTCAATACTCCTTTGGTTCTTCTGCACAGTGTGGAGAGAATGCAGTGGGCAGAAACCATGCAAAATGAGTTCTACCACACTATCAGGACTATTCAGCTCTCACTTTGATTACTTGCTACCTTACCCTAAAAGCTTCTGCTTCTTGTCTTATGTCTGTCACAGCATATCTGAGCAATGTGGTTTCATCAAAATAAATCCCCACCACAAGGCAATTAGACAAGGGAGAGGATAGGACAGCATAATATTAAAATATACGTAAACAATAGGGTTTGAATGAGCCCAAAAGCTGTAGAGAAACAGAAATAACTGCTGTGTAAGTAACTGTATTGGCCCAATTTTATTTTAGGGATCTAAATGAATGGCATAGGGTTTTACCCTTGTCAAAATATACAGTCAAACCTCAGATCCCGAGCACCTCCGTTTTGGAACGTTTTGGCTCCCGAATGATGAAAACCCGGAAGTAAATGTTCCGGTTTTCGAACATTTTTTGGAAGCCGAACGTCTGATGCGGCTTCTGCCTGAGTTGGAAGCCATGCCTCGGTTGTCCAACATTTTGGAAGCCGAATGGGCTTCCGGAATGGATTACGTTCAACAACTGAGATTTGACTGTAATGCCTGATTTTAACATGGATAGTATACTGATAAGCAAGTAAAATCATACCCCAGGGAAAAGTAAGCATGAAAGTGGAAGGCATTCAAGAGCTAGAGAAAAATAATCTGTTGTACTTAGTTATAACTGAAGAACTTGTTCTATACTTGCCATTACCCTAAAGCTTATGTACTTATGGAAAATCTAGTGACTGTTAAACCTCTCATAACTGCTATGCCCCAAAATCAACACACTGCAGAAAGAAATATATTATCCTTCCAATACTCAAACTTGGTATTTAATGGGTTATCCATCCAATCATGTTTTGAACCGTTAGTCATGTATATTGGAGAACTACTTGATAGCAGATCAGAGTAGCACTTAAAGCCCAGGATCACATTCAATACGTCAGAAGCTACATTTGAAGAGGCAACAATAAATAAAAAACAAACATTGCTCCCTAGTGCTTAAATTTCCATCGCACATTTATCTGCCCTCAGCATTTACTGTTTTATACTTTTAGCACCCCCATATATGGCCCTCTCTATTTCTCAATCCACATTTCCTATAATCCTATTTTTCTTTAATCTTATACCTGATTTCTCCGCTAAGCACTTGCTTGGACTTTCACCACATTCCATCTAGTCATTTAAGTGCCAGCTAATATAGGGAATATTTGTGTTCATGAGTAACACAAAGGGGATATGGTCCAATCCAAAGTGAACTGGCCCCCATTAAAATTTTGTTTAGGAAGTTACCCGGTACATATTATGAGTTGACGGGAATGGACTTAGAAATAGAAAGCACATGGCTTCCCACTCAGCTATTTATAATTAGCAACAAGTATAATCTATGTGGTTCCTAATTGGAATGGAAGAACTGCCAGCCATATCCATAGTTTAATAACTATGAAAGCTATACTTCAGATATAAGACAAGCATGTTTTAAGGACACACTTCATTCTAGAGCGCCAGAGAACATACAGCGTCTTTCACATCTCCAGATCATAACTGATGCCCATCATTCTGAATACTACAATTAAGTGTCATATTTTGATATTTTCAATGAACATCCCATTCCACATGTCTACATTAGCAGCAAAGTTCCCATCACTACTAATATAATCATCTCCTAGTTTAACCCTTCCCCTGCTTCTTCTAACACTATTTTTTTCTGTTTGTGCTGCATTTTCTCCAGCAAAGATTCTTGTGTTAGGCAGGAACTGCATCAGGGATTATCTGCCAATTTACAAAGAGAACTGGAACAGTGTTTAAGAATGGTCAAGTGGAGGGTGCATCTCCAATTCTATAATTGTCCCTGTTCATCAGCTTTCCTTACCCCACAGAATTAAGGTATACATGATATGCCTGATATTTCGTCTAAGGAGGTGGCCACTCACACAAAACTAGATTACTGAGGTGGTGTATGGTATCATCTCTAAATACCCAATGTGATATATGTAGGGCTCTCCAACCCTACAAAGTAAATTGGGTGGCATGTGTGGAATACATCTTTGTTCCATACAAAGATGGACACAAATGGATATCACCCTTAGAAAAGGGTCTGGAACAAAATGCTATTGTGCTATGCACTAAACTCTAAATATTGGATTTGTTTCCAACTGGACTGTGTAATGGAGCACTGCAGAGCTGAGGGTTCGGTCAATTTTCCGAGCCAGGTAGAGAATATTTACAGAAAAGGCTTACTTATTTCCTGCTCCTTTTCTTGTTTCTTTTGCAAGATTTGTGTTTTTAGCTTATTGACTTCTGCCTGGAAAGTTTCAGCAGCTTGTTCACTCTTCTCTACTTCTATACATACTGCCTAGGAGAAATACACAAGGTTAGTGAAAATTCATGTTCAAAAGCCTTAGTAGAAATGCAATGTAGAAAAATCAAGTTCCAAGACACAGCCACTGTGAGATTTTCATAATTCATATACTATGCACCACTTGTGACCAAACCTCAATTACTGTGGTAGAAAGAGAAGTTGCCAAATTTCAACTCTGGGCATCATTGTAAAGTACTGAAGGAATGAAATACAATTTGCACTAAGTTTTAAAAACTTATTTCTGAGTAGACATGGTGAGGACTGTGCTGTATGTTCTTTGGAATTCAATGGTGTTTAATCCCAAGTAGATGGGAGTAATTGCACTCTTAGCAGCCAGATTTTGGCTTCATACATGGCCAATGCTAAGTGTGCTGATGGCCAAGCAACAACTCATAAACCCTCATTGAAAACAGATAATGCTCTATGTCACCACCTCTCAGTCATTACTTACTGGAATCTGAGAACAGTAATGCAAACTGATTTTATGCACTGCAGCAAAACTGCATGAGGGTCATGTAATAATCAGGGCAGGTCCACTCACAGCCTGGGATGTAGCACTACAAAAACTGTAAGAGTAGTCCCAAGCCACTAATGCTGACACCAGCTTTGGCAAACCAAAAAATTCAAGTAGTTATTTGGAGGAATGCAAGAGAATGGCCACTCTAGCTGGTGCAGTGCAAAGTTTATTTGCACTACAGCTAAAAAGTTGGGATGAGCAGCCTGCTGAAGAAACAGTTTAATAAAAATCCATTTATGCCGTAATTGCAATGTATCTAGTGAATACTGGCCAGGTGGGTAATATATTGGGAAGAGGCTTTTTATACGCCTGACTGCTCTTTAGAACTTAGAAATGTAAAAGTTAGATGAAATATTATTATTATTTATTAAATTTGTATACCACCCTTCATCTGAAGATGTCATGGCATTTCACATGGATCTGTTTTTTCTCTTTCAAAGAGCTACGAGTGAGAAAGAATGTGCAAGAACTTAATATTTGGGGAAAGCCTAAGTCAAAGTTCACAGACTAGCAGCTTTAAACGTAACAGAAAATAGCATAAGCCTAAAAAGCATGAACAGGCAGGTTTCTTTAGGTCACTTGTGCACCAACATAAAGCAAGGAAAGTCACATCCCTACAAATATTGGAAAGGGTGATTTCTGGAAAGCAAGCACTTACTTCATTAAGAGAACCACTAAGGGTATTAACGTTTGTACAGATGTTAATGATCACAGCATGGATCATATATATAGAATATGCCTCTGAGCATGTGAAAACAGCCCTTCCTTCACTGCTGAGAAACCTAACAAGCCTCTATACAATTGAGATAAGTGAGGCAGGATTTAAGCTTGGGCAACTTTCTTCTTAGAAATTAACTAGAGGATGCCTTCATCCACTTGCCCTCAATCCATAAAACCTGGTTAGCTATCTACCCGATGAACACTTTTAGTTTTTATATGTGTTTTATTTTATTGAACATCTTATGCAATTCATATTCTATATTCTATTACTGTTAATCATTCTGTGACTCCTCAAAACAATATATAAATATACTAAACTAAACTACCAGACATGTATGTTACGAATCTGAACAATAAAGTGGCACAAATGATGCAGTTTCAAATCAACCCACAGGATTTAAGAATAAAAGGGAGATGGCAACTTCATGCATAGCGGGAGTAGGTATGGATGCTTACTTTACCACCGGTAATGCAATAAACCAGGTTTCAGGCACATAATTGGGGCAGCTACTTAAGTGTAAACATGCAGTTATGGCCTTAATTAAACTTTGGCACAATGGCATCCAGACCTTGAAAAGACCAGATAATAGGCAGTAGGGTCTAAATCACAGAAAAGGAAGGGCTGGAGCAAAGAGGGATTTCCATTTTCTGTTAATTTTAAATGCTACAGTATTCTTTAAAGATCCCTTATCAAATATTTAACACACACACACACAAAGAGCCTTAATGCATTATACAGTAGGGCCTCAATTTTGCAATCAAGTCCAGTGGAGAAAGCCCTTCAGAAGAATGCAGCCGCAAAGATTCAGCATTTTGCCCATGCATATCCTAAAGTGAGATCTGGACATAGGACAATTTGGCCTATTTCCTTGACAGCTACTTTCAGTCTTAAAGCAGGGAAAACTTGTAATAGACAATTATTACCTACAATTCTTATGCTAGAAATTTCTGTTCTATTGAGCATTATTAACTAAATATTTTAATTAGTTGATTTGACTTAATATAGCTTAATATAACTGTTCACAATGTAAGTTGTTCGTGAAACATTTAAATTCAAAATGAAAGTTTTACTGTAGCTTTGCATTAGTAAGCAGAAAGTTGTCACAATAAATACAGAACATTAAAGAAGAATTACCTGTGCTTTTTCTTGAAGTGCATTATAAACCTGATATATAGCCCTGATGTCCTTCATCACACCATCTTTATCAAAAAAAGCAGTACTAAAAATACATCAGAAATAATGTGTTAGAAATGGGCAAATCCTGCTTTTCCAAGATGTCTTTTACCCTTCAAAAGGGTTTACCTTTCAGAGCCATACTCCAGGAAGCAAGGCCTGGACTGCTGAAGCTGTCTGAAAAGGATAGCATCTATGATGCACCCTGCACTGACACAAAGCTCTTTGATTCAGCAGAGGTTTCGATTTGCAGAAAAATGAGGGAGGCAATTTTTGTCAATTTCATTTTCCCCTGCAGTTCTGTGTGCCACTGCACATGTTGCTCCAAAGGGTCCCCAATCCAAGCAAATTGACCAGGGGGTGAGGTTTTGCAGAGGAGAGGGAAATTGGCAAAAATTGCCTCCTTTCCTGTTCCACTGATGGAAATGAGATCAAAGAGCCTTCCATCAAGTAAAAAGACACCATTGGATACGATCCAAAGTTATTTTTGCACAACCTGATGTTATGTTAACACAAGAGAAACATTTATTCCACAAAGTAAATAGACTGTATATTTATTGCACACAAAACAAACAAAAACAAAAAACAAACCATGACAAACTAAAAGCCAACAAGGAGCCTCATTTAAGCCAATAAAAGTCATACACATAGAGATCTTCTACAGTTAACGTTGGTCACATTAACGTTGCTTTTCTTGATAATTTGCTTTATCCCAAATAAAGTTTTTGACTTATTTTTCTACTTCTCTGTACTGTTTAAAAAACAGAAGTCATTAAACAAAATCAGATAACCAAGAATGCTCTAGATCTGCTCCTGGTGATATCTAAGAGAGTCATGATAACTGAAATCAATGGATCCACTGCAAGTGTGACTAAGTTAGCGATCACATGCATTTATTTCTAGGCACACCAAAATGGCATTTGTTACATATTAAAACAATGCTCACCCATGCTCCTTAATAACTTTGGTATAATTTTGGGAAGTATTTGGCACTGAAGAGACCTTGTATTCCTGCTGGCTTGTGTTGCCTAGATTAGGAATAGTAAGTGACACTCTTTGATTATACCTGCAGAAAAAAGTTTAGAAATATGAGGTTACTTTCTGTAATGTTATTTCCTTACAAGAGATTCCAGTCATAATAATCACCCAGAAGAGCCTTACTACCTCCCCACAACGATTAGGGTTTCAAAAAGCTACAATTAAGAAGGAAATACAACCTAGCAGTTTGAAAGCATGCCAAAAGTGAAAGTAGAAAATAGGTATCGCTCCAGCGGGAAGGTAAACAGTGTTTCCGTGTGCTGCTCTGGTTTCGGTGTTCCATTGCACCAGAAGCGGCTTAGTCATGCTGGCCACATGACCTGGAAAAACTGTCTGCGGGCAAACGCTGGCTCCCTCAGCCTGTAAAGTGAGATGAGCGCCGCAACCCCAGAGTCGTCTGTGACTGGACTTAACTGTCAGGGGTCCTTTACCTTCACCTTTTTTTACTTTAACATACTAGTTATGATCATAAGTACTGACACCCGAACAAACCATTAGCAGTAAGTAATGACCCTAGGCTACAACTTGCAGCTTATTCCTAGTAGTACACCAAGACCAGGGGAGAAGTGCAGCACTCATGATTTTTCTCAATGCACCAGCATGCTTGCTTATACGCAGTAAGTCATAGCTTGCAGTACATGCAAACCAGAACATTAAAGGAATGCAACCTAGCTTTTTGTTCACCAAACTATAAAGTATAACTAACTCACTGCTGGAAAATGTTATTGATGGCTATATAAGAAAGAGGTTATTACCCATCACCACTAGAACCAAATAGTTTTTTTTTTTCTAAATAGCTTTTTTTTTTAAAAAAAAAGGTAAAGCATAATATTTAATTTTTAAGTCACATTGATTAAAGCTGTTTCCCACTAATTATCAGCTACAGTTTTAGATGATTGCTCAATCATCTAAAACTAAAGTTTGCAGTCCTATATGCAAGTACAACCAGATCAGCTATAGAAAGCCAATTTGTGATTGGGTCATTTTCATGACTCTCAAATATTTTAGTTTCTAGTTACTCTTGTGAGCCACAAAGTATCTTTAATGAAGAGACAGCAGAATATTTTACTAGCAGATATATTGAGAATACAGTTTTCAATAATAATAATAATAATAATAACAACAACAACAACAACGTATTTGTACCCCACCCATCTAACTGGGTTGCCGCAGCATGATTATGATTATAATCACGATTATGATTATGAGACATAATGGCATTCACTAAACTAACAAGACTCTAAAAATGAATCCTTCTCAAGTTGGTTTTAAATAAACTACTACAATGTGTCATCCAATAATAACTCTTACAAATTCCTACATTACATTTTCCATATACAGGCAATGACCAATTAACCGATGGCACATGCATGCACAGCGCTGAACCCAGAAGTGACCTGAAAACATCACGAAATGAGTCACTAAGAGCAGAACAGGGTGCGGGGAGCTTATACATGCTCTGCCAAAGCATGCTTGGGCCAGGAACAGAACCCCTGTGCAAAATGGTCATTGACTGTACCTCTCCTTTCTGGATATATTACTCAGCAGTTTTGTATAATTAGGGGGAAATCATGACAGCTTCCACAGAAGAGCATATACTTCTGGATTTTGTCTGTGGATTATGTCATCTGGTACAATACACACCAGCTATTTAGCACTTGAAGCAACTGAAACACTCAGAGCAAAAGCAACTTGCACATCATTTGTGACTATTACTTTTTTAATTAAAAAAAACCATTAAAATGGACAAACAGTTTCCCTCCACATCTTATAAACTGTTTACCTTCGGTTTGGTCTAAAGAGAACATATTCTAAAGCATGTGTTGAGTTATTGGCGGTTGAGATGAAACTGAAGAGAAGGAAGACAAGATCAGGCACTCCAAGAATCTGTGTCAGCTGTTTATGAATGATGTGTTCTCTATATGACATTTGTTGCTGGGTGTTTCTCCTAAATCTGTACCATCCAATAACGTTCTACAATAAAGATTGAATTAGGGAGTATTAACTGAAGGATAAAAATTGCATCTCAAAAGTACATTCAATATAGATTAATTATGAAGTCCCAACATGCCAGAATTCTTAAGCCTAATTATTCCAATCAAAGAAATAAATGGCATTCTGCAAGATAGCATTGTTGCAGTCTAGAGAAAATCGAATCCCTTCATGTTACCAACAATCCCATGCTTCAGGAAATATTACACTTTGCAGAGACAGGAAAACTTCTGTTTCAAAGACAGCAGATATTATTACTGAAGTACATTCAATTTAACTTGCATGCTGCTTATCACATGATCCCTAAAAGCTTCTTTTCCCTCAAGTCCTTATGTTTTTCTACTGTTTAAGTAAAATCTATTATTGTAGCAAACCTTTTTATGCCTGAGGGCCACATTCAAAGTTATCCAATGCTCTGAGGACCGCATGACACTGTGTGTGTGTGTGTCACTCTCTCACACCACGGGGAGGGAAAAATCTCATCTTTAAGTTGTTATGGGTAAAGAGAATGAAAACTCTCAGCTCACACTACTGCAGCAATGAGGTTCAAGACCGCCCACTCTCCTTGCTCATCAGATCTGCGTTCTCATCATCAACAGATCTGGACAGAGAGATTGAAATCTCTCTGGTCACACCAGCTTGATGGGGCTCAAATGCAACACCTCCCTTTCCCAGTTTAAAAACGCACCATCAATGCAGCCAAATTGTTGAGGGGTGTGGGGAGTTGCTAGAAATGGTCTGCAAAGCCAAATATAGTCACTATCAACCTCTGCTGTAGATACTAAGAAAACAGCACTAAGATACTACAAAATTTCCCTTCTTCAGAACTGAAGTAAGAAGAATAAATAGAAAAGTGTTATTGCATATTTAACTTTGCACAATAATTCCTACAATTATTTAGATCTTACTTGAAAGGAAACTAAAAGAAACCCCTCTCTGTATTTCAAAGAGAACGGAAAACATTTTTTCCATGAAAGCCACAGGAAAGATGAAAGCGATGAGGAAGTTCCACCCGATTATCAGCTGTAACTGAGACTTAGGCTGCTGATTGTTATGAACCACTAAGTCCCTTTTAATGTCATTGGCAAAGATTTTCCTCTTTCATTTTTAAAAGAAATTTAGAAAGATATAGAACTAAACACAAGATATGGCAGTGCCCCAGTGAACTAGCGAGTACAATTAAAATATTGCATGAAGAGAAAAACCAACTACAATTCTAAAAAAAGTCTTTCCACACTGTTGAGTGCTGACCACATGAGTTAGAAGTAGTGGGCACTGCTCTGCTGTGGGTATACTCCTTTGGTAGGAAGTTACAGAAAAGTAGTGCTAGAAAACCTATTTCCTAAAAGAAGTATTGGGAAATTCCTTGGGGTTATATCCTACATCTCATCCTATTTAACACTGACATGAAACTGAATTCAGTCAAGCAAAGGGAGCAACAACTACAAAAAAGTTAACATTTAGGCAATTCTTCTTCACCAGTCCTACAGGATTCAGAGAGACTGAGAGATGGCTCAGGGGAGAGACAGGGGGCAGAGCTCCCCATTATCAGTTGCCTGTGAATGCTCACTGGGATACTTTCCCTTCTTTTATTTTTTACATATCCATTTCACATACAGTGTGTGCGTGTATGTGCATACAGACTGGCCACAAACACTTGGGACCAAAAAGGTTAGCCATGCCTGGTCTAATATTTAACATATTTCCCTTCATCATTCTTTATGATAAAATGTTACGTTACTTTTTCTTCAGGCCTTACTGGTAGCACAGAGAAAAAAATAATAAAGAAGTGCAGACTTACTTTTCTCTGATCTTTAAGAATCCTATCCAAATTCTCTTCATTGACTTTGCCCGCATAGTCATAAAAGCTTAAGAAAGAAAGAAATAGGTTTGGCTTAGAATCAAGTCAGTGATGTTTAGTGGAATAAAATGTAATATACTGTAAAGGTGTGTCTGAGGCTTTTATTCACTACATTCATGAACGATTAAACCTTATAGAAAAATATTATGGGGAAGTTAAACAGCTAAGTTATGAAAAATAACATATGTACCCCTGAAAAAAGTCTGCTATTAAATGTAGAGTTTCACAGGTAACAAATCTACAGCTAATGCTTATAAAAAATTATCTCAACTAGCTCTTGCTCACATGCCTGTTACTTATAACTAAAGGACAGGAGTTCACCTGCAGAAGCGGCATTCAAGACCAAAGCATCCTTTTTTGGGTTGGAATATTGTTTAGGGTTTTTTCTGTTGGGGGTGGGATTGTTGCTGTTTCTGATATTATTTTTTTTGTATCTTTATTTTAGGTCTTAATATAATTTATGTGGAAATTGCTTAATTTGGTTGTTTTTTATTGATTGTTTATGGCTACTTTTGTTATGTTTGTAATTATGTTTCTTTCATGTTGTAAGCCGCCTTGAGCATAGTTTGAATTATGGAAAGGCGGCATACAAATAAAATTATGTACGTATGTATGTTTTCTTTTGTTAGAAACTGATGCTTACACTTTAGATCACTGTCAGTCTGTACATGCTATGTATCCATTCAACACATAATGGGCACAGGAGTTGTGTGTAGACAGCGGTATAGTGTGGACCAGGCATATATATTTATGTACAAGTAAGCCTTATCCACTTTTATCTCTGTGGGTATTAGATGTACTGTATAGGCAGAGCATAATCTCTATTCAAACACAACACTGTAAGGAAGGAACAAATAAGTAAGGCAAACACACCCAGTATGCAAGTATCCACACTCAAAAACCCACTGTTTGTAGAATACATATAAAATATGCATTTTTAGAGATTTTATAATGAGTTTTGTGAGGCATGTCTTTGAAATGAAAATGTATCCTTCAGTTATTATCAGATAGCATTTTTATCTCCCTAAAAGCAGTTCCAAACAATTAACTTTCTTAGCCTCCATCTCAAAGAGGTTAACATGAGAATCACATATTTATATCAGCATCAAGCTGGAGCCGTCATTTAACTGAGCATACAGAGTAACTAAAAACCACAAATTTCTACATCTGAAGAGAAACTTAAGTATATCCTGTATTAGAAAATGACATTCCTTCTAGACTTATTAGCCTCTTTGTAGAGGAGGTTTACAGTACATTACACTCATTGACAGCAGTCAGTCTAATAAAGAAATGTTCTTTTTAAAGTATTGGGACACTAAAGGCACAGTAAAATAGGCATCTATTCCAACTATGTTAGTTTCTTATTTCATACAAGTGCTACTATTTAGCAAAACGAAGCCTATTCTTATACAGAACAATGTCAAAGGTTGCATTTCTCTTAAATTAAATCACTATCAGATGCTGTGCATTGTGTACAGATTCTTATTCCGATACATGTTTAAGTAAAAGAATAGGTCTAAACTCCATTGACAACAACATTGTATAATCTGAACTGAATTTATTTTTTATTTTATTTTAATGTATTTTTATTAAAGATTTTACAAATGCATGTGCAACGTCTCTCTCTCGTATTTTTTCCCCAAGTAACACGTTTTTGAAAAAATAAAAATCGGTTTCATTTGTTGAGACATTAGGAAGAATAGGGGGAAAGAGGTGGGGGGGGGAGAGAGATGAGTGGGGGTGGGGTTGGGTGGTGATGTTCTGAACTGAATTTATAAGAAATGTCTTTGTATATATAGACACCTATTGCTTTCAGCTTTCAACTTTCCTATGTGGAAGTGCTAGTATTTCTAGGATTGGCAGAAAGTTTCAGATAACTTCTGAGAGCCAGCATGGTGTAATGGTTACCACTGGACTAGGACCTCAGAGGCTAGGGTTCAAATCCCCTGGCAAAGCTCCCTAGATGATCTTCAAGAAGTTAAAAAATGTCCAGTAGCACTTTAGCGACCAATTAAGTTTGTTCTGGGTATACAAAAAGCTTATACACAGAACAAACTTAGTTGGTCTCTAAGGTGCTACTGGACAATGTTTTTATTTATTTTGACCAACACAGCTACCTACCTGAATCTAAATTCAAGAAGTTACCAATTCTCTGCCTGAGCTATCTCACATAGTTTTGAGGATAATATGTAGTAGGGAAGAACCACATACATGGTGTTCAGTTCCTTGGAGGAAAGGTGGAATATAAATGTAATATCATAAAATCATAGAATTAGAGTTGGAAGAGACCTGAGTGTCATCTAGTTCAACTCCCTACAATGCAGGAAACTCAACTAGATCATACATGACAGATGGCCATCCAATCTCTGCTTAAAAACCTCCAAGGAAGGATAATCCACCAATTCTTGCTGGAGTCTGTTCCACTGTCAAACAGCTTTTATGGTCAGAAAGTTCTTCCTGATGTTTAGTCAGAATCTCCCTTGTTGTAACTTAAATCTCTGGAGTAGGAGAAAACTCCATGCTCTATGTCAGTGTTTTTCAACCTTTTTTGGGCAAAGGCACACTTGTTTCATGAAAAAAATCACGAGGCACACCACCATTAGAAAATGTTAAAAAAATTAACTCTGTGCCTATATTGACTATATATAAAATAATTCTCTTGAATAGGAATCAAATAAACACAAAGAAGCATGGTTTAACATTCAAGCATGGTTTAATATTTTTTTCTTTAATGGCGAACAAAAATGTTGCGGACCGTTCTCTGCTCAGCGGGGATCGATCCGCTGATCCCCGCTGAGCCGGCGGATGACAGCTCCGTCTCCGCACTGTGTGCGGAGAGGGAGATGTCAGAGCCCCACTGCTCTCTATGGGGAATCGGATGAGAGCGGACCGCCTGTCCGCTCTCATCCGATCTGATCCCCACCCAGGACAGATGGAAAATAGGGTGGACACAGTCCGGCGCCCGCCTAGTGGGCGAAAATTTGACATTTTTTTAAAAAATCTTTCAAATTTTCAATTTTTCCCACGGCACACCAGGCAACATCTCGCGGCGAACAGTGGTTGAAAAACACTGCTCTATGTGACAACCTTTCAGCTATTTGAAGATGGCTATCAGATCTCCTCTCAGTCTTATCCTTACCAGACTAATAAATAAAATGCTCTAAAAAAGAAGAGAATCCATAAAATTGGAAAGCTCTTGGACACAGGGGGGAAAGATGCAAAGGCCACCATCACTAGTGACATTTTCTCTTAACATGTATCACGCTTAAATAAAGATTTTAAAAATATGTTTTTGTAAACCACTTACAAAATCTTTTTAATTTTTACAATTATGTGGTATATAAATTTTGTTAAATGTCTTAATTAAAACATCATGTCAATAAGTGTGATAAATAAACTGGCTGGAAATCTTGAAGAGGATAAATACATACCAAGCAATAATTTTATGGGACTGCCTAAATTAGCAATAGCTATACATTTAACACATACAGCATCAATTGTATTACATACAGATCGTGGAATCTGTAAAATACGATATGGCAAAAAGTATTCTGTGAATGTGGAGAGCCACAAAATGAAGGAACTGAACCACTTAAAAACTTACTTCCTATTGAATCACTTGGTACAAACAGGGCAACTTGGCATCTGCATTCTTTTAGCCATAACAATAAATCCATATATCCCTAGAAAGCTAGTCATATTTCTAAGTCTCTGAAAGGATGAGCTGAATTTTTAAAAAGGATTTATTTTTAAAAGGAGACTTTATAAGGAGAAAAGACTCATTTAGGTATTACTTTTAATGTGATGCATTGCAAATATGTAAAATAATGTATACGACATATGGGAGCTCCCAAGCGCATTCAGGATTTATTTTTGTTCTTTACAAAGTTGAAGGATGTTCTTTCATAACACCTGTGGTATTGATTTAAAAAATAGTAATTAGACTGGAAGCTCATTCTGAGAGTTATACTAATGCTGGTTTCAGCCCACCTACAATTGGCACAGAGGAAAAAGAAAAAGATGACAAAGTAACTTACCTAAAGAGTTTGGAACAAGGCTCATGATTATGGATATCTGTAACAAGAAATTGACAGTGTAAGTTTCAGTTATACTTTGCATCAAGTGGAAAGCTACCAAGATGTACCCCAAATGTTTTTTTCCAAACATCAACCCAAGAGCAAATACCCAATTCCATTTCCCTGAACATATAAAGAACGTTTCTAATATCAATGAAATTAACCTATACAAGTGTTTTGCTCTTTAGTCATATTATTTTTACCATAATCAACAAAAGGGCACTATTCCACGGATACTGGAACAACACTTGGCACTTATAAACATGTAGCCACACTTCCAATCCAGTGGCTTCCTTCCCCCTTAGGAACTGAACTGTATTTCAAGCACAAGAAAAAAAGTATGTAACTCAGCTGTGTATCTGCTGAACTAGAAAAACATGTACCCAGGTGCAAGTGGCCTCATGAAGTAGATGCTCTTTTCTTAACTACCTGTCCCCGAAGTGTACACCTGGGACGTTTTATCATATGCCACAGAAAGTAGAAAATCAAGTAGCACCAGTGAACAGAGTTCCACATATTTCAGTCGAGAAACTTACCTGACCATTTTTTGATAATTCAAAGCATTAAACATGGGAGTGAAATAAATGAATGAATGAATGCATGCATGCATGCATGCATGCATAAATAAATAAATAAATGAGGTTCAATTGCAGTGCAAGTTATTAAACTGTAGCTACTTACCAATAACTTGCAGAAATTCAATGTTGCTGATTTGAGAGTCACTAATACTAAACGTCTCCTCTTGCCTTATCTCTCCCAAAAGAAATCCTTCCTATAAAATTGAACAAAATAATTATGATTAATGACAAAACCTACAATTGTACTCCATCATGTTTTATCTTCATGCAGTTTTCATAACTACATGTAACTGAAATTATTAAGGGCACAATCCAAGGTTGCACAAATGGACCTCTTACTCATAGAATAATAGAAATGTACAGTTAGGAGGTACCCCAAAGGTCATCTAGTTCAATCCCTGTAATGCTCGAATCTCAGCTAAAGCGTCCATGACTAATGGCCATCCAACCTTTGCTTAAAAACCTCCAAGGAAGCAGAGTCTACTGCCTCTTTTGAGAGTCTGTTCCACTGCCGAACAGCTTTCACTGTCAGAAAGTTCTTTCTGATATTTAGTCAGAATCTCATTCTTGTAATTTGAAGCCATTGGTTTGAGTCCTACCTTCCAGAACAGGAGAAAACAAGCTTGTTTCCTCTTCCAGCTGATAGTCCTTGGGATATCTGAAGATGGCTATCCTATCTCCTCTCAGTCCCCTCTATTCCAGGCTAAACATACCCAGCTTCTTCAACTGTTCCTCATAAGGCTTTGTTTCCAGACCCTTGATCATCTTAGTTGCCCTCCTCTGCACATGTTCCGGCTTGTCAACATTATTCTTAAATTGTGGTGCACAGAATTAGACACAGTATTCCAGGTGTGGCCTGACCTGGGCAGAATAGAGCGGTACATCTGGAAACCATACTTCTGTAGATGCAGCCTGGAACAGAATTAGCTTTTTTGCTGCTGCATCACACTGTTGACTCATGTTAAGAGTACAAATACCCCTGGATCCTATGGGGTTAATAAGCTTTCTTTCTGAATCAAAGTGGGCACATGTTCTAGCTGGGATCATTCCAGGGTTGTGCATGTGTGAGCAGACTAAACTTCCATTCATACAGTAGGATAAATTCACTCATCGAAGAGATAGATTGCTAAATCAAAATGCCAGGCTGGCTCAATAGTAGCCTCATGCAATAAACTATATTATATCAAAGACTGTTAAATGTTTTCCCTTTATTTCCTGTGTATTTAAATTACATTGAAATTTTGTATATTCATTATATATAGTGGAATGCCAAAAAATTCTTCACTGGAATATCACTGAAGTTGACTGGTTAAGAAATTATTTTGCACACAATACTAACCTATGGCTTACCATTGCCTCTCTTCTCCTCTTATGCAACCAAAATGGCTTCACTAGTATATAATTTCAGTTTCCCTGAATTTTGTTTCAAAATAAGCAAACTTCAAACCATTGGTTTGTTTTCAACCAGAACCCCTGACAAGAAGCAGAGATTCAGAAAAAAAATTGGGGGAAAATGCTGGTTAAGTCCTTCACTTAGCTGAAATAGAGGAGGAATCGGGAATCTACAAGCCTGAGGGTTTGCTTTGTCTCAGTTCCAGCTTATACACATAGTGCTCAACCATGGTTGAGCACTGTGTGAATGTGGCCAGTGTGTCACATGGGCCCCTGCTGGAAATATGAAGCAGGTTCACAGAGGCAGAGAATTTGGGACCTTTAGATTCTGTTTACGGAACACAGCATTTTCAATTGTTAGCACAGGACTTATGTTTACATCCTATCACATCAAGACTATTTTTTTCCTACAGTGAAGTCAGATGTAACCCAAAAAGGGGCTTAGAAAGATATGAAAATAAGAGCAAGACAACGATAAAGCTTGCTGAATAGAGAAGGTAAAAACAGCAGCTTAGAACTTCTCTTGTTCTCTGTAGTCTATCCTAAGTACACAAATGGAATTTGAAAGTTGGCTTCTTCACTTCACTATTGAAAATAACATGCAAGTTACTTGGTTCTGAAATAATGTATAGAGCATGCATTCCAGATAAAACAGGACTACAAAATGCTATCAGAGAACACAAACCAGTGCATATTTGCAAAAGCTACAATCCAGTAGCTGCATACTGCAAAAAAGTAGGCAGAACATTCCTATTTGGGGCTTTGGAACAGCTTGCACTTTAAGAAGCTTGCCTTCCAGAGCAGACAACAGAATTCACTGATCCGAAGTCAAAATTGTTTAAGTTGCAAACAAAAAGTTCATCTGAAGGACAAAAAGTACTGAATTTAGCACACAGATCTGTAGATAAAGCATAATGTAACAGAAACCAAAGATACCATTAACTTATTTGTTTGCTATTTATCAACAAGCAAAATAAAATTAAAATAGGCCTGTTTTCCTAAAACAGTCATATTGTTTTACCCAATAAACCACAAGTTTGGGGAATATTGTTTTCCAAATCTATACTCTACCTTGTTAGCCCCCAAAGTAGCTCATATAAACTTAAACACAATTAATGGTAATCCAAAAATCCATTAAAATTCAACTGCAAATTAGTTTTTTGTTTGAAACAAGAAAACAAAAACAAAAATTAAAACAAAGCATAGCATTTTTATGGTGTTAGGAAAGAGACATAAACTCCTTAACAAGAGGAGTCTAAAGATTCTGAACAGAGTATGTTGCTTTGTTCTTAAGTGTTTTCTTCCCACAGGGAACAAATTCCATCTATGGACAGAATAGCATAGAGGAATATACACTGAAAATATAACATGAAAATTCTACATGACTTCATTATCATCATTCCAAAAGTACTTTTGGGGGGGGTATTGCTAGTATATGCCCAAAATAGCAAGAGAATTCTGAAGGAGCTGCACATAATTATGCTCAATATGCTTACTGTTCAATAAGTCAAAACACATTATGGAACTCCTACTATGGCTTCAATTGGACAACACCAAGCAATGCCAATGTGACAAGCCTCTCCGGTCCCTTCCTCCCTGCCCCTTCTATGCAGCGATCCCTCCATTCCTGTTGGTAAACTGAAGGATACAAATACATGCAAAATGGCAAAATGTATCATTTAAAACATTTTCTAGCCTACCCTGCAACTTCTAAACTCTTAGAACATCTTACAGGACATTCTAATAACAATGAGAAGAAACACATTTCTGCAAGTAGTATAAAAGCAGTGAACTGGGAATAGATGAAAGAGTCATGGCAATTAAAGAAGAGTTAACCAGTTTAGGAAGTCTGTGTGAATAAAAAGTGTCAGAATCATATAAAGTTTGGCACCCAAGTGAGCCTCCCTGTGGAGAACATTCAGCAACAGAGAAAGCCCTTTCCATGGCCACCACCCCCAATACCTCAAGGACTAGCTCTCCCCATGTGAACCAATCCGGACCCTGTGATTATCATCTGAGGGCCGTCTCTGTGTGCACCCTTCGTGGGAGGTCCAGAGGCAAAAAAAGAACAGACATTTTATGTGTTCCGTGTGTGTAAAATGCTCTCCTCAGGAGGTTTGCCTGGAACTGTTGGTACATATCTTTAGGCGCCAAGCAAAAACATTCCTCTTCAGCCTGGCCTTTGGCTGTTAACTAACTATGGCCTTTTAAAGTTGGGGGGGGGGGGGTTGTTGTTTTTAAAAAAATGCTTTAATTTGCCTTCAGCAAGACAAAGCATCCAATAAATTTAGTAAGAATGATATATATACAGGTGGCAACACTACTAAACCATTCTACGTTCTATGTGAGCTCTCTCAATTTTTGGATTATTAATATAAGATTTAGAACGTAGAATGGTTTGGTAGCGTTTTGTGTGCCGCTTATGTGCTGCTTACTTTATACAGATAAAATATAACAGACAGATTTCTACAGGATGTGGTGCTAGTGTGTGAAAACAGTCAAGATCCAAGGATCCCCAGACATGCACCTCCAGATTGTGGAGACATCAGGTACCATCCTGGTGCCTGGGTATCTTCACTTGGTCGCAAGTAGCCGACAGCCAAGTGCAAAATGCGCCTGGAAAATTTTGAACACTGCGTGTGACTGCTGACACACTTATCATTTTCGTCCCTGGAAGAAGGAATGGGATGGGCTTATACTCACTCTGCCAACATGTGCAATGACCCAGAACCCAACCCCCACTGTGGAAACAGGGAGTTGCCCGTACAGAAAACTAACTAACTATTGAGATAAGTACTGAACCACGTTAGTGCAGTGTCCCTGATCCCCAACCCAGACAGTTAAACCAGAAGGATACCATCTAGTATCCAAGAACACTGAAAGCCTCCAGGTGGACTCTTTTCTTTCCCCAGCATAAACATTATCCATCATAGTAAGGACCACTGTTTCATTGTTAAATCCAGCTTGAAAGACATCTGCTTAGTGAAACTGGAAATGCACAACCATCACTTTCTTAAGCACTTTGCTCTAAAAGCAAATATATGTGATTAACCAGTACTTATGATTGAGGATTCTTTATGTGTGATCTTAACCATCTTTTTCTAGGTTGTGGAAGCTACTTGTTCTTACAAGGAGGCTTGTCTCACTTCCTGGCTCCAACCAGTCATTACTTCTCAATGTTATAAGCCAAGGGGACAAAATCACGCCATCCTTGTAATCCCCAACAAAGTAAGTTGGTCTCACATTTTCAGAGACCAAACTGCAGAATTTATGACATCCAGGCTGAGATAGCTGCAGGTGATTTTATCCTCAAAGCAAATACATTCCACTGCACCTCTATGGGTTTTACAATTACAGCTGTACCTTGTTTTGCGACTGGGTTCCGTTCTAGAGCCCTGGCTGCTAGCTGAAAAGGACGCAGGGCAAATCGCCAAGCATGCGTGCGGAGTGGTTTGCACTTCCGTGCATGCGCGAGCAGCAAACCCGGAAGTAACCCGTTCTGGTACTTCTGGGTTTGTCATGGACATTCGCTGGAATGGATGCTAGACGAGGCGGATGTTTGTGGAAGTATTACTGTATCATGTTATGGACGACACTGAAAGCTACTGTAAGCCGCCCCCCCTCCAATTCTGTTGGTCTACGACAAACTAACAGAATCGTGGTGCAGATGCATTTTGCCATCATTATTATTGTCACAGTGGGTCAAAAAATGGGCTCATATGCTGCTACATTTAAGTCTTCTGCCACTTGAGTTCAAGCTATCGCCAAACTTGTGTGCAACCCATAACATGTGGTAGGCTGATAGAATGTGACAGCCCCATGGTTGTAATGGTACCTTTTACCTTGTAATGGTAGCAATGAATTCCAGAGACACACCAACAAAATTTCCAACATAAATGTTGAGACAAAAGTCTGCAAATCTTCAACACCACACCAGACTACTGATCAGCTGTACAATAGGATTTCTAATCCATCCTTATTGCCCAGCACCAGTTATACTCAGAACCTGGAGTTGACCAAAAAAGGAGAAGTCGTCTCTGTAGACTGCAACCAATACCTCCTGTCACACCACCTGGCCTAGAACTATCCAAATATTTTGTTATCTGACCATCCATCACCAACTGCATCTCATTCTGCCCAAAAGAACTTCAGGAGGACCCATCTCCCAGAGATTTGAGCCTTTAGTTTCTAGAGGTCTTAGTCCATTAGTCCACTTACATCATTATAACCATTACACCACATCAGGAAACACTCAGACACATACTAAAACAATGCAACATTGTTAAAGATATTACAGAATCAGTATAATGAAGGTGTATTGATAAAGAACTTAAGCAAGGAAACATACAAATAAAACACCACCTGCAACTATCTAAAGGATAGACTTAATGTCATGCTGCAGTCACCTAGTAGTATTTCTGAAGGGGAACATTCAGAACTTCACCAACTGGTGGGTAGTTTTGTCCCTCAGCTTAAACCAGGAGTAGGAAACCTAAGGCCCGTGGGCCGGATGCGGCCCAATCGCCTTCTCAATCCAGCCCACGGACGGTCTGGGAATCAGTGTGTTATTACATGAGTAGAATGTGTCCTTTTATTTAAAATGCATCTCTGGGTTATTTGTGGGGCATAGGAATTCGTTCATTTTTCCCCCCCAAAATACAGTCCGGCCCACCACATGGTCTGAGGGACAGTGGACCGGCCCATGGTTGAAAAAGGTTGCTGATCCCTGGCTTAAACCATCACTATCTATAGCTTTCACCTAGATCTTTTCATCTCCCCCTCCCCCCCAGAGGTTTCTCACCTAGAAAACAAACGAGTTACATCCAGTATTGTGGGTTCTCAAAATAAAATAAATTTAATTGAAAAAACAGCATACTTTGCATTCAGTAGTTTTCAGTTAGCCTCACACTTTTGATAATTTAGCATATTTTAATAATTTAAACACAAACCTAAACAGTTTAGAACTGTCTAGCTTTGCTGTAACTGCAATTGCATTTGGCATCCATGCATTATTGCTAATGAATCAGATTCCTCCCCCCCCCAGAAAAACAAAGCACAGGGAAATGTTCTATAGCAAGGCTTCACTTGCTATATTCAATTCTTCTAGCATCCTAACACTGCAGCTTACCACGGCTGAACCCCGTCACTATAAACAAATATAGTTTTTATTACTACAGGGGTCCTAGTTTCTCTTTTAATTTTACTCCTCCCCTTGTTTCTATAGGTAAACAAAACAGCTTCTATAGATACATCCAACGAGATTTCTTTCCTTTTTAACAGATTGTATTATCTCCAAAGCCAGTCTCTACATGTTGCTTCATAAATACCAAGTGAAAGCGCCCAGGGCACCAGGTTGGGAAAAGCTGCATGACGGCTCCACGGGCGGCTTCGTTATCAAGCTCAGCTGTTTTGTATTCTCAGCACGCGTTTTGCTTCTCCCCACCTCGAATGGCTGTCTTCCCAAAAGGTCGCCCACTCGCCCTGCCATCCCCGCCCCCCAGCCAAACACAGCTTTCTTCCCCCTCGTATCCCGCTTCCCACGGCGGGCTCGGCCCAGGCTACCTGCCGCGCTCCGCTTCCTATCGCCGCCTCCCCCTTCTTCCCTCTCACGACCGTTTCCTCTCGCGCAAGGCTTGCCTCCCCTGCCCCCCCCCCGGGAAGTGTGTGTGAGAGAGAGAAACGTCGCCTCACACGGGGCACTTACATGGTCGGCGCTACTGTTGGTGCTGTAGTAATAAACGGAACTGAACGTGTAGCCTGAAATGGAAGCCGCCATGATGGAGCCCCGCCGCCGCCGCCGCCACCTCCGACGACGGTCCCACAAGCCACCGCACCTGCGCCTCCCCGGCTCACCCTCGCGCCCGGGCTTCCGGCAAGCACCGCGACGCCTCCTGGGAAACGTAGTTTCCCCGCGAGCCGTTAGAAGCCCATGGGTCTGAGGGAAGGGGCCCCTCAGGAGCACCCGCGGCCTCGCCGTGAAAAGGCGCGGTATAGCGAAATAGCTGCGCGGAGAATGTCAGGATTCGGAGCAAGGCCTTCTTTCATTTCTCGTAACTGGGGCCAGTGGTCCACCCCCGGTTCCCACCTTTCCGCCAATTATAGGAAATCTCCTATTGACTGCAATGGAGGTTGAACCGCTTCCTCTTCCCCAGAGGGGAGTTAGAGAAGAGGTGACGTAATGGGGGCGGGGCATGGTAGGTCTCTCTCTCTCTCTCTCTCTCTCTCTCTCTCTCCCCCCCCCCCTTCCCGGCTTTTCTTCCTGCCGCGGCAACTGTAGCCTCGGAAACAGCTGGTGCTTCCCAGCCTTACCCTCAAAACCCCACAGGAAGATGTTAAAGGAGCAAAGAAGGGCAGGTCCTCCAGCAGCCTAGAGAGGCAAAGATTAAAGAGCTGGGTTGGCAGCGCGCTACTTCCTGTCGCGATCGGGCTGACCGCCGTTCGGCAATGGGCGCCCGGGAGGAGGAGTTCGGCCCTTCGGCCCTGGGCACCAAAGAGCAGTGAGTGCTGCGCCGCCGCGTGGGGAGCGGCTGGGCTGGAGGCACCGCGGGAGGCTTCGTATTCCCTTCGCGACGTTTGGGCTGAATCCAAATCCCGTTGATGGAGCTCGATTCTCCTTGAAGTCAATGGGACTCGACTTGCCTTTACTGCAATGGGACCTGTATTGAGCTTAATCTAGATTGGTCCTAGACGCCCTAATTGAATAAGTCCTCTGGTTCAGTGGCGAAACTAAGTGTCCTGATGACTTGCCGGAGTTTCCCTCCACTTGCTTTTAATGATGTGCAAAACACCATCACTACCATCATCAACGAGAAACCCACCTCGTTATTATTATTTTATTTTAAAACAACTTCATTTGTTTTTAGACTAACCCCTGTTAAAATGGTCAGCTGCACGGTTTCAGAAAGCAAAACGGAAAACGAGGCTTAAATCTTGTCCTATGGAGTAGTGTTGTATTTTTTTTATTTAATTTATTTAAATTATATGTGAACAGTGGTTGCATTCTGAAATGCACAGCATTACCTGCCAACTGCATACAAATCGGTGGAGCGGAAAATGTGAAGTTTCTGTTAAATGCAACTCCGTACAAAGTAGAGGAGGGTTACCGCTTGTGTGGCAACTGCCATGGCAATATGATTTTTAATATCGGCCCTATGAATGAATTCAGAGTAAGTTTGTGCGTGTGTTGGTAAAGCTTTTGTCAACTGATCTTCATTAAGTTAATATAGGTTCAGGGCCTTTCTTGGGCCTAGAATACTCTGGATTGTGTGGTGTAGAAATGGCACCTAAGGGCATGTGCAGAATCTCACACCTGGGATTGGTGTGAGAGAGTTCTAGGTAAAATGTGTGACTATTTGGCTGGCTTGAACCAAGTGGTATATTTCATTTTAGAAACTAAAGATGTAAGTTTAGTTTAGATGTGGTATTCCTCTGAATAACTATGGCAAAGACTCAAGCAGGGAAAGTTGTGTTGCGCTTGTGTCCTGTTCACTGGTTTCCCATAGGCGTCTGGTTAATAAGTTTTGCCAGAGGAGCACAACTTCCTTTACTTGCAAATGTTAATTTGCTTACTTTTTGCATATGTAGGTTGTCAGCCAGTGTGCCGTGACACCCTGGGGCGACTTGTTTTTAAGGTTTGAAAACATAGTCATTGTAAGACGTGGTATATTTTAGGGGGTGGGGGGTCGATAAATCATGCAGTGCTCTCCTGTGTATACTTACTTGTAAGGAGGTATTGCTGCATTCGGTGGAGCTTGCTCTTACGCTAGTTGGCATATTCTGCAGCTTCACTGGAACTGGATCAAGTTTTGGATCAGTGGTGGGTAGGGTTAAGGTAAAGGATGAGCTCTGGGTTTCTCTGGTAACAGGGTAGCCCCTACTTCCTTATGTAGTCCTTCCTCACTATTGGATTACAAGATATGAAGCCGTTGCAATGTTAACTTTCATGTTGTTTTCTCCCTGTAGTTGGGATGCAGCATATGAACGTGAACTGAAAATTTTTAAGGAAAATGGTGCTCCTGGTGAGATCTGGCAAGTGTCAGTAACAACATAACATGCTGCATTAAATGTTTTTGCATTATTTTCTTTCTAAAAGTGCATGCAATAAAATAAAATGGTACATCTGCTGTTTTGCTTAGAGTACTGGTAATGTGATGCAGAGGTTTTCATTTAAAACACCAGCTCTTGTCTAGGCTAAACCTGTTGCAAATTAAAATAGCTAATTATCATGTGGCATCTGTTTTTTATGTGGGAAATGAATTGCTGACTACAGTCTGCTTGGTAGAGGCCAATTGTTCATATCCCTGATGTTTGTCAAAAATTGAATAAGTGCATAGACAAAGTTGCACTGCTGCTTTGTGTTTCTATAGATTAAAAAACAACAACACGAAACCCATCTCATCTTCTGTAATGTTAACCCAGCAGGTTTCAGAGCCATCCGTTCGCTTACAAAATTAAGCCAAACTAACTTGCAATGTGATCCCTTGAGATTGATGCCATCATGAAGTGGATGCATTGCATGAGATTGACAATGTTCGTTTGCCTTTGTTTTGTGTAGTCTAACAGTGTTAGTTACCTGAACCTCTGTTTCTGATTAGGTTTGGTGAAGAAAGCATGACTCGTTTAATTAGATGGATAGAAAAGCAAAAGATACCCCTGGACAGCTCTGTGCTTGACATTGGAACAGGAAACGGTGTTCTGCTGGTTGAATTGGTTGGTATTTGTAAATCTGGTGTTTTTCGATGCAAATCTAAATCTAGTGACAGAGCAAGCAAGAGTTAAAACATTAGTTAAAATGCACAACGTCCATGTAATTTAACACTTCAGTGGCCTATCTCCATCTCCATTATTGAACCATAGGAATTTATTCTGAAAATGAATTGTTACAGTTCAGTTGCATAAAAATTATTGTGTATGTGTTTGTTGCTTTAAACATCCAAAAGTTTTTATACTGCTTTGAGGGTTTTATTTTACAATTAAGCAGCGTATAAATGCTATGAAATAAATAAATAAAATATTATCAAAAGAAGAAGCATCACAAAATCAGCCCGGAGTATCTAAAATGGTTTCATGTCTTACACTGAATTCTCAGTTTATTTCCTATACCCTTACTCTTACTCTGATGAGAACCTAAGGCAGCTAACAATAAAAAATACAGCATTAAAAATAAAAGTAGAACTGCAGTGCACAATACAACATGCAATAATAATCAGTGTTACATTATTATACAAACAGTCTCACTCCAGTTATGTTCCAAAGGCCTGTCTGAACAAGTAGGTCTTAAATTGCTGTCTGAATTAACATTTTGTGTGTGTGTGTGTGTGTGTGTGTGTGTGTGAGAGAGAGAGAGAGAGAGAGAGAGAGAGGTTTTACATCTCCTTTGTAGTGAGATGTGTGACCTGACTTCAACTAGTATCTGTCTTCTGGTAAGGTTGATTTAAGACTATGGCACTAGAAAGGTGAAAAATTGATTTTGCACACATAACCACTTCTTTTGTGTCAGTGTTGCCTTTGAAAGCACCCCGTTCTGAGCCAGTTTATGAAATCCACAAATACATCGCTGTAATAGTGTTCTGATGCAACACACCGTAGTCTTTTCAGATTACAGCTTGAACTCACCCATGGAAAGTGTTCAAACTTTGTTATGTAGAAATAGTCCTTGTGGTCTTTCATGCTTGCTTCCTTAAGCAGCCAAGGCAATTTTAGCTTTCCTGAATTTCAGCTCAAATTATCTTTTACATTTGCCCAATATCCTCCAGCTGCTATACTACTTAAAATTCCAAGAACTAGATTACAGCAATAGCTTTATTGGGCCAACCAAATGTTACTAAACAGTGAGAAAGTTTTTGAGTTCTCCAGAACTTGTATCAGGCAAAATGGTAAACAATACAAGGGGAAGAGGAGAGAGAAAAAAAGTTGACACCAATAAATGGTCTTAAGGTGGAATGTTGCTGGCAGTATTGAACATATAAATGAAGCTCTGTTAGTTGCATTGCTGAATTTAAGTTGTATCTGTGCTGCAAAGGAGAAACATAAGACTGCTGATCCTTCATTTTTTAGAAAAACAAAATCCGGTTGTTGCCCAGATCTGTTTTCACCCTTAGGTATAAAGCACCTTGGTAAATGGAAAAAGGAACACTGAAAACTAGACAGCGCTTACATTAACAATTCTGGAGCCTAATTTTAAGTGGTGGGCCAATATAACTACCTTTATTGTTGTGTATATTGTTTCAGTGCTGTAGCCTGACACAATGTGGCTTTTGGTGGGGAAAGATACAGGGAATAGCCTCATCCAATCCTCCCCCCCAATATTTGCAGGGTGAACTGAGTGCGGTTTTGGGATCCCACATGAGATTTCCCCCTTTTTCTTCTCACATGGAGTGTTATCAGTAACACTTAATGTTCAGCCTTGCCTTTAATACAGTGAATTAGCCTTTAACAATTTTGTCAACCTAAAAATTGAAATGGAATCTGATTCTTTCATGGGTCCTCTGGAATAAAAGCAGGAATAAATATAAGGAACTTAAGGTATAGTGTAGGCCTGAAGCTTGGTTGACTTTTCACGGTGATCTAAGCTAGCTGTGACTATGCAGGACTGAAACATAAGGATCCCACAAAGGATATGAAGTTTAGAAGAAAAACAGAGCGAAGGTATTGCATGCATGCATCTGAGATTTAATGCTATAATATCTCTCTTGTAAAATATGTCCTGCAGTTTAGCATCTTTGATGCACAAGTGCATGATCTTTGTTGCATTTTCTTCTATAACTTGGCATTGTTTGCTGCCATGTTTCAATCTTGTACAGTCATACCTCAGGTTGAAGTAGCTTCGGGTTGAGCGTTTTTGGGTTGCGCTCCACGGCAACCTGGAAGTAATGGAACGTGTTACTTCTGGGTTTCGCTGCTCGCGCATGTGCAGATGCTCAAAATGATGTCACGCGCATGTGTGGAAGCGACGAATCGCGACCCGCGCACACACGGGTTGCATTCGCTTCAGGATGCGAAAGGGGGTCCAGAACGGATCCCGTTCGCATCCAGAGGTACCACTGTATAGATTTTCTTCAAAGTAAATGCCATGAAAATCAACTAGTAAGCCAATGAAACATTTAGGGCTTAATGGACTTTTCCTCTCTTTAGGCCAAATCTGGTTATACCAATCTTACAGGAGTTGACTATTCTTTGCCTGCAGTGCAGCTTTCAAAAAGCACAATGGAAAAAGAAGGGTTGCCTCACATTAAGTTGCAGGTAAGTCTTCATGGATGCAAAATGATAAAATTATGGGGATAGGAGGGCTTTTCCTATAAAAAAGGCTAAAAATTTGGAATAGCTTAGGAAAAAAATAACTGAGGGATGGACATTTATAAAATTAGGCATGTTGCAGTGAGAGCATAAATAGAATTTTTCTTCCTCTGTCATAAAGCAAAAGCCTGAGCCCCACCCCCCTTTTGAAAGTTTCAAAAGTTTCCTTGTGCGCTTCTTTACATAGAATTTTTTGCCACAAGATGTTGTGATGGGCACTAATTTAAATGGCCTTAATATGGGCTTAGACATATTTACTGAGGGAAGGTCTATCATTGGGTGTTGGTCATGAAAACTACCGTATTTTTCGCTCTATAACACGCACCTGACCATAACACGCACATCGTTTTTAGAGGAGGAAAACAAGGAGGGGGGGAATTCTGAATGAAACAGTGGATGTATCATTTTTGTGCTTCATGCTGTGGCCACAGACATGTGATCTGATGGTGAATTTGGGGTGACCCAATGCAAAAATCCTGAGAATCCCTGTGGATCCATGCTTTGTAATCACGTTTTTGCACCATTGCAGCCCCAGGCAACAGTGGGTGCGTGATTTTTTTGGTGCAGGCTGTAGCCATGGTCATGCTATGTGATCTGATGGTGAATTTGAGGTGACCAAATGCAAAGATCCTGAGGATCCATGTAGATCCATGCTTTGTAACCACGTTTTTGCACCATTGCAGCCCCAGGCAACAGTGGGTGCATGATTTTTTTGGTGCAGGCTGTAGCCATGGACATGCTATGTGATCTGATGGTGAATTTGGGGTGACGCAATGCAAAGATCCTGAGGATCCATGTGGATCCATGCTTTGTAACCACATTTTAAGTTGGGAGGAAAGGAAAAACACAGAAGCGTCAAGGAGCACAAGAGGGGTGTGCAGAGAAGCAGCTGGCTAAGAATGCAGGAGAGGGGTTTAACGGGTTAGGGAGGAAAGGAAGGCAAAAGTTTCCCCCCCCCACCCAAGCCAGCCAGCCCTCTCTCTCTCTCTCTCTCTCTCTCTCTCTCTCCACCCCCCACCTGCATGTTTTCCGGCTGCCTGCGAGTCCCTAGACGCAGCAGCAGCACCGGAACACGGAGAGGAATTAGAAGGAAGGACGCTCTGCTTTCCCCTCTGCTTGCCTGGAGGGGAGGGGCTTTCCCTGCTCTTTGTTCCGTTTGAGCAAACACAGCAACAAAACAGAGGAGAGTGGGCAGCAAGACCCTGAGGCAGAATGCAGGAAAGCAGCAGCTTCCTTTTTTCAGGTTTCCCTTCTCCGAGACGCGCGATTTGATTTTTGCCTGATTTTTGCCTCCACTCGCGCCACTCGGCTCCAGGGACCACACATTCGCTCAATAACACGCACAGACATTTCCCCTTCCTTTTTAGGAGAAAAAAATCTGCGTGTTTTAGAGAGAAAAGTACGGTAAATGGAATTTCCAAAGCCAGTCTTCAACTGAATACCAAACGTTGAAATTGGGGCAAATGTCAGGCGAGGCTTTTTGTTTTCACACTTACCTAGAAGTTTCATTGAACATAGCGGGACTTTCTTCTGAATAGGTTTGTACTGTGTATGACCCTGGACCAATTACTCCCATATGTGGAGATTGCCTCATCTCTTCTAAACTAAAAAGTGGTATAAAATGTTTTTTGGCACTACACGGAATACATTGCCTACCAGGTTTTGTTTACACAACCAAGATTCAGAGCTTATTCTTTCAGGGTTGTTGTCCTGTGACCTCAGTCTCCCATGTATGGGATTAAGATCTAGATGTCTCCATCACATTATATTGCTGATTTTATGCTGCCTTACGTTGATTTTATGTTTTCTTTTTTTAATTAGTCTGTATTTTACTGTTCTTATGAGAAGTGTTTTGTAAACTGCCCTGTAGATGTTGTTGATGAATGATGCAGCAACAACTAAACAAGCAAATAAATAAAATATCCCTGAATGCCTGGTTTAGGAGTGTTCTGCACTTCTTTTCTTTCTATGATCCTAGGAAGGCATAGGCATAGTAGACCTGATAGGAAATATTAAGTAATGACTGCAGTAAGAGGTTTGACAGCTATAACTACCTTCTACAGGTAGAAGATATTTTAAATCCATCAGATGCATTATCAGACTTTCAGGTTTGCATTGATAAAGGGACTTTTGACGCAATCAGTCTGAACCCAGACAACGCAGCACAGAAGAGGAAGCAATATGTGAATTCCCTGCACAGAGTGTTGAAGCCTGGAGGCTTTTTCATCATAACGTCTTGTAACTGGACCAAAGAGGAGCTGCTCAAAGAGTTCAAAGAAGGTGAGTGCATGCCTCTCTTTAAGGTATTTCGGATATTAAGATACAGTACTAGTGAGAGAGCTTTGTGTCCCGACTTAACCTGCTGAATCGATATAGATAGAGCAACCACTGCAAAGTTGTTCTAGGGCCGATGCTTAATATGCTCAATTGTGTGTGAATTTCTGTGAATATGGTTTCTGCCTGAATACTTGGAATTCAGATGTACTTTTTGCTAACCTGAGCCATCACAGGCAGGTTGATAGAGGAGAAGGCATTCTTGCAGATAAATTAACCAAGTTTGTATTTACAGAAGGTAAATAGACTTTGGATTTTCTGGTCCCCAAGCTGTTTTCTGACTCCAGAAGTAATTATTGACATTGGTGGTTGGGGAAAATTGGAATTACTGGCATGATAGCAGCCTGTTGCCTGTTTATAATACGAGGACTAAATCTTACCTTGGCAATATTGGTCAGCGATATAAAACATACAAGTCTATGGAAAATGGTAGTGCCTTCTAATTTGTCTGTGCTCCATTTTGAATTAATATAAGTAGCTATCAAATGAGGATATAGCTTCATTTTTTCCTAACGAAAGCATTTTTCTTATGGTTAGCAGGCTTTCATCTTCTGGAGGAACTGCCAACACCCACATTCTGCTTTGGAGGAAGAACTGGAAACAGTGTAACTGCCTTGGTTTTCCAACAGAAAATATGAAGTTTTCTTTTTAGGTGAACTTTGGATAAAAACTTCATTCTAAATTTCACTGACATTTTGTATAAAAAAATACAGGTTTCAGAAACAGCTTTCTCTTAACTACTCCTTATTGCAGTATGTCATTGTATCAGCATTTTATACTACCTAAAATAGTGCTGGCGCAAATTAGGAACAGCTACCAATATTACTGATGATGAGACCACACCCATAAAGGCGATTTAATAAACTGTCCGGCAAAGTCAATTGCAATATGTGCAAAAAGTGAGGTTGGGGGAGGGAGGACACTTTGCTGAAGTTTGTAAGTCTCCTGTCCAGGTGCTTATAAATAAGAATGAGGAACATCGCATTTCCTGGGGGGAATTTTTGAGTGACAGGACTCCACCATGCTTCCCCATATTGTCGGGGGAATATGGCCACAAATTGAAGCTGTGAACGGATTCATCCTACCCATACACTATTTAATTAAAGCATTTTAATTCTGATTTTCAGCTGGAAAAGTTATGACAGCAGTTTACAATCTGAACGACACAGCATAAAAGGGAGAGGAAAAAAAGAAAGGGGGCGGGGAGCAGAATAAGTCTGCTTCCAGATGGGTGGTTCCTAGTGCAACTCAATCACTTCTCTTCCTTCAAAAGCTATAAGCAGATTGTAGCTGGCTTTCCATACTGTTAGAAGTACTGTCCTTTCCCTATCCTTCTGTGTTCTGTCCACTCTGGTGATTGTGCCAGGGCTGCTGTGAGTGGGGCCATTTGAGGCTCAACACACATTCACAATGCATGTTGTGGTGGGTGCCATTTTGTGATCCAATTATTAATCAGTCTTCAAATTAGCATTGAAACACTTTTCTAGAATTATTTTTGAATAGAAGACTTATACCACCATAATGTTGCCGTTTGTAATAATGGTGTTACAGTGCTGTAATGCCACAAATACAACAATGGTAATTTTAAAAGAGTTTTAAAAACCCTTATGACGCCCTAGCCAATTTTGCAACTGAAATGGTTTTGTAACACAGTTTTATGGTGGGACAGTGCAATATATTTCAAATATTATAGGTGGAAATTATTTTAGTGCTAATTATAGATGAAAATCGATGGGATTGTGAAACAGCACCCATTGTAAAGACTTTACTGAAGGTGTACTGAGCTGCCATAAGGTTCACTTGAACAATTAATCACTGCTGTCGAAACATAATCTTTTGAAAAGATAGAAGGGTTATTGTTATACCTGTGGACACTGCACTTTTCTGTTTTTCTGAAAAACGTTGGACTTTCTGTGGTCTGAGAAAAGATTGAAGAACAACAAAGAAAATACAGGTTGACAGTGTTGGGATGTCTCTGCCATGCAGATGCACCTTCAAAAAAACGTGGATCAGACACAGCATTTCCCACATTTAGCATCTTCAGGCACCAGTTATTAAAGTTATAATAGTTACACCATTGTTTTCCCCCCAGCTTCACAAAGTCTTCTTTTTAATCCCAAGCCCTTGCCTGCAAACATCAGATACCCATCCAATTAGATATAAGGGTGCTCCTATTGCCATAAATGGCCATTTCATGTGTGTTTCACTGCTATCCTGGAATGCAAAGGATGCATTACTGAGGGAAGAGTGCGCACTGCACAGAGGAGCTTCAATACTGAGATGGAATCACGACAGAACTCCAGTTTGTGTTGGACCCAAATAGTGTTGACCCTGTTTATGTTAGAAGAATCTAAAACTGAGAATTCATACGCTTCTTTCATTGCTTATTTCTCAGAGGTTTTTTGCTGATAACTCCTGGTATTCAGAATACTTTTCCAGATTCTTTACCCTGTTGTCTGATTCCAAGCCAAAAGGGTATTAAAGAAGATGAGGATGAATGGCTGGTAATTCCCCCAAATCACCCAAGGTGAGATTATACCTCCAGACTGGAAAGGAAACTTGAGTGCTGGCCCAAGTGCTTGCTAGTTTTAAACCTGATAGAACCAAAGGACGGTCATGCAAGAATAAAATACCTGAACATTTGCAACAGGACAGGCAACTGTCCTTTTCAATAAGTGGGTATTGAGAATTGATGTGTAGCACTAGCCTCTCTGCATTTGATTAAAGTAGCCCATGATGAAAGGGACGCGGGTGGCGCTGTGGTCTAAGCCACTGAGCCTCTTGGGCTTGCCGATCAGAAGGTCGGTGGTTCGAATCCCCGCGACTGGATGAGCTCCCGTTGCTCGGTCCCTGCTCCTGTCAACCTAGCAGTTCGAAAGCACGTCAAAGTGCATGTAGATAAATAGGTACCGCTCCGGCAGGAAGGTAAACAGCATTTCTGTGCGCTGCTCTGGTTTCGCCAGAAGCGGCTTAGTCATGCTGGCCACATGACCCAGAAAAACTGTCTGCAGACGAACGTCGGCTCCCTCGGCTAGTAAAGCGAGATGAGTGCCGCAACCCCAGAGTCGTTCACGACTGGACTTAACTGTCAGGGGACCTTTACCTTTTAGCTCATGATGATCGCCTAGGTAGGAGTTTGATTAAAAGAACGACGAGACAAAAGCTTTGGATGCCCAGGAATGGACAAAACCACTGAGGAACTAATCAAGATTTATGTGATTTATGCCTTATGTGGAAATATCTCAGAAGTCGTTCATCATTCTGTTATGTCCAACAGAGGGCATGCAAGGCCAGCATCAGTGAGGCTGAACCAGGCTCATTGTCATGGTGTGATATCATCAGCTCCCATTGTCCTTCCCACCCCTACCTTCTACTACGGCTTTTGTGAGTAGCAGGGCTGCAGGTGTGGTGACCCATTGCTCCACTAAGCCCCACCAGAGAAGAACAGAGTTTGGGTTGCACCCTAACCAAGCAACAGGTAAACAAATGGCAAGACAGTATGCCCGCTGACTACTTTTAACAATAAAATTAAGGGCAATACTCCCATTTACTAAATACTGTACTTTTGCTTGATGTTTCGGCTCCATTAAAAAACTTGGACTGATGATGCAAACAGTCATACTTAGAAGTAAGTCTCATTGAGTTCAATGGAGATTATTCCCAGTGGGTATAGGATTACAGCATGAGGCTGCAGTCCAATTATAGTTATTTAGGACTAAGCCTACTTGAATTTAGTGGCACTTCTGAGTTAACATGCACAGCAGGATAGGGTTACAGGACTAATTGTTCAGGAAAATGGCACAGAAAACGTGTGATTGCCCTACCCCATCACAACTTTCAGATAAACAACCCTGAGCAGAAGAATGGAAGATGGCATAAGAGCAGCAATGGAAGGAAGGAACACAAGTGGCTTCTGGGGCTTTTCTGTTGTACCAAAAGTTTGCTAGGGGATCAGCATATGCCAGTAGGAGTCACTCTTGGCTTCTTAATAGAATTTAAAATAAATTAATGCAAGGCATCCTCACAACCAAATATACCAATTATTTATTGCAGGTATCAATGTCAATAAAAATACAGGTGGCATGCTTACCCTTACATTATGTCTGTTTAACATATTTTCTTGTTACAATATAATAAATTCAAATACCATGAGTCTCCTCAAGTTTGAAAGAACACAAATCTGAAGTTAGCTATAGCCAAATCAATTTGTTGGGCTAAAATTGAATTATATTGTAAGCATGAGAACTACAGCTAATTTTTATATTTTAGTGGTACACAGTTGATGTATTTAGATATAATTGTCACAAGCATAGCACATGCCAATTCATAAGCCAGGCGTCACTCAATATACTATGTTAATTGTTCACTCTTATTTTTATTTATTTATAATATTTTGAACCATCCTATCATCATAACTGATCTCAGGGTAGAGTACAATACAATTAAAATCCATCCAAATTAAACAATTAAAAAATGCACCCAACAACAATAGCATACAAGGCAAATATGGTTATAACCCAACCTTCTATCAATTCCTTCATTACAGTCTTCACATGTGCTACATTTGTGTACATATAAACTGATGGAACTCAGTAACTCAGAAGGAGAAGCGGAAATGTGGAATTCTGCACTCACAGATCACACAAAAGTACCTCAAGCCGCATGTTGTTGAGCTCTGCTTCGTAACAAGTGATACCAGAATTTAAATTTGCCTATTATAAAATGATCCCAAACCAACTACTAGTCTGTGGATTGCATATTCATGATAACTACCAAGCTACTGTTATTATATATAAGCCTGGAATATATCACACTTTAATATAGCAAAGCTATTTAATCTCATTTGTCCTCACAATAACCTTAACAGTCCCATTGTTATTACCATTTTAGAAGCTGAGGAAAAATCTGTCTATCCCAAGCCCATGACTGATCAAGGATCTGAACACAGACTTGCTGTGTCTAATTTCTGTATTTCAGCCCTAAGCTTTTAGTTCTAGATTTATTTTATTCTATTTTACATGGAATAAAAGTAGCTCTGAGGTCAAAGCAGTGTTTTAAGCTATAATCATATGCACGCTTACAGTTCATGCCTACTAAGAAGTAAGTCCTATTGAATTCAATGGAACTTGTAGACATGTGTGTAGGATTGCAGCCTCGCCCTGGGAGTAAACTTCATTGGATATGGTGGACCTTATTGCCCAGTAAATATGCATAGAATGGAGCTGAACAAATTAGCCACCACACCTTTAGCAAAAAGCAAATAGAACTGTAGAGAATTCAGTAAAATTCTATTTAGGGTCATATTTATTCCATCTGATTGCCTGACCACCTAAGGCAGGGCTGGACTTATCAACAGGCAGATTGGGGTGGCCACCTCAAGCTGCAGATCCTGGAGTATGGGGATAGTCACCCAGCTTGTTCCTCTCTGCTGGAGGACAACGGTGTATCACGAGACCTGTTCTGAACCAAACCTTGCCTGGTACTCTCAGGAGTGGTGGACGATGTGTGTCCAGGAGGGGGCACCATCTTATATGGCTCAGGCAGCAAAAAAATAAAAAAAAAAATGGGGGCTAGCCTTGGCCTTTCTTCTAGGCAGCTCCTTATTATGGAGCTCCCTCCAAAGGAAGATTTGGCTGGCCTCTAGCCTCCTTGGCAAAAATGTATGCTTTTCTGGAGTGTTTGCTCTGTGCTGCTTTCTGCTTTTTATTTTCAAAACTTTTATGGCGGTCTATGTGTTTTTATTATGTCTATGGTAGGATTATTAAAAACATCAACAACAAAACCAACAAGCCAAGGTACTCCGTGTCTCTTTCCATTTTGCCCCTCCAATGTTATAAATTAGACACGTTTTGAGAACTGCTTTCAACTGGCAAAAATAATAATAGCATTTTCCATTGAAAGAGCGGGGAGCTGGGTACAATCAAGACTGATTCAGCTGCCCAAAAATAACACAGTCAGTTACATGCAATGCTATGGCTGGGAGTTTTTTTTTGGGTGGTGGGGGATTTTGCCCCAGCATCCCTGTAAGTGACTGTAGACATCACGCCTCTTAGTTACTCTGAAGCAGCAAGAGGTTATTGGGGGCAACCAAGAAAACAGACACCTGCCCTTTCCTCCAAATCCAGACTGACCACTAACCACTACTCTAGGTATTAGTGCTTAGCTTCTAAGGGTGCGACCCTAACCTCACTTACCTGGGAATAAGCCTCATTGCACTCTGCGGGGCTGACTTCTCAGCAGACACATTTAGGATTGTGCGGTCAGATGTGAAAATCCCAGGCTTTCCAAACCTGTCCAGGAGCCCCTGCCTAACCTTTGACCTGGAAGGCCTTCCCTTCATCCCGGATGTGCTCAGGAGGGATGCAAATGTGCATGTTTGCATTCAGCGGTGCGAGAAAGGAGGAGAAGCAGCCCCTAGCCGTTCCCAAATGCGCTCTCCCTGCTGTTCCTCGTCCCCTGGTTGTTGCAGTAAATAAGTGTCCGGGGCCCGTGGAGGAATCGCCTGAATAATAGGAACTCTCATCGTCACTTAAACAAACCAACCGCGAGATGCGATGCCGGTTTGATGGCAGAGGCCCTGCGCTTTGACCCGAACCGATAATGTGAAGCAGATTGGCAGCCGGCGAGAGACTCTTGCAGACGCCCCGGTCACAAACCCGCCCGTCCACCCCCGAGCTGCTACTCCGGCTTTAATGCAACAAGAGCCCCGTAAGAGATGAAGGCCGCTTCCAAGCCTTCGCTTTGCAAAGGCTGCTGCTGCTGCTGCCTCTGCCTCCGCCGCCCCTTCCTTTCATCCCCCCAGAGGCTACGCAGTCCGGCCTGCTAACAGCAATCGGGTGGTGGTTGCTGCTGCTATTGGTGCTTGCAAGAGACTTGCAATTAGCAGGAGCCCGGCACGAGCTCAGCCCCGCGCCTTTCACTTATTCACTTATCATTTTATTATTTTATTTTAATTCCAACCCCCTCCTATACTTTTTTTTTTTTTTAAAAGCAAGCCGCACTCGCTGAGAAAACAACCCAGGAAGTGACAAGCCCATTTCCTTTCTCCGGGAGGATCAGTCCAATACAGCACCGCCGTTTCGGCAGGGGAGTCCTGGCGCAGCCTTGGCAAGATTGCGGAGCTTCCCGCAGGCACACACGCGCGGCGGGGCGGCTTGGTGACGCGGGGTCCCAAGTCCTCTAGCCGGGGTAAGAGAAGGTGGCCTCTGAGCGCTTGCACGCGGACCTTCCCTTCTGCAAATCCTCTCTCCACCCCCCGTCTTTCTCCCTCGTTGGTCTCGTCCTGGGCAGATATTGTTACAATGTGTAGAATAGTAGAGCGGAGACACTTTCATTCCCCTCTCGGACAGAGAGAGAGAAAGAGAGGCTTTCTTGATGGCTTGAGGTGGAAGCTATTTATTATCTGCTATTTCCTTCTCTCCCCCCCCCTCCTCCTCCCTCCTCCACTTTTCAGTTTTTATTTTGTTGGTGTTTGGGAAATTCTGCTCCCACTTCCTTGCCGGTGCCTGGGATGAGGAGATGACAGGAGCGATCAGAGACAGGGGACCAAGTTCGTATTGCTGCTACTGCAAAGGCTGCTATTGGCATTCCGGAAAGGAGCAAGCGGGGAATGCACGATGGTGATTGATCTGGGGTGTGTGCGTGCGTGTGTGCTCCTTTAACCCGGTTTCTAACTCCATCGTTCTGGGCTGTCATTATCAGCAAACAAGAGAAGCGAGCTTAGAGAAGGGACAAGAGGTTGGGGGGGGGTGAGTTTAGGAATTAGCATTTTGTTTATTGAACTTTGCATGTGGTCAAGGAAAAGGCTGCCTGCCCTGATTGATTGAACTGAGACCAGGCACTGGGGCTGCTGCTAACCAACTGGAAGTGTGTTAACATTTCCCCCCTCCCCCTCCTAGCTACCCACCCCACCCCCCTGGTTAGATATGTTTCTTTTCTGTTTCTTCTTTACGTAGCATAACTATAAATATGGTGATGATAATTTGACGGGAGTGAGACTTTACTGTATGGATTGCATTTGCACATGGCGAAAGAATCTGCCCTTGAAAGGCTCTTTTAAAGTTAAGAGTTTTGCAGTACGTCATTGATTTGTCAGCTATATGAGAGTTTAGTCCTCAGGCTTCATTTCTCTTTCCCCTTTCATGAAAATGTAGAAGTCGGCCTGGACACAAGCAGGCTGACAAACGCTTCGTTATTCATGAGTGTTTTATATCTCTGTTCATAACAGCAGTTGCCAGCAGTGTTTATGTCTGTATGTCCCATTTGCTCTTGCACCCCATATTTTTCACATTTTATTTTTAGCTCTTTTTCTTGTTTCCTCCTCTGGGATAATGTTTCTGCATACTGTGAGCCTCAGTGAGTGTATTGTGCATATACTTGCATGATGATTTTGTTATGCTTGATCAATGGAGGGCTGTCATATTCTATGCTCCAAACCACCATTATATCAGTGGCAGTCTACTCAGATGTGACTTATATGTTTGCATGTATTCAGATAGCTTATGTTTCCATTAAAACAAGCTCAGCATGAAGTTGGATTTAGTATTCACTTTTTGGGGGGGGGTGTAGTATGACTAACTAACATAACCAGTTATCTTTTTTTAAAATATAATCATAGATTAAATGTGTTACTTTCCTGAATTCTCAGTTACATCTTGCTTTTACAGAGCCTAGGGGTGGCATTCAGCTAAGTTTTACTCCAAGTCTGTCAACGTGACTAAGTTAAATTCATTAATTTCAATGTGTCTATTCTGAAAAAAAAGCGGTTGACCACCCCCCTGGGTTTCTTATAAAGTTTGCTTTGAGTAGGTAAATGGATGTCATAGTATTGATCAACTAGCATGTTAATAGCATTGTACGCATAAGCCATGTTACAAGTATTGATGAAAGTAACAGCACTCCTTGTTCTTCAGTGTGTCTTGGACTGTAGTTTTTGTGTGTGTGTGTGTGTGTGTGTGTGCTTACACTCTTCAACTGGTGGTGCAGGACACACTAGTGGATCACAGCCTGAGCCAAGGTGGGCCACAACAGGGGCACTATCACTATGCAAAAAGATCAATAAATGGGTTCCCAAATGCATGTTTGGGTTAAAGGGAATACCTGGGTCTGTAAAGTTTCTAGACTCCTGCTCTAGATGAACTTTGTGTAGATCAGATATTTGGTATTAGATTGGTTAACAGTTTGCAGATTGTTAGCACTGTAAAAGAAATCTTGAGGGAGACTGTAAAATCTGGAGCAGACTCCTCGGTTTCACAGCCCCTTTTTGGATCAAGGGAAATGGTGCCTTTTGCTGAGATGATTTAGGAGTGTGCTCTCATATGTAGTCTTGGCAGCACAGCAGACGTAGGCTGCTTGATTACAAGCTCTGCCCTGTGTTCAGGAGACCACAGTGCAGTTTGACTATAGGGAAAAGATACAAAGCCAACTAAGCAAGCGATACTGTGAGAGAACAGGCATGCAACCAGAGAATGGTACTAATTATGAAATTGGATGCATATTTGTTACAGGATTATGCCCCACCCCCAGTGCGAAGAACACCTTACATTTGGCTTCACTGATTAATGTTAACCCACATATTCTTACTGGGTTAACGAAATAATTTATTTCCCTTTTCTATCATTTTTTTAAAAAATATCTGAACTGAGGAATGGTTCTGTTAAACATAAATGATTGCATAGTAACAAAAAAAATAAGAGTGCTGGTTGTTTTTTTTTTACTGCCCTATGAGACAATCCTATATATGTTTACTCATAATTAAGCCCCATTGCATTTAGTGGGGCTTGCTCCATAGTGTTTAAGATTTCAGCCTCTGTTTATTTGGGTTTTTCTTGCAAAAGCCTTCACCAATACAGTGGTACCTCGGGTTAAGTACTTACCGGTAATTCGTTCTGGAGGTCCATTCTTAACCTGAAAGTGTTCTTAACCTGAAGCACCACTTTAGCTAATGGGGCCTCCTGCTGCCGCCGCGTTGCCGGAGCACGATTTCTGTTCTCACCCTGAAGCAAAGTTCTTAACCTGAAGCACTATTTCTGGGTTAGCGGAGTCTGTAACCTGAAGTGTATGTAACCCGAGGTACCACTGTACCTGCTAGATTATTTTCCTAGAATCTGAAATGCACAAGAAGACCTTTATCAGGGACAATCCAGTAAGGACAGATTAAACAACCTGTGTTTATTTGATAAGCAATTAGGTATTCAGCCAGAGAATGGAGTTGAGCTTTGCATTTTGAACTGAAACAAGTTAAATTTTCTCTCCACGTCAGTTGTGTGTAGCTAACGCATTTGGAGATTTGAGTTAATATCTACTTTTTTCAATGAAGCTGACACACTGTTCCTATTGCCATGTCTTTGCAGGGTTCTTTTTTGATCGATGCATGAAAGTGTAGGTGAGACTTGAAAGCTGATGGATGTTTCTCACAGCCAGATTACTATATGATGGTCCAAGGAGTATTGGGGAGATGCCCAGGACATCCTAAAATTATGCAACTCCACTCTTACGTGATTACCCATCCATCTATAAATTAAATAGTTTCTCTCTAGTAGTTGGCATACTTCCATATTTCCTATTCATACTGAAACTACATTTTAGAAGATGTCTTCCGAATCATAGGTTAGAAATATTCCAAAATTTGGTCTGTAGAACTGCAGAACTGTAGAACGTAAGGAAAAATAATGTTGTTAGATCCAACTGACAGTTGGAGAGCAATTACTTGACAAGGCTGCAAAACTATGGGCAACAGACTTCCCTTGCCTACTTGCTCAATGGAAATCCACTTGCAGAAAGGAGTTTCAGTTTCTCTCCTCCATCCTTTTCACGTGCCCTCAAATCTGCTTGGACAGAATCCAAATGCTCCAGAGTAAATGTTGGGGTTCAAAGGGGGGGGTGCTCTGACCCTGTCTATTTTGCCCTTTGCTATACTGTACCAGAGTCCAGTTTTCAGCTGGGTAATTCAATTGGCTGATCTGATTTTTTAAAAATATTAAGTGGTTTAGAAATGCTTTTAAATAATATTACACTAAGATAACAATTTCTCTCCAAGTAATACAATATGAAATAATTAAGGTTTAGTGGGGCACAGTTTTCCATGTAGCTAACACATGTGTCCTTGGAAACCTTTGGCCACTTTCACTCAGATTGGAAGTAGACTTATCTCTATAGAGAAATTATGTTTAAAGCAAGCCACAATTTATTATGTAATATGTTGATAAAAGGAGGCTTCAGCTTTAGATTCGACCCAGATGTTAAAGGTTTTCTTTCTAAATGCTTTAAAAATAATAATACTGGTGAGCATAAATATCACACCAGGTTTAAAGTGACTTCCAAGCTGCAGAAAGTAATGTTGGCTTGCAGTAATCAGGATTTAAAACATTATCTACTCCAGGAGCATTTGGTCTCTCCTCCCCTCCTTCTGAAATCCTATTTAATTCCATTCACTTCTCAAACACTCAATTTTCATGACTCTGCTTTGAAAGAATGGTTTGCTTTACAGTCGTGATATACATGGTGTCAGTGTGGCCTGACCTACCTCACTTGGTCATATGCTTTACATCATGGCTTTCGATATTTCAAGGAAAGAAAATGCTTCTATATCCACTTTCAACAAATAAAACGCACACGGTGATTTCGTAGGTGATTGGAGAAGTGGTCATATAAATGGGCTAGAAGTAGAGCCAGTGGAGTGATCAATAAAATGTAATAAGTGAAATGCAGCTCATGTTTGTATGGCTGCCGCTTAAAAATCTGGCATAGAGATTGTTCTCCTGTCTTCTTCAGATACCACAATATTTCCACTGGTTCATGAATGGTTGCTTTGCATTGAGGTAGTACTACATACACAGATATGTGTATTGAAGCTGGGCTTTGTACGTATTCTGCTTTAGATTCAGTTCTTTCCGTACAATCTTGCAATATATTTAATTCTGTCCCTTTTTTTCTATTTTTGTTGTCTTAGTATTTATTGCACAAGCAAACAGTGTTTTACAGAATATATAAAAAAGCCCTCATTCTGTTTAAATACCAAAGAGTCTTGCAGATCTTTAAGGTGGCCTGAGGCCCTTTTATGGTCTAGACTCCACTTCATCAAGTAGTGGATGAATGTTTCTGCTGTAAAACATTTGTCAGGTTTGCCAGGGGCTCTGTTATTTTTGCTACATAGTTGTACCCTTGGAAGTTTTGTTGGTAAGGGTGGCAGTGGTTAATTTGTGCCCCCCCCCCCCGCGTGTTGCTGGCCTACAACACCCATCTCTTAAGAACTGGCCTTGCTGCCTGGGGCTGATGGGAACTGGAGTCCAAGACATCTGAAGGGTCAGATGTTAACTGGTCCCAGCTTGGAGGAAGTGCTCATATCAAATCAAATAGTGTATCAAGGAGCAAATGCATTCAGATGCCACTACATTTTATCACCCCGAGCATCTCACATGAGAAAGATTTAGGACTAGCTGTGTAGATCTTCTTCAGTTCTTTTGGAGCAGTTCATTTAAGGAGCTACTTAATTCAGCCTGTTTGTGGATGCATGGAAGTCTCGTTATACAAAAGCAGGATGGAGGCAGAATTGCTACGGTCAAAGTAGAAAAACTTGGGATGTTTGATTTGCTTTTGTTAGAGAAGCCCTTATCACATTGCTTTTTAAAATTTGGTGTGTGTTTGGCCTGCTTTACTAGTGGTAGGTGTGTTGCTGTGACAAAAAAGATAACTGTACAAGCACAGCAAGTTTGACTGTACTGTGGCCATGATGTTTACTGGAAAAACCATTGGGTGTTTGCTGTTATACTGTTAGCCCTAGGGCATAGTTTGGGTCTGAAATGGAGGGATGGGCATGAACTAGCTGGATGTCAGGCACCAGATTAGGCAGACAGGAACCAAGGATAAGAGACATGTGATGTAGTCACGAACAGGCTGGAGGTCAAATACCAGATTGGATAAAGCAAAGTGGGGCCTCATATGAGATGAAGTGTGAGAGAGAGTCTGTGTTATGTACTAGGACGAGTTGCTGACACTAGCAGACCAGCTTAGAAAGAAGGGATTTATAGGGCCTGGTGACTTTCCACTGTGGACCAACACCTGGACAGCTGCTTCAGCCTAGAAGGAGCCCTTGCCCTATGACTAGCCGGATCCATCTGTCTGGCTGAAGGACTAGAGTGCTGGTGGCTGCTGGAGGCCATTTTTAAAAACCTTTGCCATTTGCCTTGTTGCTTATGTTTAACTTCTTGTATATCAAATGAACCTGCCCACATAGATAGGAAATATGAATAAGCAACAGCTTATTTCTAACCTCAGACTAGCTTCTCCAGAAATAAGACAAGGGCTATTGATTCAGACTTTTTTTTGCTATGACAGCTTTTTACTTGAATGATGGAGCCAATGCTATGACTACCCCAACTTAAGCATTTACAAACATTTTTGTTAAAATTCGGGTAATACCGGGGAGATCAAAACCTGATTTGAGGGCAACTGAAGTGCTTGACTTTTCTTCTCACTGTCGCCAGCCCACAAAGTGAAACAAATAGCAGAATATGTGCTGTAATAAAATTTCGTTATTGGAGCAAGGAGCAGGGAGGAGTAAATAGGACAGGCATTATTCTGTTTAAATGAAGTCACTGTTGGCAAAACAGAAAGTTATTTGACTGGGAAATATTCAGTGTCACACACACACACCCTGGCAGTCCTAGTTGCCTAGTTTTTTTAAAAAGTTAAATTTGTCAATACAGCTGAAAAGGTTTGGATTGGTTTTGCATATTGTGTGTGTGAGAGAGAAACAGGGCCTGCTCTGCTATTTAGATGGCTGAGATGGGCAACCACAGAAAGCAGGTTTTAAGGGTGTTGTTAAAGGGCACATTGTCAATTACTTCATTCATTTTAATATTTATTTACTGCAATGGAGGAACCAAATACCAAAATATATTTTGAGGGGGGAAAGTTGTTTATTTCTAAACACACTTTTACAGTAGTCATCTCAAATATCATGTTGTTTGCATACATTTAAAAGCCATGTCTCCATAATACCACATAGATAGATAAACTTAAGATCCAGTTCACTCACAGAGCTGTGTAATTCATAGCCCACCGGAGATTGTTTGAGCTAAACCCATTTTAGATATTCATGTAACTAAGAACAAGTCCAAGTCTCATGTTGCCAATTCACATATGAATTCCACATACATATCCATGTATGTAGGCAGTTGCTTATTTACATATATAACTCTTGAATCTGGCCTAATGTTTCAAACCATGCCTGCATTAACACTTCCTTTTCTTGATTAGTTATTTTCTTTCTGGTATGACAGAGACTGAGCTCTAAAGAAGTAAGAGAAAAAAGGCCGACCAGCTCATATATTTGCAGTTGGAACTAAAAATATTGTGCTATTTTATTCTTGTCTAAAAATTCTTTTTTAAGGCTGAAACATCTAATATAAATTAATACATTGATATTAATTATATTGATAAAACAATGTATTTTAAAAGTTATTCTTCCTCTTTCACGATGTTCATACCTTTTATTCCATTTTCTCCACCAGGTAGGAGCGGGACCATGGCAGAAGCCATCTCTGGTGACTAAGGAAACAAAGAACATCGCTGAAGGATTTTGGATACCTGTGCATTTCAAAGGTATATGAAATACATAGCCACATATATTTCTAAAGTTGTTTTCACCATCTCTTACTAGAAAGGAGGGTGTCAGGCAGTATATACATGATGGCAAATGGCTGGGCTCTTTGTAATGACCTGTAAGGAACAGTATAGGAATAAAGTGTTTTCAGAACCTTCCCTTTGGAAGCCTCAATGAACATTAACCAATACAAGTTACAGCTTTGAATTAATGAATTTGGGTTTCATGGATTAATTCGACTCTTTCCTTGCACATTGAAACAATGTTCTATTGATCTAGCGTTGTCCTTTGGGCAAAACGTTCAACATGGCCTTGAGAACCGACTTCAAGTTGGAGCGCGGTCACTGCCTTGCTAGGTGTCCTCTCTGAAGCGCCTTGTGACGCATGCTCTTATCTGTAAAATGCTAACAAAGACATAGCTTTCATTCTCACAACTCATTCTGCAAGTTATCATGATTATTAGCTTAGCTAATACAGTTTCTGCAAAAGCTCATTTGAAAGCATATTGCGTACAAAGTATCACCAGTGTTTCGGGCCCCCCAGCAATCTAGCATGCATGAATTATATCATCAAGAAGTATAAAACCCTTAATCAAATGATCAAAGGTCTTTGTAAACTTTGCCCATAGAGCTTCCACCTTGAAAAAGAAGATCTGAGTTGGTATTAGGAATGCTTGGGTAGCTGCCGGGGACACAGCACCCTGGCAAGGCTCACCCCTCTTGCTTTTTGCACTGGACTGACACTTCCAGCAGCTAGCATCACTCTGGGGCACTGTGGAAAATTAAAAGACCCAGTTGCCCAGTGCTCTTGGAATTGCTGCCACCAACAGTCAGGTAAACCTACCAGACAGTCACAGTGCACAAAGTGGGGTGCTGCCACTGTGCAGGTTACCTGGTTGCAGTGGTCCTGCTGCTCACCAGGATCTGGATGGGATGAGATAAGGCAGTGCCAAGGGCAGAAGAGACTGAGCAGCTGCACCGCCACAAGTTGCCAGTCTAGTGCTTCCTTTGCCCTTGCCACTGCCTTGCCCCACCTCGCCCCACCCCAGTGTTCACAAGCAGCAGCATGGCCATAGCTAAAAAGCCAGTGCAGTGGCAGCACCACAACTACTACTTGCTCCCCCCTCAAACCTGGAATTAGCCCTAAGAGATAGATTTTCCACAAGTAGGGTTCTCAGATGCTCCCTAGCCTACCTTATTTTATTTTACCCTCGAACTTGACACCAAAGGTACCGTATATAGTCGAGTATAAGCCGACCCGAATATAAGCCGAGGCACCTAATTTTAGCACCAAAGACTGGGAAAACTTACTGACTCAAGTATAAGCCGGTTCACCACACCACAAACCTGGTGGTGGCGGCAGCGGCGGAGGAAGAACAACCAGCCTGAAAGGGCTGCTTTGGGGCTGCTCGTCCCTCTGCCGCCGCATCTGCCGCTCGCATGAGCAGGCATAGGAGCCACGGTTGGGAGAGGCACAGCGCCTCTGCCTGACCTTGCGAGAAAGGGCTCCTTTGGGGCCGCTCGTCCCTCCACCGCCACCGCCCATCTCACTTGAGTATATGCTGAGGGGGGCTTTTTCACCATAAAAAATGTGCTGAAAAAGTTGGCTTATACTCGAGTATATACGGTTAAGTGCTTTAATTCGAAATCATCAAAAGGTGCTGAGCTCTTGTTCCTTTGATTACTCTCTTAAATATAAAGCTTGTCACCTTAAATGCTTATCAGTTAAGTGTGCCTGTGGTCCTGTATTTCTGTATAAAGGTGTGCCCAAGCACATCAAAAAGTGAGAAAGGAGCAGATTGTTGACACCAGTAATACTGATATCAAAACCTGTTCCCAAATTGACAGTGTGGTTGCCAGAATGCTTACTGGGAGAGTGAGATGGAATCTCATTGCACTGATTCAGAAGGAGTTAGATTGGTTGTCAGTTTACTTCTGGGCCAAATTCAAGATGCTGGTTCTTATCTATTAAGCCCTAAAGGGCTTGGGACCCCAGTACATGACAGATGACCATGTTTTAAAACTCTTATCTGTGTCCCTTTGTCAGGGAGGTTCAGTGGTGCATGGCAATGTGGAAGAAAGCCTTCTCTCTAGGGATGCATCATTTGATGAGCACCTCCCCTCAGAAGCACACCTGGCTCCAATATTGTTATCTTTTCGGTGCCATCTTAAGGCATATTTGTTTGCCCAGGCATTTTAATTGGCTAGTTTAGCCTGCTGTCTTGTTTCAATCTGCCCATCTTATTTATTGAGGTATTTTATGGTTTTATTATGGTATATTACATTTGATATTGGGTTTGTTTACATACATGTTATACCATGTCTTGGTAATTACATAGATGAAAGTTGGGCCAGAAATACTTTTACAAAAAAATGAATGAATGAATAAAAATGTTAAAACTCGGATATTTGAAGAAAATACATAGTCGAGCCTTTCTGAAAATGCTGTCTCAACGTGAGTCAGATCATTGGTTCCTGTAGGACATTATTGCTTACCGTAACTGGTGACAAGACTCCAAGGCATTGCGATCAGAGATCTTTTTAACTGGAGGTTCTGTGGACTGAACCTGGGACATTTCCACATGCAAATGTCGTGCTAACTTATGGAACCTCCTCTAAGCAGGTCTAAGGTACAGGCCCATGCCTCTCCTTCAGCCATGGAGTCTGTGGTATTTGAACACACAGCTTCACGGGTGCAAACTGGTAACAATGCCAGACCTAAAGTGCCGAATCTCAAATACAGGACCTTCAGTGCATAGAGGCCAGTGCTGTTTTTTCTGTAGTCGCATAGGTAGGACTCTGAACATATTGGCTAGAAAAGAGTCATGGGGTCTAGCAATATGAACATGAATTGTCAAAGCCAGACAAAAAGTGACTTGGTTGACTTAGTTCAAACAGAAGTTGGCATCAAAGTGCACAGACCTATCTAAAGTTAGGCTACTATGGGGTATATTTTGGTGGCATCTCCTGCTGGGCATCCTCTGTCCTTTCCATCAATAGCTTATGTAGCAGATGGGATGCATGGAGATGTCTGAGATCTGTTTGAAGCATCCTTTCAGGGATTATGCACTCCTGAATGAAAATGTGTTCCCTAAAAGAAGACCAATTCTAAGCTGTCTCTGTCAAAAAACAGCAACAATTTTCTGTTAAACTTAAGAGAACATTTATTTAAGAAATTTCTTACCCACCCTTCACCATAAGGTCTCAGGATACTGTACAAAAATGTAATCATGCAGTTTTAAAACCAAATAAAACAGTTGCAGAGCAAAATCTGAACAACAGAGACAACAGAGTGATGCTGTGATTGGAAATATTACTGGGTGTAAATTTTTAGAAAGACTTAAGCTGGGATTCAGACTTTTGGGAGCAAAGGTGTTTGTCTTTTTTCATACTTCTTCTTTGGAAAGAAAAATTCTTAAAATGCATGCAGTCTTAATATTATTAAAGTCTTCCATAAACTCTGTGTCTAAATTCCTTAGGGGAAGGGAATTTTATAATTTAATGGGGTAGCTAAAGCAACTGTCATGCAGTATCAGAATAATCCTGCTAAGTTAACAGACCAAAGGCAGAAAACATAGCCATGGTTCTCTTGGGCTCACTGTTCCCCTTTGGGGCAGGTTATATACTCAGCATATTTTTGCATTCACTTTTCTAGTCATTAACTTTTGGCTTAAATAAAATAAAGTTAGAAGTTATGGTTGGATATGGCCCAATGAGAGCCATGAATCTTGGATATATCTAGTACTGTAAAGTTTTGGAGCTTCTCACATGTTCTTTTCTTTTGGTGTTTGTACTTCGTGTCCAGCAGAAAACTTTTTTTCCCCTGCAGAACCGTCCTGCGAATACTTGAGATTATGCAGATTTTTATGACACCGACAAGATCATATGGAACTACTTGCTAAGTTTGACAGATCTTCTAGGTGACCTGGTCTAAATGCATTTGACTAGAGATAGTTGCCAGGAACATAAAAAACGTAATGCCAAATTGCTGAAAATTGCAACAGCTCAACTAAATTCCAAACTTACATGTCATTTTGTCATTCTCCTAGGAATGAGTCCACTTCTAAAAGTCTGGGGAAATTGCAATTAGCAGTTCGTTGCCTTTGAGAACTAGGCAGCCATGGTGCCTAGCAGTCTTTGGTGAACTACTAAGATTGTTTAATTTTTCACTAGAAAAAGTTCTCATCCTGTGTGTTGTGCAGATGTACTACTAATAAGCAACACTAGAATGCTAAAGTTCTTGCATGGATCTAAAGGCCACATTTGCACATAATACTAAATTAAGCTGTGGTTTGAGCTAACCTTAATGTCCACGAGTTGTGTGCTGTTTCACACAGCTCAGGGACTCCTGCTTTGTTCCCCCCTTAGCTGAACAGGGAAACAAAGCATGGAGTGGCTAGTTTAGTGTTATCTTTGTACAATGCTATAATTAGAAAGGGAAAGAAATAGTTGCAGTTTTTAATCTTGCATTTCATACCAAAATTACAAGTAGTCAAATTGAGTAAGGAGACACACGCTAAAAAATATTTTTAAGTCTCCCTGTTTTTAGTAGGAAGGTGAAGCTGCTGAGCATATGCTTAATGTTTTTCAATGAAATCATAGGTATTTATTTATTTTTGTATTTAAACAGTATACATTTTTTAAAACAACATGCACTCTTAAAAAAAACCAAAACCCCAGGGTGTATTCAACGAAGTTTTACTCAGAGTAAATCTATTGAAATTAATGGACCTAACTTGTTCATGTTCATTAATTTCAGCGTGTCTACTCTGAGTAAAACATAGTTGACCGTCACCCTCTGAATGCAGTGAAGCACATATTTAAAATAAAGGAGATGGGGTGAGGGAACATCAAAGCGTTTTCTTACTGTTTCTTGTGCCCAGCATCCCAAAAAAAGACCCTCATTTTACAGCTTTTGGTATGTGACTGTTCAACAGCTAATTAGACATTTGGGTATATCCAAAATGCTCCCAGTGCAAGCAGGGTGGTGCGTGCTGCTTTGCATAGTTGCCACATCCCTGTTCGTTTCTTGGGGCCTCTTCTTCCCTCCCTTCCCATAAATAAGGGGTCTCAATTTCCCAGCCTTGAAATAGGAAGGTGAGGAGCTGCAGCTGTCCGCTGTATCTGTGTAAAGGTTTTAGTTTGGGGGAAGGAGCGCTGTCTGGTTCTATGTGTGTGAAAGGTGCGTGTGCCCACATTTGTATGTGGTGGTGATGTGTATGTTTTGTTTCCATATTTATATATGCGGTGGACATGCTTGTTTTAATCCAGTGACCCTGAATCACGCCCACCCTTTTTGTATGGGTAACATCCTGTCGTATCAATTATCATAGTTTAACCATTATAGGAATATTAAAAAAGACCATTGTACATAAGATCATGGAGCATAAGGACAGCACTGCTGGACCGGAACAATATCCCATGTAGTCCAGCACCTTTTTCTCACGGTGACCAACCAGATGCCTTTGACTAGCTTCTACAAATTTGTCTAATCGTCCTTTAAAGCCATCCAAGTTGGTGGCCATTGCTATCTCTTGTGCATGCAGATTCCTTAGTTTATCTATACAGTCATACTTTGGGTTACAGATGCTTTGGGTTGCGCACCACGCCGAACCTGGAAGTACTGGAATGGGTTACTCCGGGTTTTGGCGCTTGCGCAATGCGCAGAAGCGGCAAATTGCAACCCGCGCATGCGCAGACATGGCGCTGCAGGTTGTGGATTGCGAGCGTGCTTCCCGCACGGATAATGTTCGCAAGCCGAGTATCCACTGTACAGTGTGCGAATAAGTATTTTATTTTGTCTGCCCTGAATCTTCCAATGGATAAGTAAAGAACATCATCCGAGCTTTTATCACTGTTGCCATACCTTGACATGAGTCTGAAAACCCCTACATTTTAACCACTCACATACTGAGTTTGGCAGGGTGCTTAAAAGGGATTAGGTGCAATTTGAAGTGATCTTGAAAGTAATCTACCCTTTAAGTGACCTCTTATCTCTTTAAGCGCCTACTATGTTCACAGTCATAGCAGCTAAAAGGGGATTTCTTGAGGATCACTTAAGCATGATCAAGGTGATTGTGGTCTTGACAGTTTCAACCTGAGCTAGGCGAAATCTTGATGTGGGCAAGTGAGGTGGGTGGGTCTTTGAAACTACTGTTGGTGCATGGACTAATGGCACCAATGCTGTTGTGGTAAAAAGTAGGAATTGTTTTTGAGTTAATTTTATTTCAGGCAAACTCGTTTAGAGTCAGTTGATAAACCTGCTAAAACAGTGGAGACCTGACATACCATAGTTTAACAAACAGGAGCACTAAAATTCTCCTTAACAAACTGGAGCACTAATTTAAGGAGCATTAGGTCTTTCTCTGAAAATGTATCCTTTATGACATTTGAAAAGGAATTGCTCTGTCATCTATTGTACAGTACAATGAAAACGCTCTCATTGGCCAATGAGGAAATACTGGAAGTACTGTCAAGCCCATAGGCTCATCAAATGGATTTGTTTTGCTCATTATCTAAATGCTCACTTGTCAATTACCAGCATGTATTCGCTTTGGCCTGATTGTGCTTTCTTGTACACATGCATCCTATTACTTATGCAGTGGGTACAGGTGCCTGTGTTTCCATTTCCCCCTTCAGAACATATTGGTGGTTTTTCTCTTTCCAAAGAGAAGCCAAAAGGAAACTTGGTTAGGTTTAGATGGTCCGTGTTACCTGCCAGCCCAATCAGTACAACCTCATAGTTAAACTATGGAATTCACTATATTATAAGATGCCGCGATGGCCACCAACATAGATGACTTTGCTGGACGCCGAACAATAAAGCAATAAACCTACCTAACAGTAGAGAACTATTGTCACATCCAATTGTGACATCCAACTGTGGGGAAACAGGGTGCTAGACTGGCCTGGCTTTTGATGTAGCAGAGATTCTCTTATATCCTTAAAAACATATATGTGTAGAAACTTCCAACTCACTTGTTGTTGTTGTTGTTTGCAGTTCTGCACCTAATGCAATATATTAAAATTCCTGACATTTATACATTCTGCCTTTCTCGTCCAATATGACAAGACCAAAAGTATAAACTGCAGCCAAGTTACAAATGGGAGTGCATTGAGCAGTGCAGTCCTCTGCCCATGTGGCGCAGTGTCGCTTTGAGTTTTGCATGCTCTTCCCCTTTGATGCTAATACTACACCCTGAGATTCCATGCCAGTAAAGAATACTGCTAATTCATCATAGGGATATTGAGATTTAAGAAGGCTGAGAATGCACTCATATGAGTCTACCCACAGCTCTTGTATTGCTAGTTGGGCAGGATACTGACTACTCTGCGTGGTGTTCCATCCTATTAATGTAGATTACTGTTCCTGTCTGCAAACAATTGTTCCATATTCCAACTTGGATGTAGGGCAGGCAAATTTATCCACAGCTTTGTGAGAGCAAAAATATCACTGGGGCTGGTGGCTGGTAAAGAAATAGAAGAGTTTTACATTCATGCTACGATAAGTTGTATTCTGGATGCTCATTTGCCCAACATGGTTTGAGGTTTTCCCCTTTCCCTCCTATCATGTAAGCCCAGACATTTTCTTCAGCCCTCAGTGTTTCCCTGCTGGTTCACACCCTGATAGGGGTTTGCATAGGATGTGAAATCGGCCCATGAGGGCATCCCAGCTGGTGGGGAGATAGTTGCTTGTCTTTTTGACGTGAGAGGCTTCCAGCACTGCTTGGTCATCCTCTGTAACTACCAGTTTGAAACATATAACTGGAAACCTTTTAAAGCAATGGCTGAGTGTGTACACACTTGCATGCAGTAGGTTTCAGAAAGTAGTGTTGGGTTTATTCAGATACAGTGGTACCTCGGGTTACATATGCTTTAGGTTACATACGCTTCAGGTTACACACTCCGCTAACCCTGAAATAGTGCTTCAGTTTAAGAACTTTGCTTCAGGATAAGAACAGAAATCTGGCTCCAGCGGTGCGGCGGCAGCAGGAGGCCCCATTAGCTAAAGTGGGGCTTCAGGTTAAGAACAGTTTCAGGTTAAGAACAGACATCCGGAACGAATTAAGTACTTAACCAGAGGTACCACTGTATACCGTGTATAACACGACCCCATGTATAAGACGACCCCTGTTTTGGGGAGCCCTCAACAGTTGTTGAGCTTCTTTTGTAAGTTTGCTGAGCTGTTGAGCAGCTTTTTGACGATCCCCCGCTCTGGCTGATGGAACTGGTGCCATAATACACCGCATACTGGCGCTCCCCAAATACTCATCCTAAGCCAGGAAGAGTGGGTAAGCAGCCTCCTCTCTGACATTTTCCTGCTACCGCTTCAGCACCAGCCCTCGCTTACTTAGCATATTAACCCATGTATAAGACGACCCTCAATTTATCACAAAAAAATTCAGAGAAAAGGTCTTCTTATACATGCAAAAATACAGTACTTGCCTCATTTGGAGCATGGTATATGTTTGGATATGCGTGTACATCCTTCTCACACAATTTGTGCACTCCTGTTCTTAAAAAAAGAAAAGGACAGATTGCATGCCAAGATATACATGTCAGGTCTTACATCTGCACATGGGTATGGTATGTGAACTTGTTGTTCAGCATTAGAAATCCAGCTATGTGTGAAATGGTATTGGAGAAAAAATGGAATCTTTCACATCCCTGCTGCTTGAGCATCCAAAGAGCTAATATGGTAAAGAAGCTGGGCATCTTGTTTTAGTGGAACGCTAAGTGCTTGTGTTAGCCAGAACTATCCTTAAAAACTTTGCTAGGCTGCTTGCAAAAGAGAACATTCCTTTAGCAATTCTCTACCCATTCATATGAAATATAACTGGTTTAACTGCCTTTTAGGTGAAGACTCCACAAGATTCAAGATTTTGAGGATTAAATTTAGCATCCCTACAATTAGGAGGATGTGTTGTATTAAAAAAATATGATTTTTTCACAGGTTTATGTTGGGGATTTGACAAGGGTGAGGGAACCTTTTTTCTGGGGGTTACATGTCAGTGGCAAACAAGGTAAGAGATAAAAGCGGGAAGAGCAAGAGGTGTGACTCTTAACTTTTGCACAGCTGTTATGAAGCCCGCTGTGTAAAGTCAGAGGTTTCTACCCAATCAAGCACACATCCCTTCATCGGGGCAAGCAAAATGTATCATTACAGTTCAAGGATGCATATTCCAGACACCTCCCCTTGCAATTTATTTGTTGTGAATTTACACAAAGGCTTTCCGACATCATAGAAGAACCAAGGCTGAGAGGACAAAATGGCCAGAGCTGCCCAAGTAGTTCCAAGGTAGATAAATGATGTCTTCACTACCCTGTGCACTGACTGTAAACCCTGTTGGCTGATGTGTATGTGACAGAAGACCAGACGATAAGAAAATTAGAGAAGGTGAACAGAGGGAAGCAGCCAACAGGGGAATGACAAGACAGTAGCTGGAAGAAAAAGTTTCTGGAGGCAAAAGTCGCTCGCAGTAAGATAAGCAGATGTCAGGGAGACGGGAAATAAGAGAAGTTAAATAGTCATAGAAGCCGTGAGATAGGCAGTGAGGCAGAGAAGGGAGGATGATGAACAATAATAGTTACAAGCCTTTTGATAATGCTTCATAAAATGAGTAGGAGAGGTAATATCCCATAGCATAAAGCCATTTAGAAACTCTCCAGGGTAGTGATGCCCCACAAGGCAACTGGTTTCAAAAATACAGCTGTATGTATCATAGGCCACAGGGGAATATTTATGTGAAGGCCTGTTGTTAAAGCCTTGGCAGCACTTCGCTAGGTGGGGCAGCTCCATTTTGTATGATAAATATGGCTCTTTGTTTTGAGAGGCAGGAAGTCAATGGAAAGAGAAATGTACTGCCATATCACATCACATTCTGCATACGATAGAATGGCGGGGAGGAATATTTTAACTCCTCCTTTTGGCTTTTCCCGAGATCAAAGATGGCCACAACAAAATGTGATTTGTCATTGTGATAAGAAGAGCAAATCAATTATCAAATTAATTCCCAGGAAGTATGTTTTTATAAGGACTGTCCACACTGTAATGTTCTTGAAGCAGCTTGTTTGTTTGAACCCTTTGTCTTCACTTTACAGACTTTACATCATCAATGGGAACTTTTTCCTGTGCTGGGCATTTGGTCTCTCTTGAATTCTGCTTGTACCATGTTATTTGATATTTTGTTATTTTCATCAATGTAAGCAAGAAGGACTATCTCAGTTCAAGGACACATTCTCGTGAGGCAAAGGCACTCAGGGAGGGTGTGTGGCATGGAGAGAGTCCTGAGGGCCAGGTAGATAGGCTACTAGGCCTGAGATGCCGCCCCCCACTTCAAAGGTTACCATGTATCACTATCTCCAATATCCTTCCTTTGTCTGTTTAGATGTGCAAGTTACAATTCGAAGAAAGTGTGCAAAGATGCATACTTTTATTTTGATTACAGAATTCATGATCCTGAAAACGTTTGTGTTATTTTTATTTATTTAAAGAAAACGTTTCTAACCCTTATGACTATTAAAATTTTGACATTTCTTTGCTCCTTCTCGCCATTAGCGGGAATAAATTATGCAAAATAGGAGTCTGAGTTGCTCTGGTGTATTAATTCCGAGTTATTTTATTTTTTTAGTGAAAGGTACACAGAGCTCTGTTAGCAATGGCTAAAAAGAAGCCTCACAAGAACTCTGCTGCAAGGTTTCCTTAACTGAAGAGAGTGGATACAGATGGTTCCCTCTTTGCTCCAAGAAAAAGTATGTAGGATGGGAAGGGAGCATTCCCTCCCTCCTCCATATTCATACCTCAGCTAGAAATGTCGGCACTGATTCCTTTGCAGCCAGCGCACGTAGGGGCCATCTTCAGGGAACAGACTGTAATGTATTTAATGAATCTGAGGAAAGTAAGAAATTGTAAATGCTGCAGGGCAACACACACTTGCTATTCAATCTGCCAGATTTGTGCCAATTAAGACAACTTGCAGCTGTTTGGCTCCTCCTTATTAGGAGACATTTGTATCAGGTACCAGGTTAAGCATTTATTTTCTCTGACATGTTGAAAACACTTTGGTGATACCTAGTCACTTTGTAAGCAAAGACTGAAACAGTGTTATTTACTGGATGCATGCAGTAGGGAGCAAGTTTGTTCTTTTTTTAAATAATAATAATACACTGCCTTTGACAGTTTTCTCAGAGGTGTCTGTGTGCAGGGAGATTGTATTCAAAAGGTTTGCAGCAGAGGTCCTACAGACACATATTTGCATACAATGTGCAAATGCTAATTTATATGTACCAGGGCAAAGAAAGACTAATTTTCTATTCCAGTCACCCTGGATAAACCCTTTTGCACCCAACTTGCACCCCAAATCAGTTTACACCCCGATTTATTTCCTCAATTAATTTCCCAACAGTTCCTGCTCCGAAACAGTTCAGTTCCCATTCCTTACCCCAGTCAAATCCAGATAAAGTAATCTTAACTGATTTCCTCAAATTAATATCCTGCCCAGTTACTAAGGCCCACCCTCCAAATCACTTTCCCCCAGATTCACTACGTAGCCAAAAACACTAAAATAGCAGATTCAGGGCCTACTCCCAGCAAAACCCCAGTCTGTGTGCAGAGGAAATACTGTACAGGGTTGTATCCAACCAAGTTATGCTATTACTGTAACTCAAGGTCTTCTGCTTATGCACCCTCCATCTCATCTGGATATTTGGGGACAATCCCCAGAACAGATTTGGAAGAGGAGTGGGGTGGGGGAAAAGGGAGAGGAAGTCCCATTATATGCAGGCAGATGCCATTGAGCTAACTGGATGACTTCACTGGGTACAACCCACAGTAATTTGGCTTCCATTGATCAATTATGGGTTGAAATTCAAGTGAACTGAAGCATGACTAAGGCTGCAGTCCTAAATACACTTACAAGGAAGTAAGTCCCATTGAAACAGTCCCAAGTTAAACAAGCATAATTTTGCCCTGTAAGTGTTATTATATATGGTGTGTTTCTTCTCATCTTGAATGTGATACTGTTTGGCATAGAGGCTGTCATAACTTGAGACATGCCTGCAGCTGCTTGTTTCCACATGTCAGAGCCAAAATGGGTGTACAGTCATACCTTGTGTTACGTTTGCTTCACGTTGCGGCTTTTCAGGTTATGAACAGGGCAAACCCGGGAGTGTTTACTTCCGGGTTCGCTGCACGTGTATGCGCAGAAGCGATCTGCGTGCTTCACACACGCGCAGTTGCAGTGCTCTACTTATGGACTTTTCGGGGTGCAAACGGCACCCTGCAACGGATCGTGTTCGTAAGCAGAGGTACCACGGTACACTGAAACACATGTGGGCTGTACAGTTTTCAGTGTCCTGCTCTCACCATTCACACATTCTCTGGTAACAAATGAAATGTGAGGCAACTTTAAGTGCCGCATTGCAGCAGTCAGATTTTTAGTGTTGGGATACAGTTACCCTGTTCAATTGTATTTAATACATGGTTCACCGTGGCCATAAGTGGGAACAAGTACCGGTAAAGTGTAAATTCAGGCTAATCCTTGGACGTCTGTTTGTGCCACTTCCATCATGTTTTGACAAAACGACTATTGTCATGTGCCCACTGTAGAAGGTACATATTCCCATGGCTACTGTATGAGAATAAATAATCACATAGGGCTGGTAATAACTTTAATTTATTTAGTCATCGGTATTAATAAAGTTGTCCTTATTTACAACGATAATTTTGAAATGCCTGGATTGGTCTGACTGAGAACCAATTTTAACAGCAGTCCTTAATACCTCTGCTCTTGCCAAAATCTCTTTCCATAGCCCGCTAATCAGAACTCCAGAGATATTTTGTGCCTTCTGTAAATGTGTGGGTGCAATTACTCAGAGAAGGCAGAATGCTGCTTGCTATTTATAACTTTCATTTTACCTTTTATCTCTCCTTGCACACACTCTCCCTAGCGCTATTCAGATTCCCTCCATAATGATGGCTGATTCCTGACTCCCTTTTTTTTTTAATCTACCGGGTGAGTGGGAGGTCATAATTTAACTGTGCTGCTGTATGTGGCAATGCTTTTCTCTTGTCACACATACTTGAAACAACACAGCAAGAGGCACAATTAGTGCTTTTTAGCACATGGGCCAAACTTCAGTGAGCTGCTCCTGTTCAAAAAGGAACATAAAGAGAGAGATAGGCAAGGAAAGCCAACCCTGGCCATGTCCAAGATTTCCAAGTAAGGCAGTGACAGAGCCTGCTGCTGGATATTCTGGGATAAAGGACCAATTCTGCACTCTCTCCATCACTCAGTAATAGCTTCCCAGTGCACTCAAGCAGGCTCCAATCTATAGTGATGGCGCTTATTGTTGTAGAAGAGAAAATACGATGGCAAAGTCTAGGTGGACCCTTGAATACCATGGCTGGCCGAGAATGGAAGGAGCCTTCTTGGGTTTCAGTATATCTTGGTCCACAGCATAGCAGGAGCATCCGCCAAAGTTTCAGGCGAAGAAGGCCCATGAAATAACACCAGGGTCTTACTTCCTTGCTTGCATAGAATGTCACAGTCTCTCTTTATAGTTGCTGGTGTTGATCTAGCAGAAATAGTTCAAATGTCACTAAGATTGGAGCCTAAGTTGGGAGGGAGAGGGGTGGGAGGGAAATAAATTGTACTTCAGGAGAATGTCCTTGCTGCAGTATGGGTAGGCCTGTCAGGTCCAGACATTTATTTTCTGCCTGTACCCCCCGCCCCCTAGTACTGTCTCTGTTTTGAATAATAATAATGGAGGACTTCTTTTTGATCCCTTTTTTTAGTTCTCACATTTCTGCAGGAAGGCCCCACTTGACTGAAAAAGAGGAAATGTTATCACTAAAAAAGATGGCACACAATTGCATACAATCTGCACCTGCTATTTTATACATTTAGATGCCAGTTTAGAAATTGCTATAATTGAAATAGAAATACAGGGTATCTCAACATAGTCCATGAAGACTGAACTGGTGATTTCTGTGCCTTTCCAATCCAGGTTCTAACTGATGGTGGGCAATATCCTGGCCCCTGCTCTCTTTTCTTAGGGTTCTTTATATTTAACAAACCAAACATGGTCCAGATAGAAAACACATCAAATAGAGAGCCATCTTCTTTGGAATAGGACCCATGCACCCCCTTCATTTCTGTCTGACTGATTGATTATATTTAAACTGCTCTCTACCCCTATCCATTCTACATAGTTAGAAGCACTCTGTCCTTCTAACCAGCCTTGTTAGGCAGGGTAAGCTCTGAGGTAATAACTGGACTAATGAGTGTCATGGCTGAGAGTGGATATAAATCTGCACCCCCCTGTACCTAGTCTGATGCTACACTGCACTGACTCTCACAGGCTTTGTATTTATAGGCATATGTGACAGTATAATATTCATGCATATTAGTTACAGTATACAAGTGTGCACTGACAAATGAATAGTCTTTGGATACTGTTCCTGCCCTTGGTATCCAGTGACAATTATTCTATACACTCTAAAGACTGGATATTTATTATATTTGCTCACATGTTCTGGAGCCTGTGCATCTTACATCAGCAGCAACCTGCTCCCTTCAGCAGCCAGATCTTTTCAGCTTTCCTGCCTTCCTGGGATTTGTAGGTGAGGACACGGTTCTGTCTTTCAGAAGACAAGCCCTAGAGTTCTACATGTGTTTCAGTCTTTTCAAAGGAGGCCTCTTCTAGCTCACTGTTCAGAATGTTGCTTGCTCTGTTTTAACGCTATCTCTGATAGCTGACAGGAGATCTATAGATATGTAAATAAAAAGGAAGTAATTTTGCATAAAGACCCTTAGGCATAACGTACAATTTAGGTTGTAATCCTACACATATCTACTGAGAAGCTATTCTTGTAGACTTAAATGATATACCCCAGGAAAGTGTACAGTATTCAGGATTGCAACTTTAGCCTCAGTATCCCCCTCAAACTAATGGACTTTTGTAGCCCAGGTTAGGGCCTTGGTAAAGTGTATTTATTGTGTGTACACTTACACACACACACACACACAGAGAGAGAGAGAGAGAGAGAGAGAGAGAGAGAGAGAGGTCCTGAGACTTGTCAATGTGTGCCCTCCCGCTTTTTGGTAAAGTAATTAGACATGCATCCTACAATGGGGCAAAGGGTCTTCAAAGAAGAGAGAGAAGAAACAAAATGAAAGGTGTATGGAGAAGATTGGGATGATTGGGAAGAGCTCTGCAGGTTTTTGCAACTTTTAAAGAACGGATTGTACACGTGCTCAAGCACTGGAGTACAAAGCCAGTGATGATATATTAAAAATGCAGGCATAGATAAGGAGTGTTGCATCACTAAGGGTAGTGAAATATACACAACAGCTGGGTAACGAAAGTACTCTATTGTGCTGAAAACTGATCATGAGCAAAAGCCCATGAGCAATGTGTCACTCTCATCCACATAATAAAATCCAGAGGAAGTTGGGAGTCTTCTCTGCAAGTCTGAGGAACAGCAGAAAAAGCAGCTGCTCTGTGCTAGTGAGTATAAATATCTTATGACTGGCCAGTCAGGACTTGTTTTACTACAGAGCTATTAGAACAGATCATTATTGCAATCTAGAGTCTTGAAGAAGTCTCCCAAAACCTTCGCTACCTTAGTGACTTGGAGGGCCCTGTGTTCGTAGAACTAGTACTCCTCAGACTGAATGCATTACAAGAAGAGGAGGAAGAAGGAGAAGAAGAAGAAGAAATCAGTTTTCAGCCATATTCATTGATCTGAAACCTATCCATTCCAGAAGGCAGTGTGTATAATTCCCTAACCGCCCCACCCCCTCACCCAATGGTATAGTTGATGTTATTGCTTTCTTTCCTTGGTTACTAGATTTGTTACTAGATCTTCCATTTCCTCATATCTTTATTTGTAGTGTTGGAGGACTGAAATTGATGACCTCTGTGCCCGAGTGGAGAGGAAATATTGCTTCTTTAGCAGCCTACTTAGTGCTAGCTGCCAAAAGATTAATTTAGCCTGGAGAAGTGTCTTTGAAAAAGCAGCCATTTGAGTTAGGAGGCAGGCAACTTGCTCATCTCTCAGGGTCCTGCCAGATACCTGTTGTGCATTGGAGTGCTGCTCTTAATTTCAGTCTTCCTGCGCACACACAGGTAGAGAGACCATTTGGACTTTTTTAAAGGAGCTTATTAGTTTATGCTACCCTAACAGTCTGCAGTAGATGCAATAAGAGAAGCATCAGCTTGCAGTGCAGTAGCTGTTGTGGTACCCTCACCTTTCCAGGACTCCATTCCCTCCACCCTTATTTTCACAAGTAGTATTGTGCAGTAGAAGACCGTGAGAATGAATGAGTTATTTAAAAGCACTTGGACAATTCAAGGATGCTATGTAGACCATCCTAATGCTGATCGTATAAGATGGCATCCCTTTACCAACAATCAAAGAGTGAGGTCTGCTTTAGGAAATTGTTGCACCATTTGACTCCATTTAATTAATGAAACTAATGTAGTTCAAGGATAAAAATGTATTTGCTTTTTAAAGATGCATTCAGACACTCCAGTTTGCATTGAATCACAATTCATATTGGGCTCATTTAATTGTTCTGCTTTATTTCCGATAAAATACGCAGCTGAATTGATGTGGGATCCCTTCCATGGTACTGAATAGTTGTATGTGCCTATAGAAAGAGACTCGCCTCTTACTGTGATAGCACAGGAGATAAAAGTGGCTGCTGCTATCCATGGACATTACTGTGTGTGAATGCTAGAGTGTGATTTTAGAGACACTTAGTGAAAAGAAATTGTCATTGCTCTGCCTTATGAACCATGGAAGTGCATAGCAACATTCTGTTGTGAGAGATACTGTTCCAGGGAGCAGGTCTGTGATAACCCTGGTACTCTCTATTACAACTTTGTAAAGACCCAGTGTGGGATTTTTCATGAATATGGAAAAACAATTATTTGCTAAAAGTTTTCCATTTCCATGTATCGAGCACAGTTTATGGCTATTCCTTCCAGTGCTTGTGATAGCCATCTCTATGGTACTCTTGCTGGTGGGAAGAATTAAATTGGCATACATGAGAGTTTGCGTAGGGGTGAGCTTTAGGACATGTTACAGCTCCCTTCTATCTCAGGCCTTGGATCACAAATCATACCCTGGAAGCAAAGCTTTGAGAAATCAGTCTGTGAATGCAGCAAACTGCATTTATTTTATTTTATTTCTTTAATGTTAAAGCATTACTTCTATGATATGCTGGTGTTACACCCGTGTTTTTCACAGCAAATGTGTGAAGTACGAATGTGGATGCCGTTATTAAGCACCTGTCTGCAAATGGTGAGGAGTCATGGCTCAAACAGCCCATGAGTTCTCGAGGGTTAGTAGGTAGGTTTTGAAAACATACTTTGTGGCTTTAAACTGAAGCCTATACATTCAATTAACAAAGCAGCTACTGTTCTGTAAATCCATATTTGCATGTACACATTCATGCAGCCAAAGAATGTATGAATAGGTTCTTCAAAACAGAGCAGTGCCCTTTTACCATCTTGAATAAAATTATCTGTTTCTAGAGAAATTGCTTTGTTGCATTTAGGGAACAATTTGGCATCATGTTGGGCTCTGGTCATATCAAGCCTCAGGAATGTTGCATGCATTGGAAAATATTAACTTCTGAAAGGAGATCTCAAATCACTTAGGGAAGCAAAGCCTTTGAATCCTCTTTATTTTATTTTATTTATTTAGGTTTCGTTAATTTCTTAATTATAAAAATACACATAAGCATTACAAAACTAATACAGCATTTCAGAGACAAATGCATTGTTAGTTTAAAATGCTTCCTATTAATAATCCACAGATTTTATTTCTTAATTCTTTTTAGGTATTTCTGACTTGTCCAAATGTATTGGTCCTGTTTCAGTGTGAGTGAACAATTAAGAGTTCTAGGCTGACACAGTGTTAGAAACTGAGATATGAAAGCTAGGAGCTACATGGCACCCTAAACCTGGGTTATGGGTGCAACAATGGAATGTCTAGGCACACTTTTTTATAACAAGAATACAAAGCTGAAAATGAATGAACTGCAGCTAAAATATTATGTTTATTTTTCACATGGTCTAGTCCTTCCCCTGCCCACATCCTTAATATTCTTAAGAGGGTCTCTTCTCCTGTCTTCAGAGACTAGCTGGAAGTGGGCAGGCAGAAAAAGGTCCTCCTTTCCTTCCACTCTGCAGTTTTAATCTGAAATCTTAGGCACAGTATTGCACCCAGAGCTCAGAAACTGCTCACACTAATGAAATTCCCTGTTGCAAACTGTGCCTAGAACAATGGGAGTTTTGAACACTGCTGACATGGTAATGCTTTGCCATTTTCCTTTTTATTAACCCATGTAATGAAATCAAAACATTCTGAAATAAATTTGTCCATCTTTTTAATCCTCTTGGCCATTCTTAGTTTATGTGTATGTGTCAACGTCTCTTGCTCAGTGCAATACTAGATTTTTCTATGCCCACAATCCCTTGTGACCCTCTTCATCTATCTCCAAAATTGTGCTACTGTCGGCCTGGCTGCTGCTAGTAGGTGGCTGATCAGGGCCTCAGCATTTTGATTTATATTATTTTCAGAGAAAATGAGTTTGAATCCTCTTAATCACATAGTTAAAAAACTCAACAGCCAGATATGCAGTATCCTTTTCTTGAGAAGGTAAAATGAAGACACATTCAATAGAATTCCAGCTTAAGCTTTTAAAAACAAATCATATCATTTCTTTTATTATACTCTTTCCACTTGGTTACATAGATTTGTCTTTGAGGGCATGCTCATCGCAACAGGATGTCCTTTTCAAGAAGAAGTATTTTGCCTGTACTTGCAAAATCATTGTTGTAAAGTCTCTTGAGTTACTTGCAAAAGCATTAATCATTACCTTAGGGAAAATATAATTATCTGTGGAGAAATCATGTCTTGAGTCTAGGTAACTCTGACTTAACAGCTTGACTGCTGCTCAGTATTCCAGAGGAGAATAGTCTTGGCACCACGCTACTTATTTCCATGCTAGTTCAGTGCAGTTTAATGAACTGCTGTAGGTAGATCAAATGGTTCCTTTTTTTTAAAGGAGGAAAATGATTCATTCAACTCTGAACACGTTTATCTCCCCTTTAAGCTTTAATTTCTCCCACTGGAAAAAAACAACGGTATTCAAAAGTACTCTGGAAGAGGTCATAGCTCTGTGCTAGAACACATGTTTTACATACAGAAGACCATCTTAAAACTTCCATGGAGGCAAAGAATTCAAACCCTTTTTCATTTTAGGTAGCAACACAGAGAGAGGTTCCCAGCCTGAGATCTTGATGTGGTGCTTTCATAAAGAGCATACAATATTGGACTCAAGGGACCAGTTGTGACCCAGTATGTGGCCGCTTTGCTTAACTTCCGTTGCGTCATACCCAGTGAATCTGTAGTTGTCAACCTGCAGGAAATGTGCATTTGGAATTGATAGGATTCAAGGACTGTGTGTAGTCACAATGCTAAGACAAAACAAGGTTCAGCAAATTATAGCCTGGACAAACCCAAGATCCATGAACCTTGGCTTCTTTGGAGACAAAACAACAACAACAACTGTGAACACTGGTGTGAACCTAAACCTAAACCAGCCACTTCATTATTTGTTTCACCTGCTGGAGGAAGTGGGAGCAAAGTGGGAGGGCTTGAGCTGTGTGCCCATAATTCATGCACAAACTAATTTGCTTAACCATGGTTTTTGGTTGAGCATTGCATGACCAATGAATGCCATGGGATATGAGTTATAGTTGAAAGGAGAGGAAGTGAAGAAGGCAGCATTTGCCCGTTTATCTTTTGTTTGGAAACACAGAAAAGCCAAAGGGTTGAAGCCATCCATAGAAAACTCCTCCCTGTGCCCCACTAAGTATGATTTGAGTCTTGAACTACTCATGATTTTTAATCTCAATACCTATAGTAAAGTTTATTCCTCATACGTTTATTTCATTAATGATTAACAATGTAAGGAGAACTCCGCAAAGTACTTACAGTCCTACCGTTGTAAGAAAATAGGTCTCCACCCTTTTTAGAATGCAATTGCTTCTCAAAGTCCTGGTGCAAGCCAGCCACTGGGCACACCCAAGTGCTGCTGAAGACATCTCAATTTGCAGAAAATGGCCGACCTAGGTGGTAGCCTTAGTTAATTGTAAGTGCTATTTAATTTTTTTTAAATAAAAAAAACAGTTTTCAATTCAGGTTTTTCATCAACTGGTAGAATAACTTGGAGAGTCAATAAAGCTGCTCCCTTTTATCTGGGCTATTATGTGCCCACCCGAGGGGCAAATCAGAAGATGGTGTCATGGCATGAGAAGGGCTGTACTGTGGCAGTCAGTATTTTTAAGTCAGAAAGAAGAGAAGAACCTCCCCTTCCTTATGCACTGGAAAGAGTGCTGCATTTCCGCTCATTTCTCCCTCTATCCCCATCATAACCCAGGATTGGGAGTATCTGTCCATCAGGTCAACTTGCTCACAGTCACTTGCCAGGTCTCCCTTTAGGTTGTGTTACTTGCAATTGATACATGATTCTCTTAATGTTCTTCTGGAGCACTAACAAGTGATAGGTGATATGGAGTAGTTATATTTTCACAGACCTTATTTCCACATTGCTGGCTGACAGTTTTGATGTCAACAGTTTGCATGGCGCGACTGGGATCCTCTGGCTGGCAAGTAGAATGCTACGGACATGCTCAGAAACTAATGACTCAAGACTTTTCACTTGGTGATAAGATGTCATGGGAGAGGTCACTCCAGTTTGTGCATGCTTCTGCTTTTGTAAGCTCACAAATGAAAAATCTAAGCATATTGGTCTGATGTCAAAGTTCAGGACTCTTTGGGGTCACTAACATAGTAATGCTTTAGCCTGCAGATATGAGAGCTAGAGAGAGGCTTCAGAGACGTCACTTTCTCATTGCCTCTGGCTAGCTGCAGAAGATCCTGGTCACCAAGTGTTTAGAACTGATATATCCAGATGTCAAATATTTGAAGATGTATGTGAAAGACCCATGACCTAGCATTGAAGCTGTACCTGATCATCAAAATAAAATTGTTGGCAGAGGAAAAAGTCAATCCAGTATAAAACTGACGCAAGTGAACAGCCAGGTCTTGTCTGTGTTTATCTTTTGCCCCACACTTTCCAAGCATAGGTCCGTGTCTGAGTATGGTGGTTGTTTTTTTGTCCAGAGCTTTCCTTGAAAAAACCTGCTCTTGGGTCATTCCACACCAAATCACCTCATTTTAATACTCGACTGTGCTCTCGCAACTCAGATTTTCTTTATTTTTTAAAAAAAATGTGTAGATACCTATGAGATAATCTCAAGATTTAAGATTTTTTTTGGTTCAAAATTGGGCACAGGAGAATTTTTTGAAAATTTTGATTTTCACACATAATTTTTTTTATGAAGAAAATCTGAGTCGTGAGAGCACATGGCACCAGGTGATTTGATGTGGAATGACCCTCTTTAAATCTGAATTGGAGCGCAGTTAATGGCTTCTTCTAATATTTGAAGTGATTCACATTCATCTGGGCCATCTCATAATTTATGCTTGAAAAACAGTTTCCAACTAAGCCTTGTGTTGCACATTGAGCTATTCCTGAAGACTGCTTGGAAGTTGCTGCAGTAGCAGAATCCGATGGCCTGGCTTCCTTCATGAATAGGTTGCATACCTGCCAACGTGGCATAAGCCCAAGGTGCTGGTGATCTCTCTTTTTAAAATAGCTTTATATAAACTGGTTGCATCAAACATTCAGCATCACCTTCTCTCATATGAACTTCCCTGTTGATCAGCTGGCCTTAACTTTTCTGAGAAGACATGTATCAGATTGCCATGCTGGAAATTTAGTGTAGATTTTTTTGGCAGGCTTTCTAGACTTTTACTGGAAATTCGGGCATCCTTTCTTTGATGTGGTTTAGTATGTGTTAGGACTGGTCTTTCCATCTTTTCTTAGCTAAGTCCACTATGTACTAGAAAATGATAATCTTGAGTGCATTGGGCTTGTGGCAGTGAACCCTCTAGTTCTGATTCAGTAAGCTGGTGCGATAGCTCACAATGTTCAAACTCAGTAATTTGCCGGACAGTTCCTGTTAAAGAAAACCATCATTTCGGCGGGGGTTAAAACCTCACCTAGATGGTTGAGGACTGGGAAGAGTCTGAACCATGGGGGTTTTATGCTGTAAAACCTGGCATCTTTAAAGGGCTACCAAGGACCAAGAAGCAGTTCAGGGGTGGCAAGGCTGATTTTCACAGACTGAATTCAGCGAGGCCATTATTTTGCTGCAGGCTTCCAGTAAATAAAATAAAAGTGCACTCCAGGGCATACAGGTTTTGCAGGAAGGCCCTAATCCCCTCCTGGGTCTCAGTGCCTGCTTCAGCTGCTCTTGACAGTTTCAAACCACTTGACCAACTTGGTAGTACAGCTGTATGCAAATTTTCAAGTGACACAGGACTTTCATCCTTTGGGGTTTTGTGTGTGACTCAAAAGCTTGCCTAGTCCTAAATCAACAAAAGTTTATCTGTGTAGGAGTCACAAGAAGGTCTTAGTGAAGCAGAATGAAAAATATCTGCCATACTGAGACCTTTCTCCACTCTAAATCTTGCAGAATGCTATAAGTACCACTCCATTAAAATGTCACTTAATTGATAATGTTTTCTGCCTGATATAGAGCCCTGTATAATTCAAATTCTTACAAATTCCTGTACTAAAGATGAGTAAAAATGAATTTGCATTAAATTATATGTATGATATCTTTCAAAAGACCAATTTTAGATGGGACAAGAGTGCACTAGTTTTCCAGTTGTATGCAAGCCCTCAGTCAGTGCGCAGGGAGTGTTGGGCAGGAACGTACATTATATGAAAGGTATCATTTTTTTGCTGTAACTTTCTTTTATGTGGGACTGTGTAGGTTTGTTTCCAACTTCGCCATTTATTCTTTGTCCTACAGAATAAAAAGCGCTGTTGTCTAAACCACTGAGCCTCTTGAGCTTGCTGATCAGAAGGTCGGTGGGTCGAGTCCGCCCAACAGGGTGAGCTCCCATTGCTCTGTCCAAGCTTCTGCCAACCTAGCAGTTTGAAAGCACACCAGTACAAGTAGATAAATAGGGAATATAAATGGCATTTCCGTGCACTCTGTCTTTGTCATAGTGTTCTGTTGTGCCAGATGCGGTTTAGTCCTGCTGGCCACATGACCCGGAAAGCTGTCTGTGGACAAATGCCAGCTCTCTTGGCCTGAAGCGAGATGAGCGCCACATCCCATAGTTGCCTTTGACTGGACTTAACCATCCAGGGATCCTTTACCCACAGAATAAAAAACTTGCTCATAGTGCAATTCTTAGAAGCTTCCATATGTCAAACAAGATTCAACCCAACATTCAGCTCAATCTCACAGTCCGGGTTATGAAAGACCACAGCCCCTTTTTCTCCACTTACACAGCTCCCTTGGCTGGAATCTGTTGTTAAACAGATTTAAAACTGGTTTAAACAGTCTGCACTACTGCAGCAGTAGTATCTGAGAAGCAAAATGAGAAATTGAGTGAGAGCTTGGTTGGGTAGCTTATGTTTTATACTAAAGAGTTCTCTGTTGCAGTAAAGATAGCCACCTTGGCATAAACTTGTTTATATTTGGTGGCTACAAGGCAGGTAGATGCTCAGACCAACAACAAGCCCACCTTGCTCATGTCACATAATCCTGGGCAGCTAAAGCAGAAGCACTGCCCTTTGTGCCCTTGGCTAAGCACATTTTTTGGATTCGAGTGTTCGTCTTGTTTTGTCGCATCTTCTCTGCTTGTAGTTTTCATAATTCTCAGGTGGTCATTAGGTTCTTGAGAGATTAATGAGAAAGCTCCTAGCAAAGTGTACTTGAAGACAACCAGTATGACACACATAATATCAGACTCCATTACACTTCCTTTTTCCAACAGTAAATCTTTAGAAAAATGTATCGATTTTCTTCCTTCCAAGGTTCTGCACTCTGGGTGAACTTAGTTCTGACAAAACAATAGTAGATAATTTTTCTTTACTAGCCAGCTGGCCTTTAAGTGTGCATTTTCAATGGCATCCACTTGCAAACTCAAATCCAAATAAACAAGAAATATGATTTGCAAGCTGATTTAGGGAATCAATATTGGCTCTTAGTCAGTTCTTATGCTTATCAGCATATTCTAAATCATTGACCTTACATCGAACTACTTGGTTTTAATTGCACATTAGGGGATAAATGTTTAGTGTCGTATGGCTCATTATTTCTCTCTCTCTCCTCTTTAGCATTGACAAAAATGCAGCAAAATATTTGAACAGGATTATAGGGATTACTTTGGGAAATTATTGTATAATTAGATTCTTACTGCAGTTTGTTCATTTTGCATGGTATGCATCTAGCTGTAGGCCTGCCAGAAGCAAAAAAACTAAAAACTTGTCTTGGCTATCTGACTCCCCTGTGGTTCCCACCACGTAGCTCATGTTAATATCTCCTCATTGTTTGTTTGAACTTTTATCTGAAATGTTTTGAAGGCTGCCCAGGGGTTCGAGTAAATAACGTTGGCCTATAGGCAAACAACTCTATGAATTATATAACATTTATTCAGCCTTTTTATTGAAACTTCATTCCACACAAATCTTCAACAGCATCAGGTCTAGATTAACTATTTTTCTAAATATGCTACAGCAGCACAAAGCTTTCATTGAATCAACAGACCAGAAATCTCCCTGATACTAAGCTGTGTGTTGCTCATCCTGCTCCCAAGAGTCAACTAGTTTTTAAAAATTCCATAGGCAGCTGTACCTTTTGTTACATAAAGTAGGAGCAATGAACATATTCCCAGAATATGGTGGAACGCTCTGCCACAAGAGATTAGGGCCCTGCGGGACTTGACATCTTTCCGCAGGGCCTGCAAGACAGAGCTGTTCCACCAAGCCTTTCTCCAGGGCACAGCCTGACTCCCTCCTTTGGCAATCTTCACAGAACTCTAGCCCAATGATGTTGTTGTTGTTTAGTCATTTAGTCGTGTCCGACTCTTCGTGACCCCATGGACCAGAGCACGCCAGGCACTCCTGTCTTCCACTGCCTCCCGCAGTTTGGTCAGACTCATGTTTGTGGCTTCGAGAACACTGTCCAACCATCTCGTCCTCTGTCGTCCTCTTCTGCTTGTGCCCTCAATCTTTCCCAACATCAGGGTCTTTTCCAGGGAGTCTTCTCTTCTCATGAGGTGGCCAAAGTATTGGAGCCTCAGCTTCATGATCTGTCCTTCCAGTGACCACTCAGGGCAGACTTCCTTAAGAATGGATGCATTTGATCTTCTTGCAGTCCATGGGACTCTCAAGAATCTCCTCCAGCACCATAATTCAAAAGCATCAATTCTTCGGCGATCAGCCTTCTTTATGGTCCAGCTCTCACTTCCATACATCACTACTGGGAAAACCATGGCTTTAACTATACGGACCTTTGTTGGCATCTAGCCCAATGGTTGCCATCAATTTGATTTGAAGTAATTTTTTATTGAAATTATTTTAGAATGGTGTATTATTTTATTGTTGTTAGCCGCCCTGAGCCCGGCTTCAGCTGGGGAGGGAAGGATATAAATAAATTATTATTATTATTATTATTATTATTATTATTATTATTAGATGTGCGCATTTAGTCAACCAACATTGGCTCAGTACGATGAGCATATTTAAGCCATTCTTTCTTTCCCACCATCCTCAGTGTGTTAAGAGCAGTGAAAACCAACTTTGTGGGCAAATACGCCATCAAGTTCAGAGTAGGACATAATAGTTCTAAATACAATCCTCACTTCTCTTTGCCTTGGCATAGATTTGCTTCTGGTTCCTTATGAGTTGGAAAGTAGCTTTCAGGCTATACTTGGAGACGCAGACAGAAGTGTAGGCCTCTTTCCGTTTCATAGCCTGCAACAAATTCCTATTATTTGAGCTACTTGTGGCCCCTGTGGTGAGGGTGGCCATCCATTGTCCTAGAGCCAGAATTCTATAGCAAAAAATTACGTATGCAACAGAATATCTTTCCTTCGTAACCAGCTTGTTGCTTGAGAATCTGTAGCAAATGTGAGAATCTGAAATACAACATCAAATTAGCAGCTTGGGGGTAGTTTGGAGTCGCAGAATTAGAATTTCCTCATCCTTGTTCCTTTGCCACTGACATTCTACTTCCTGGTTTTGCTAGCAGCTGATTGTCACCAGCCTACTGTAGGCCTTATCTGCTGACTATACTCATTATTAGTCCCCCCCCCCCGCACCTATGCAGTTCACACAGGAAGGAAAGAGTTTGCCTGCTCTTCTTGCAGGGACAGCTTCAGTATCTGGCCATCCTGTTGTGCTCTTGGGTATGTGGAAAGAGGCCAGATTCCCCAGATTTGTTTTTTGGGAACAAGGAGAGAGCGTCACTTAAACTGGATACGATGATTTGCAAAAGCAACGTAACAAACTATCTTTCTGCTTTTTTTTCTTTTTCCAGAGGTTGAAGACTTTGAAGCATTTTGTGTCAAGCCATCCAGTTTGCAAAACAGATGGGATTTGGTTCTACCAAACCTTTCTTCTGGGAAAATGCACTGAATCAGAGGCTGTGCCTAATATGGCTGGTTTTGACCTTTACCTCTACTGGAATGGACCCCAGTGCATGACTTCGTTACCATGGTGATGATCTTAACTACAACTCTGGAAAACAAAGGTGCTGATTCTCTATCATGCAGGGCTGAGTTGGTAAGAGAGTTCATTTCACACCAACAGCTTAGTTTACTCTATCAGCCATTTATATTCTTCAGATTGCAGGGCTATCTCCTTTGGGGTAAAACAAATGGGACTCTTTCCTTATAGCTCAATGTGATTATGCCAATGGGTGCACAAGAAGAACATATCTGTTTGGTGCTGCATATGTTGAGTCTTGTGTTTTAAAGGACAATGTTGGCTTACCTGCGCATTAGCTGTGCATAAGGGATCTTTGGTCTGGGTGGAAGTTGTGCAAGAGCAGGTACTGAGGACTTACCGTATTTTTTGCTCTATAAGACGCACCAGACCACAAGACACACCTAGTTTTTGGAGGATGAAAACAAGGAAAAAAATATTCTGAATCTCAGAAGCCAGAACAGCAAGAGAGATCGCTGCGCAGCGAAAGAAGCAATCCTTCTTGCTGTTCTGGCTTCTGTGATAGCTGCGCAGCCTGCATTCACTCCATAAGACGCGCACACATTTCCCCTTACTTTTTAGGAGGAAAAAAGTGCGTCTTATAGAGCAAAAAATATGGTACTTTAAATGAGTCACTTGGTTTGTGAAATGTCACATGGGTAAACTCTTCTGGCCCGCTTAGCATCACATTTAAATTTGACAGTATTCCCAGAGATGTTCATGATATGACTGCATTCAGACTTAACAGTTACCTGTTGAAACAACAGCTGTTGTTAATTTCATTCCTACACTATAAGAATAAGAATAAGAATTTATTATTTATACCCAGCCCATCTGGCTGGGTTTCCCCAGCCACTCTGGGTGGCCTCCAACAGAACACTAAAATACAATAACCTATTAAACATTAAAAGCTTCCCTAAACAGGGCTGCCTTCAGATGTCTTCTAAAAGTTTGGTAGTTATTTTTCTCTTTGACATCTGGTGGGAGGGTGTTCCACAGGGCGGGTGCCACTACCAAGAAGGCCCTCTGCCCGGTTCCCTGTAACTTGGCTTCACGTAGCGAGGGAACCGCCAGAAGGCCCTCGGTGCTGGACCATCATGGTGTCTTCCAAAATGCTGACAGTGTTTATAATAATACAAACAGAATTATGATGTGTCTTTCCCAAACTGTTCTGACTATAGAATTGTGGCTTTAGTGCCAATTTTGACTTTTCTTGGCATTTTGTAAACCATTTGCTTAATACAGTGGTACTTCGGGCTACATACGCTTCAGGTTACAGACGCTTCAGGTTACAGACTCTGCTAACGCAGAAATAGTACCTCGGGTTAAGAACTTTGCTTCAGGATGAGAACAGAAATCGTCTTCCGGCGGCGCGGTGGCAGCAGGAGGCCCCATTAGCTAAAGTGGTGCTTCAGTTAAGAACAGTTTCAGGTTAAGAATGGACCTCCGGAATGAATTAAGTACTTAACCAGAGGTATCACTGTATTCTGGTTACTCGTTGTCCCAGAACTGGTTACTAGTGCAGATAATCTCATAAGAATTGGAGCAAAGCACACTTGGATCAAAAGAACTCCTTCTTTCCATTCACAAAGAAAGGCTTTAGGAAGAGTGGAAATAGAGAAATTAAACTTTTTGCTTGTCCTAAGAAAGACAATTGTGGTTACAGATAATTTACTCCTTCCTTCCTAGTTTACTATAAGACCCAACCCTTGTGAAATGGCAATTACAGTTAAAATGGGGAGAAATGTAGTTTCAAAACATTCTTCCTACTTACTCTCCCCCCCCCCTTGGATCTAAAACCAGTCTTCTAAATAATCATTTTATATTTGGATGGTGGTAGTCACCTAAATCCTACTCGAAGTAGACCTATGGAAACTAAGGAACCTAACTTAGTCATGTCCATTAAATTCAAAGGGACTATTCTTGTTAGGACTAGCAAATACCACCCATTCTGCCAAAATACTCTTTCCTCACACATCTAAATGTTATAAATACAATTCTACAAAGACAAAATGTACACACTGTAAACATAAGGAATAATACATGTAAGTGAATAGATATGAGGGATTCATACATTTATGTGCATAAAAAGGCTTTCTTATTTAGATGTAATCAATAATAGCTTAATTTAACTGCTACCTATTGAGCTTTTTTTTAAAAAAAAAGTGATCAAATGTTCAAGACAACACCATCCCAGTGACATTCTCCCTTCTTTTGTATGCCATTATAGTTTCATACTTAACTTTATAGGTGTAGTTGAACTTGATAAATATAAATGTGTAAGTGTCATTTGTAGCAGGCTGTTTCAGAAAGTTGGGAGAATGGGGAAAGTTTTAATAGGAAATATTTTACCAGTACATAGCTTAATAGGCATGTGCAGGAGAGGCATTGAATTAAATCCAAGAGGGAAAGGAAGGTAATAGGCTTTGTTTTGACATTTGGTAAATGGCACCATTTCCCCTGCTTTAAGGCGATATTATTTGTTATCTTTGTGATATCAACCACCGTTAGCAATCCCTAACCCCATCTCAGGCCTATTTGCATGCCTAGCAATCAATGTACTGCTTGATAATGGATGAAGTAACGGCTGCTATGCTTAACAGGCCTGGAAAGAAAGTGCCAAGAATTAATGTGGTTGTACAGAGGAGAGGAACAATGATCACAACTGAGTAGCAGTGCAGGTCAGAGACAAATGTGAGCGTCCCAAAAGATGGAAAGAAAAAGAAGCAGGAGAAGGAAGGAAGGAAGGAAGGAAGGAAGGAAGGAAGGAAGGAAGGAAGGAAGGAAGGAAAGAAAGAAAGAAAGAGAAAGAAAGAAAGAAAAGTTGGGCAGGGGAAATGAAGACAAAACCAGCTGAGGAGGGAGTTGGGATGGCATTGCTCATTTGCTAAGCTACAACTCCTCTTATTATCACATTTCAACACATGCTCCATCATGTGTTTAAAATCTTGTACTCCAGAACTCTGGTAGTTGATAGCAGAAATTATTCCTGAGTAGGATTGGACTGAGGTCAGCCCTTTGTGTAAGTGCGCACAGGGTTGCAGCCTAAGTATTAGAATGTGTAAGACTCCATACAAAGAAAAAAAGCAACAGTTATTGCTGAAACTTAGAAACTGTAGAAATACTTGCTTGATTGCAGGGCAGGGAATCTGCTTTGTTACTTATAATGGGTTGTGGGTTGCATTCAACATAGTGCCAAAGCTAAGGTTCTGCCAGTGCAAGGATTTCTCCTTGAGTAATGGAGCATTGCTTCACAGTCCTCTCCCTGTGTGCTACCTAAATCTACTCTGGAATTTTCCCCAACTCTACAGAGTGGGGTTGGGGGACAGTGGAGGGGGTGTCCTAGCAGGGGGTGTCCCATTGCACTAGTGGTAATCCATGTGGGCGTGCAGATATTTTGCTGAATACCACCTTAAATAATTCTCTTTTTGAAAAGCAAGATTGGTCTGCTAGGGGAAAAAATAGAAAAGCAGAACAGAGATCAAGTACCATATTTTTCGCTCCATAACACGCACCCGACCATAACACGCACCTAGTTTTTAGAGGAGGAAAATCCGTAGGCATGCCACCCGTAGGCATTCCCTCCATAACACACACAGACATTTCCCCTTACTTTTTAGGAGGAAAAAAGTGAGTGTTATGGTGCAAAAAATACGGTACTTTGAATTTCATGGACATTACTAACATGTTGTGTTATTGAATACCAAACTGCAATTTGTTTCTGCTCTTCTTCTTCTTCTTCTTTTTAAAGAAGAGTCATGAGGTGATGATATTGACAAAGGAGAACACTTTTAAAAGGAAGACTTTAAACAATATCTGAGAAATTGCTGGAATTGTTTGTCTTCTAATAATATTATTAACTTTTGCCCCATTAAGAACAAGAGAAATTCTGTGAAAGCAATCAGGAGATGTTTCAGTAGTGGAGATCACTGTTTAGTTTACGTGTTCCACCATTCTTACTTTTCTAATCCTGAAGAGAAATTTGAAAGAACAATTCAAAACTTCAGCTGAGTCTTTGATCTTGGATTAGAACATTCACAAAATAGTAACCTGACCCCATTCTTTGGTTTAGCCTTCCATTCAGTTTTGAAAAACTGTTAGAAGGAAGACTTACGAAGAAAAGCTGCAAAAGAGCAATACAGGCACAGCATCCTTTTTAAGCTTGCTGCCCTTTTGCTTAATTTGTACGTTTGAGTCAGTCTACACCTTTTCATTGATCTGTGCTCTTGGCATTACCCAGTCCTTGAATGGCATTTGGACATGACCCTGTATTTCAGCATAATTCTTAAAACCTCAATGAATAGCTTTTCTGGTTGTTTTCAGCACACTCCAAAGAAGATGAGTCAAGGACCCACTCTCTTTTCTTGTGGAATTATGGGTGAGTAAGGAGAAAGCCTCTAATTTTTTATTGCACGTTATAATGCTGGTGGGAAATGCAACAGGGCTCTCGGAGCTAGGGATGGGAGAATCTGTCATTTTCAGTAATATATGCATTTTTATGCATATTTTACCATAGGATGTGCATTTTTGTACACATTATTTGGCTGGAGAAATTTAATTCATTTGGCTTTTAAAGGCAAATATAACTAATCTGCACTTTCAAAAGCAATACACGAACCGAAACACATTAATCTTTCAGAATTTTCACTTCTCCAAATTTTGCTATGTGGTTCTCCCTCATTCCTACTTGGAGCTGATTCAGTGTTTTCTTACGAGCAAAAACTATGGGTTTTTTTTTTGCAAGCTGAGAAATCCATTTCCTAATTTCTCATGCACTTTTATTTAAATTCCGTATGGTTGGCAGTTGATCTGTAGCGCTCAGCTGATGAGCTCTGTGTGTGCCCTGCATGTCAAAACTCCAGGTGACCTCAGTCTCATCTCAAATATTGTAGAAGTTAGTAAATCACCCATCTTCACTCCGGTCTAAACCAGATGTACTTAATTGAGACAACTGACTAGGATTCCAGATTCCAAGCAAAGCATTCTAGTGTCTTGAAAAATCAGCTCAGTGACACATCTGGTATATTCAAACTTTACGTTTAGTGATGCTTGATAATCGAGTTCCTTTTATTCACAGGTATGAACTAAAATTTGCCTGCTTGCTCCAAACCTGGGTTTTGCATTGCTGAGTATTTCAAGGCTATCTTATTTTGAATCTCACTTATTTTAACAGTAATACATAAAGGTGAAGTGATACATTCATTCCTAGTCTGTGTAGTGTTTAAGAGGAAGTGTAGTGTAATGTTTAAAACTTCACAGTATAGTATTTAAAAAAGAAGCAATAATAATTGGGCAATCACTATTTAATTGGTATTCTTGTGCTGCAGTCAACAAAAGTTCATACTGTACTGGCACACAAGCTGTGTGTGTGTGTGTGTGTGTGTGTGTGTGTGTGTGTGTGTTATACAGCCTTATGATGTTTGAGGTTTGGCTGGATGCTCTTGGAGGGCTGGCAGTTCTGAAAGATGTAGTACTGCATTGTGTTCATTAGTTTCTTATATGACTGGGCAATGACCTCCAGACCCAATTAAAACTTTAGGCCCAACTATTCTATAACAAAAGCTGGTAGTTTACAAACAAAGAATCTGTTCCCACCATTCACAGGCATTACCCTCATTAGTATTAATGGGAGCTGAGCAACTGTACTGGGAGAGACATTTCTCAAGCTTCCAGACAGGAAAGTCATCTGAGATGAGAGTGAGGGGGAAATACAAAGTGTTTTTGAATTATTATGATTCTTTTGCCTCAGATGGAAGGTGCAGGCTTCAAAGTAAAAAAATAAAGTGACAGAAACAGTCTATTCTATTTATGTTTTATGTGAAGAATCAAACAAGAAACAAATAATACCAAATCAATTAGCCAAACAATATATAGAAGTCTAAGAAACTTGTTTATGACTACTTTTCTATAAAACTTTTCCCGTTCAAGCTACACTGATATGGTCTTTATTTGCTAAAGTGTCCTGTTTCCAAGGGAACCTAATCTTACCTTGCTGACCATAGCACCCCCTGTGCAATTTTCTTTGCCAGTTCCAGTGAAAAAGAGCAAATCCCATTGGCATTATTTTTGTTTTGCTTTGTAATGTTCGTCATCTCTTCCAATGCCTTCTTCCTTGGCCCAGATTAACCAACCATTGTTGAAACTTGCCCAAATAGGTTCAGTGCTCACAGCCACAATGAATTTCCAACTGCCAAGCTATTTCTGATTAGATAGTTTTGTTCCTACTTGTTCAAAGGGTCAAGACAAATGCACCATTACATATTTGGATTAGAGCCAGTGGGAAGTCAAGAAATATACTGCCACATGGGACATCTGAGGACTGGAGGGAGAGACCACGCTTGACTGGCTTTCTAGTCTCCTCAGTCTGAACAGGCAGTGTCAGCAGCGAGCCAGCAGTAAATCACACTATACAAGTTAGAGTTAACTCCATATTAGCAAAAACATGTTCTGCACAGGAGTGTCAGGCCTAATTAGCACAGCAACTCATCTCAGGTAGGTCTTGCCCCCATGAAGCAGTTGCTGAGACTGAAGGTTTCCGCCTCCCCACAGCTGCCAAAGTTCCCTCCTATCCAGGGTATTTTCCAAGCAGTCAGAGACTGTGTCTGTGCATTGCCAATCTTTCCTCCGCCCTTTTCATGTCCCTTCTGGTTCTGGGAGACAATGGAGGAGGCGAGCTTGTTGCAGCAGGAGGGGAAGGCACCATGACTCTTTACCATCCTGACTCATCTCTGCCTCTTGGCCTCTCTCCTCCCACCCTCCTGCTTCAGCTTCTGGACGTCTTTCTGCCACTGTCCTTCCCAGCTCAATAAGCCTTGTGAGCTTCCAACACCTCCTCTTCTGAGTCTTCTCCCTCTGATCACTCATCATTGTCTCACAACCACTCCCCAGGTTTTGAGCCTTCTTCTCTTGGGGGTTCCCCAGCTGGTTCCTCCCACCATTCATCTGTGCCCAACCAGTCTAATATAGGTAGGATGTTGTGAGAACTAATTGTCTATTTGAATTTCAGCAGGGATGGGGGGGGGGGAGATAGAGATAAAGCTGGCATATCCATAGAAGATACAACAGTGACCTTGAGAAGCTGTTGTGCAAGTCTAGCATTGGAATGATGACAAGATAAGTTCTGTGCCAGGCCATCTTTGCCCAGAGCATGGACTGAGGCAAATGGGAAAGAGTGACTTATATCTACTGCTTTATAAGTCATGGGAAAACTTTTCTTTTGGCCCTGCCAGTTATGTCAACTTGCTTTAAAGAGAAGGCTAGGCAAACCAGACACTTTTGTAGAACCTCTTTAGCACTATTCAGCACAAAGTCTGAGGATGGATTTTGAGTGTGGTCGACCAAACACGCTTATAATTCTTCTTTAGACATATAAGATGAAGACACGAAAATCTGAAGTGGAACTGTATGGATGTTGGGTGTGGGCTTGTATATGGGCCCCCTCTCCATTTTAAGCCCACAATGCATTCGCCCCACATATAAATAGGACTTTGGTCTCAAGTGTGCTGATCTTCCAATATTCCTATTATGTTCTCACATTCCCTATTTAAAAAAACCATTGATAAATCTATGAAAACTTCACACATTTGAGTTTGATTGAAATATTTGAGATTTTTTTTTGCCATTTTTTGAATTAAAAATTAGCATGCTTTGGGCTTTCCTCTTTCTGCAGCTATTTTAGTTGCTTTTAGGCTTTATAACCCTAACCAAGTTATTGGCGTTCATTTAATATTGTGTTTCTATTAGAGTACTATTATTAGCTTTCTTAGGTTTTTAGTTTGTCTGAAAAGGGGCTGTTTCTCCTTTCAGGCTTTGTTTTATTTCAATCCTTCTGTCACTTTCACATTAGCATTGCTTGATGACAATTACTGAAGAATGTCCCTTAAAAAAGCGGTGGAAACAACTTTTTATCAGCTTTATTTGGAGAAAATGTGTGTGTATATTTCCTAGTAGCATTCATTGGCAATCTCTCTCTCTTTCTCTGTCTCTCTTTCTCTCTCTCTCTCTCTCTCTCTCTCTCTCTCACACACACACACACACACACACACACACACACACACTTATTTATCATAACACAGTTATATTTGGAGAAAAAGTATCTGTATACATATTGCTCATTCGCATTAATTTGCTGTCTCTCCATCATCACAACACTTTGCCACGGAAAGGTTTTGCTAAGGAGAAAACCAGTTTTGTAGGGGGAAAGAATAAAAATCTAATTCCTGCTTATTCATATGCATTTTTACTTCGTTGTATGTGCTGCTAAGCTCAATGGAGCTTGCTCTCAAGTAAACAGGCAGAGGGTTTCAGCCTTTCCTGGTGAATAGTTAATGCAGATAACTGAAAAGGCCTCAGATACCACTTGATACACTATTTAAAAACATAAATCTTCATCAAATATTTGTCAAGTCACAGTGCCTTACAGCATTTCCCCCCTTTTCTTAAAGGGCAAGAATCCTCTGAGTTTAAAAAACGTTGAAATTGGTATAATTACCGCCAAGAGAAGAGTGTAAAAGAATACTGTTCCTGATTTTTGTTTTTCAGGAAAAAGCATAGAAGATGAAAAACGTATTGCTATAAATTCAGCCTTGAGCAAGAACAATTTTGTATGCCTTGCTTGAGTAGCCCTTGAATCATGTGCAAATAAATTGTTGCTGTTATGGAACAGAATATTTCTTTTATCCTCCCAGACAGCCAATATTATATTTCTCCAGTCAAAAGGGATACAAATGCAGTGGGTGGGAGGGTCACAAAGGGAAGCTGGTTCAACATAATGTTTAGGCAGTGAAACTATGGGTTTTTTGCTTTTAAAAAAATATATATTCTGTAGCCAAAGGATGAATTGAAGCAAATATTTAATGCAGTGCTGCACCCTAATTCCTCTCTTAGAGATTAAAAGGAAAATATTGGCTGCTGTTCTCAAGCTGCCTTTCCCAGAGTTGCTCCATTCATGTCAGTAGTGGAATTTGGCTAGCTTTAGGATTTTGTATTGCGAATGTTCAGTATTAATAGTGGTAAAAAAAGGCCTTCCTGCACGAATTTATTCTGTTGTTTTACTAAAGGAGCATTGGTAGTTTGGAGGCAACCTGATGCTCAGAGTTAGGATGCACAATTCTTAAGGAAGAGTCCCTACAAAGGCAGCATCTATTTCTGAGGTTTGACAGCTAGGTGGGAGAGTTTGCTGAACTCCTGTGGGGTTTAATGTTTTGGAGCTTTTGGCTCCCATCTTATCCGTACACTAGGGGTTGAAGCACTGAACATATTCTGCTGTATATATCCAGACACTGGCGTGTGCTCTGAATGTACCTAAAGCAGATGCAGAGCTTTTACAAACAGCATTGAGGGTGTTGACTAGTTTCTTAAAGTAGCTGGCATGGCAGGAACTCATGTTGTTGAAAAGAGATGCAAAAGCCATGTGCTCAAGAGAAAGATATACAGTGGTACCTTGGGTTACAGACGCTTCAGGTTACAGACGCTTCAGGTTACAGACTCCGCTAACCCAGAAATAGTACCTTGGGTTAAGAACTTTGCTTCAGGATGAGAACAGAAATCGTGCTCCGGCAGCGTGGTGGCAGTGGGAGGCCCCATTAGCTAAACTGGTACCTCAGGTTAAGAATAGTTTCAGGTTAAGAACGGACCTCCTGAACGAATTAAGTTCTTAACCCGAGGTACCACTGTAATAATATTTAACTTCAGTTAGAACTGGGCCAAAAACAGAAGCTCATCTTCTGTAGTATATGCTGCTTTTCTCATAGACAATGTAACTGGTAATGTTTATTGATCTCATCTCAGTTCTGCCTCGAATACACTAGATCTGCAGTCGACATGGCCAAAGGGATTTTGATGTCTGCCTGAGACGCTAAATCCAAGCAATGCCTCCAGCTGTGATGGTAAAAATAAAACACAAAGCCAAATAGTTGACAATTTTCTGCTGTAATGGCAGAATTTGGATGGATCTCCCACTTCTTATAGGTCAGACACATGCTTTATTAGGAAACCAGTAGAATTGGCAGGCACTGTTTCAACAAACATGCAACAGTTTATGGATCAAAATATAAAATTGTTATAGAGCCAGTTCGAGGGAAGTTTCATTCACTCCTCATTTTCAGCGTGTGTGTCTAGTGACAGCTGATGGGGAGCACAGACACAGCTTTTATCCCTTCATGTTACAATTTATTTTTCTGGGTTATACCTTGAACCCTTTACAATATGGAAATATAAGCATTTGATCTTTCTTAGCTCCTTCTTTATTAAACGAAGCAGTAAGAGCAGTTCAGCAATGGAACCAATTTCCTAGAGTTGGTGTTCTGTCCCTTGCTGTGGTCTTCAAGCAGAAGGCAGACAACCATATCTTGGGGATTCTCTATATTTCCTGCATCAAGCAGTGGGACCGCAAAGCCCCTTCCAGCTCTTATTTTTTTAATGCAGCCAGCAAGCACAGTAGTTTAGCATTTTCTTAAGCAAGAGCTCAAGGTAAAAATGGTTGCTCCCAACCTTTTTGTTAATTGAAAACCCTATTTAATTTGGAATTAGTCATTGAGAATTTCACTTCAACAACTTTGCCTCACGTTTGGTGGGCATGATTCAATAAACATCAGTGACTGGGCAAAATATTTGCTTACTACTTAAAGCTATTTAAACTACCTTTAACGAGACTGTATTAAGGCACACACATAATTTTGCTGGCATTATTTCCTCCCTCTTTTTTGCCTTTGTGAAAAGGAACTTTTTGTGTTGTACTGATTTTTAAAAGCTTTATAAAAGAGAGAGAGAAAGAGAGATGAAAAATAATGCTGGATGCAAAATTCAGAAATATAATAAAAGGAAATCTACACTGATTTGATTTTGGCATCATTGTTTTAAAATATAAATAGCATCATTTGTTACGAGAGCTACGTGACTTGTGCTGGAGCTATCTTAATAGATAGTTAGGAATAAGGACATTTTGCTGCACTCTTCCTTCCAAAATGGATCATCTAATTTTCCACTTGGGAGGTGCTGTGTACAAAAGTAGCAATGGGAGATGGATAGTGTGCTGGAATGCTGGAGAGGAATCTGTGTCCTTTGTTGTACTGCTGGTTTTGCTCCAACCAGGGGTGGCGGGCTCTACTATATCATTTGCACCACCTGCCGCACCAGCCTCTGGGGGATCTGCAGCCTTTCAGATGTGCCTCTACAGTATAAGATGGAGCTCCAACTCCCATCAGTCACAGACAGCATGGCCCAATAGTTGGGGATGGTGGGAGTTGTAGTCTGGGCCGAACTCAGGGTGTTACTATTGCTGTATAAAGCCCTGAACCACTTTGGGACAGTTTACTTGAAGGATTGCCTCAGCCCATATGCACCCATTTGACCATTTGGATCTGTGGAAGTGGCACTTCTTCAAGTTCCACATAATGTGTGTTCTGCACTTGCAAGAAATCAGTCCTTTAGTGTGGCAGCACCTGTATTTCAGAAGTTCCTTCCCACTGATATTAGGCAGGTGCCTCCACTGTCTTGTTTTTGCCTCCTGCTAATCCGCTTTTTTTCTTTCAGCAAGCCTACCCAGACACGGCACTTTAGCATGCAATTTTGACAAGTGTTTTAGAATTACTGATTCTATTTTCTGTTAGATATATATATATCTATGCAGCTAGTTTTGAACGCTTGTTTCTTAGTGGCATTTTAAATGAATATTTTATGCTGTCCATTGTAAGCAGCTCGGAAGTCTTTTGTCAAACTTTCATTTATTGTAATTGGACATTGGTTAAATAAAATATAACTAAATAGGGCAGCAACGTACCAAGGGCCACAGGTGTGCCTCTTGTGATCTATAACACCAGCAACAGATGGTGAGGGAAGGGGCTTCCTTCCTGTTATGCCTAAGTGGGTTGTGAGCTTCTTCTCTCTTCTGGCATTGCTGTGGGGAAGTGGGGCATAAATGTTTGCTGGTTTGTTTGCAAGAGAACAGTGGGGCTTGGTGATAAATGTTCCACGTCCTCACACCAGCTTAGGTGTAGGGGAATTCCTGTTAAATGTGACCATTGTGGTCGTCTCTGAGGCAACCTTTCTGAGGTGAAGTGGGCTGTGGTGCTCTTAGGAAACAAAGTGTGAGATGGAGGCTACAGTTAGGAGTCCACACCTTACATAAATCCCTATAAGAGTTCTGAAGAAACAAAAGGGAACTCTGAGGCTCCCGAATCAGGATTTCAAGCTCTTCAATCTGTCAACGTTGTTTCCAGACTTGTATGCCTCACCTCTTCCTGTTGCCAAGTGTCCGCATAAAACAGATTGTCTAAATGACTAATTGCTACGTACGTATAACAGGAAATAATTCGAGTGAAGCTCTTATTCCATTCCTGTTGACTACACTTTGCTCTTTTGGCTAATTAATCTATAGGAAGTAGTTAACCCCCTAACCCATTTTGCATTAACAGTACCACTCTCCCTGAATATTCTGTGTGATAGGGGACCCTTGCATTTTGCATTGGCTGGTAAGCTAGCTCTGATGTGAAATCTTAATGTGTCATCTGCAGGACTGAATGGGGGATGCTTGCCTATTTTTTTGACAGAAGCAGACGTGTATGTGTGTGGGAGTAGCCACACCCTGACTCTGCCGTCTCTAGTCTCTCCTCAGCCCTTTCTTAATCTTGATGTTTGTTCAAGTGGTGCCAAGTACAGGTTATCCAGTCTCCTCAGGGAATAGCTGCGGAGGTCTGATGAGCAAAGCAGATTTTCAGATGAGTGATTCCTTATCGGGCAGAGGTGCCAGTTTCTGGCCTTGATCTTTCTTAGGCCTGTTGTCTTTTTTCACACACAAACACACACGAAAAGCACTTGAAGGCACTTTCTTTGTCCCAGGTATGCATAGTGAAGTTGCACACTCATTTTGGATATAGAAAAGGGCATTTTCCTATCATTCCAAAATCAGCTAAATAATGCCATGAAGCGTCAATTCAAAGCAAATGTTTTCCAGGACGTGATCTGGCCATGCTGGGGCATGTTTGGAAAACATTGCCACAAAGAATTACAGGAAATGTCACCTCTGTCCAGAATGATTTTGGACTCTCAGTTTCTTAGGGAACATGGAAAAATAACTTCGGTACCTTTTGTGTTACCAAGGACAACTTGGCAACCAAGCGTATTCCACATTTACCAAGTGGCATGACTGGTGGGTCTAAGCCAATTTAACCATATACTTTTTTCAGTTTTACATCAGTGAAGGAAGGTTTAGCACCTGTATTTCTAAAGACCACGTGTGTGTTGGAGCAGGAGACAGAGTGGGGAGAAGACTCAAATCATCTTGCTTTTATGGGAACTTTGTGCAAAAGGATTTCAGGCACACAGTGATGTTGCTAATTCATTCTGATCTCAGCAGTGTTCTGTTTATTTATTTTGTATTTATTAGGAGTCTTAGAGGAAAAGAGCAGAGGGAAGGCTTGTCACCCGTCCTATCCCATAGGCTCTAGAATTTAAAACAGAAAATACCAGTGAGACCTGCAACAAAATATTGCAGCATGTTTCAGTATGTTTTTGATTGTGTATCTGTGTGCACGCGTACACAGAAGCTTCTAAACCTCAGGCTTCACCTGAATAGGCTGGTTCCTCCCTCTTGTTTTGGCTCCATTTCTTCAGCACAGTGGCACCGAGTTCACTTTTAGATGAAGCAATGCCATACCATCTAAAACAAATAAGTGGATTGTTGGGAGGAGAGGAATGCATGGACTAATTTCCTTAAGAAAAAAAAAACTTTTCATTTTGGGGAAAGGCTTTTTTAGCTTTTAAGATTAAGAAACAAAGAAGGTTTTGGAGAAAATATTAACCTGTTCATCTTGGAGCAAAATGTTGGGTCCAGTATGCATGTGTGTAATCCACAGACCTTGCTGTGATGTTTTATTCTGATGAGGCACATTTTGTGCTGTCATTTCATTTTTTTTCCAACCTAGATGCTTTATCTTTGAAAATCTTTGTGTGTATGTGTTGGGTGCAGCAGGAAAGCACGAGTGGTTTCTATGTCATCACTGCCAGCTAATTACTGCCATTAAACTCATTCTACAATGAGAAGCCACATATTTCATAAATGGAGTGTGCAATGGAAAGTACAAACTGCTGGTTTCCTAACACTCTTGGCGTACTAGGCAAATAGTACACAAGGAAGTAAATTAAATGCAGGTGCAAGAGATCATGATAAAATATTGGCAAAGAAAACTCTGCATTGTGTGATCCAAACCATTTGTATGCCCAAACCCCACCCAGACTTCAAAATATCACAAAGCCTATAAAGACGTTGAGTTGCTGCAGTATGTTGTTTTATATATTTTATGTCACAGAAAAAGATCATAGACCTATTTCCCCCATTTGCCCTATTTATTTGACAACTTATGTTTTTATTATGCTCTAACAGTATTTGTTATAATTTAAATGTAATTATTTTCAAGTACAACTGGCATTGATAATGTTTGTTTCTATGTCTGTGTCCCTCCAGTGAGTGCAGGACTATAGCACCCCTCATTCCTGACCACTGGCCATACTGGTTGAAGCTGATGAGAGTCAGAGTCCAACAATATATGAAGGGTTACAGGTCCCCCACCCGTTGTAGAACAATATCAACATAACACCTATTGAGAAAGCAGCATAGTGCATCTCCTTCATAACCAGCTTCTGAAATAGCTCTTTAGTCACAACAGAAAATTAAAATTCACAACCACAAGTGGAAAACAACCTCTACCTGCAGTTGTTACTAATGGAATATCAGCCAATTCAGCTCATAGATTTGGCTGGCTCCAACTCCCAAACTTTTCTGCAGGGAAAAGCTGCATTTACTTCAGTAGGCCTTGTGCCAGCTAAGGAATAGCGAGCAAGAATATTAAGGCCCGCCCCCTAAGCCATTGCCCTAGCTTTATATATGAAGTCTGATCCTATGCACGACACTTTCCTTTTTTCAAAACACCCTTCCATACTGTTCCATACCTTCCAACATCTTGAGTCGCAAAACCGGGATGCTCGTCTTCCTGCTCATGCTCCCACGTGAGCCATTTAACCCACATGAGATCATGGAGCCCAAAAGGGCTGCTGTACTCGCATATGATAAAATAGGATTTCCTCCCTGCCCCCCAGCATTTTTTGGGGAAGAGTCTATCAACCCCTGGAGCAGATTTGGGAAGTGAGGTCTGCTGAGAGAGACAGCGCGAAACTTGAGTCCTTTATTTCCAAGTGGTGGAGTAGCTTTGGAAACTGGGAAGAAGAAAATGTGTCTCTTCCCCCCCCCCCCAATCCCCTTGCTCCCTTCCTGTAACATCCTTGTGTAGTGCAAGACAGTGAGATTTTAAATCTCATGGTACTTATTCCCACAATCCTCACCCTTACTAGAACCTGTAAGAGGAGTTTGTGCAGGCCAGATCCATCTTTCCTTTTCCTCTGAAGACTTGACTGATAGACTCGCACAACCAGCACAACTTCTGGTTTCCTTAGGTCCCTGTTAACTCTTTATTTTCGGTGGCTCCATTTTGCTTACCAACTGCAATCACCCAGGTGAAAGCTCTGGTAACTGAAAACGGATGCTTCAAAATCTCCAGAGAGTTCACAGTCTATGAAACTGAGGCCTGGAAAAAATAAAGAAGAGAAATAATTGCAGTATTGTAATCAGCAGTAGTTCTGTACAAATAAAGTATGGATAATCCCAGTTATCTCTGTATTAGAAAATCCGCTGGTGCGAGACATCAGTTTATCAAGTGAACATCTTTTTTATTTTTTTAGTTTAGTTCAATGAAATAAAAGAAACATTTATGTGTACATAGGACATTATTTATATATCTTCAAATATAATTTTAATTCCACTTTTCTAATTTCATATTGTATTAGTGAGTGCTGTCACTTCCTGATTTAAGGCACATTGCAGTACAGTAATAAAAAAAAGAAAGTACACTTGGGTTAGCAGCGCAAGTGCTCAAAAAAGCAAGAACATTTTGTTTGCAATGGTGACACCAGTATTGTTTAGCTACACCAGAGTTTACAAAGTTCGCACTAGCCAGTGTCTGCTTTAGCCGAATCATTGTTAGAAGTTTTCTTGCAGTAGTGGTCTAATTCATAAAACTAGGTCATCAGCTAGTGATCAGCTCTGTATTCTGCTCTATTTAGCCATTAATTCCAACCAAGGCCTGCCAGTTCTTGGTTCTCTATCTGTATATTTTCCTTCCAGATGTCTTCAAAGGCACATGAACTTTGTTTCTCATAGAAAGACCAAATTAGAATCCCCAAAAGGTGGCATTCCTTCTCAGTTTTCCTGTGGTGTAATGTTCTTGCTAAAGCACACACGTGATGAAAGTACAATATTCTGATATTTTCCCTGAAACAATTTTGACGACACTAGTGACATTTTTATATTGCCGTTTTTATCATGTGCAGCTATGGCTGGGTGAATAGTCTATTGCATCGTGTCACCTGATTTTGTTTTGTAAGAAAAACATCCTTAGCCTATGAGCCACTGGCTTTCCCTGAATAGACTATAGAACCACAAACCTGATGACCTCTAAGGTGAACTGCTCGGGTTATTGTTGCTTTCTTGCCAATAGAGACTGAAAATGTATAGGCCGAAAGGCTAAACTGATACCAGTGGCAGCAGTTGCCCACTAGACGTGCCAGGGCAGCTAGCAAGTCATGGAGGTGTGCTCAGTGGGGTCAATGGTGTGTGATCAAGCTGTCTAGAGTAGCCACTTGCATATCCTCCCCAAAGAGAATATACATCAACAAAAATTAAGATGAAAGACAACATTGGTTTGCATAGAATTGCATATTCTAATTTGTATGTCTAGATTAAAGCTTATAAATGAATACTATAATGGTTAAACCAACCACTGAATTTAAGAGAACACAGGCAAAGGGATAATTTATTTACTGAAGAATGGATGTACTGGTGCAACAAGGGTCAAGATAATATGCAACCATATGTACTGTTGGAAACAAGTTTAAAGAGCAACTATTGGTCTTTACATATAATACTTTATTTGCTTATTTATTTTTGCCTGCTTGAGAGTTTGTATGCTCGTTTATTAGTTTATGCTGCATCTTTACTTTTTTGTTTTGTTTTGCAAAGAAAATTGATAAAATGAAAATGAAAAATAAGAGTAGAACACATTTCCCCATAGTGGGGAAGACTATGACCAGGTGATCTGTCTGTGTCCAGCTGCAAAGAGTCAATGGGCAACTTCAGGGCCTCGGCCTTCCCTTCTTATGGTTCTAAAGCTTTTGACTGTGCATGGAACAGACAGCATTTTAAAGAGAGGACAGTCTTCTGTAAAGCAGAACACCAGGCCATCCTAATAGAGTTCCTCTGTGTAAGCTTCTGGCTGCATCACCGCTGCAGTAATTATGTCAGCATGGCAGTGTAATAAGGCAGATAATCCCTTTAAAGCAAGAAAACAAGTCAATTTTGGACATCATAAGGAAGCATCTAAATAGCAACAGCAAGTACCAGCCAACACTGTACACAGGAAAATTGTGTCTGATGTAAAGGATAGTGGCAGTCAAGAACATTGGCAAAGACAGCTGGGAGGAGCATATGGAGATTGAGTGAGGAGGGGTTGTATTAAGATTTTGAGTGAAAAATCTCTAAATGGTAAAATGGAGACCTTGGGAGACAGTGGTATGGTTTAGAAGTTGCTTCCCTCATAGGGGTTTGTTCCCTGCCCTCATCCTAGATTACAAATGGAGGGCAGCAAGAATGATGAGGCCTTCCCATTGTTTGCTAATAAGAGTAATCTCTTTTTCTTGGCACTTATATTGTCACCATCTATTGCTTCACAGGCTACTCTCCTAATAAATATCCACAGTGTATGTGTGCTGGCTTGCACACACAAACACACTTATAGTTAGAATCACCTTATTAAAATATCCATCACCCCAAGCTCTGAATCCACCATGTACATATTCCCCCGCTGAAATAGCCCTTTCATTTATCCAAATTGTTAGGATGTTGAGTTTGAGCTGCATTCAGTGGACAATTAAATTGACTTGGGTTTGACCGTAAGAACCAGCAACACTGGTTTCTAAAAACAGAAACATTCTCAAAGTGAAATGGTTTCAGTTTTTATTTATGGCTTGTGCTGAATAGGATGTTAAGTGGGCTTTCAAATATGGTTAAACCATATTTCATGCATAAGCAGTTTCAGTTCCAATCTTTTGATTTCCTTTGTCTCTTGAGAGAGAGAAAGAAGCATCACTCTCAGATAATAGCACAGAACCCGTTGTTCTCCACCGCTTTTTCGTGGCTTGTTATTTAACAAAGCTAGTGTCAGGCGCATTTAAGTTGGCAAGCCTTAATAGCTGTCAACCACAGCAGATGCAGGTGAGATGCTGAAATGAATAAGCTGCCTATGGTGAATTATTATGTAGTTACTGTTTCAGTGTCTTTTTGCCACTCACCTGAAACACTTACTGGGGGTGGGGAGGAAACCATATATTCATACGTTGTTCAGAGAAAAAAAACCCCCACCCTATTCTAATAATTGTTCTGTTTTCTCTTTGCCATAACTGGATCAATGGATAAAACAGAAGTCAGAAGTTACAGAGCAAGGATCACTGTATGAGTATGCAGTCTTCTATTCACAAGTTGCTTTGAATCCGGTGCATAATAGTAAATGTTGAATCGTGGGTAGACATAGCAGACGACACAGCGATTTCTCCAAAGCAGCTCTTTATTTGTAAGCTGGAACAGAACTGAACAGCAAACAGCTCAGCCGGCCTGCTTTTATAGGCAGCCGGCTGTCAACATTGTAGCAACAACAACCCAGGGTTTCCCACCTAAAATAACTGACGTGGACCTGAGTGAAAACTGCATACACAATACTCCTGGTGGCCAGGGTGAGGACTTCAATACATAACAGTAAAGACAATATGTTTATGTCAAATATCTTTTCGTTTAACAGGAGAAGAGGATTTCTACCCCCAAAAAGGGAGAGGTTGCTGAGGCTTACAAACCGAAGCATGTACCTGGTTCAAAAGACACTTAGGCTTCTTCCGCTAAGCCCATCGGCCCATCCTTGGTTTTTTTTATTCTATGGAAAGAGGATCTAGTGATGGAGCTGACAGCACAATCCTATACCCACGGACTGTTTACCCTAATCACCTCTGTCTTAGTCAAAATTGCCACCAGAAATTGTTTGTGTGAAACGTAAAGCACATACTCATACACCTGTCAGTGCCTCCAGATATTCAAAATATTCATATTTATTTATTTAATATTTTTAATATCAAATAATAGAATTGTAGAGTTGGAAGGTACCCCTGAGCATAATCTAGTCCACCCCCCTGCAATGCAAGAATCTCTACTAGGTCATACATAACAGGTATGCTAACCTCTGCTTAGAAACCTCCAAGTCAGATTGGTTGTTTGCCAGACCATCCTATGTCAGGGGACCAGAAGTTAGGAGAGGAACCTCCACATACAACAGTTTAGCACAACTGTAATAAGGCTAAACATGGTTCTTTTGCAGTTTTTCTTCTACTAGATCCTGAAAGATCTGCATTGTGCTTCCTTTATATTTTAGGACCAAGTTGCCTCATGCCCTTTTGTCAGATATAGTCTCTAAGTGTGTGGATTTAGCAATATGGTCTCTCGGCTGCTTTGCTTTACTCCAGCCTTCCCCAGCCTTGGGTCTCTGGAACCCAAAGCTGGCTGGGGATGATGGGGAAGTTAAACAGAATTCATATGGTAGAGTGGTCAACAGGTAACTTTGCAGAGGGGGAAAGGAGTAAAAAAACCGAGGGCTGCTTGATTTGCCTCTTTTAAAAGATTTATAGTTGCTCATGCAAAAATAAAGTTGAAAGAGACAGGTATCCTGTATCCTTTTGTATGGACTCACCAAAGCTTTTTGTATTGTAAAACGTGATGTCTGAACCCTGAGGGTCATGGCAGCGTGCCAGTAAAATTAGCTTCTATTTCTGTTTCTTTTGTCTGGTGACCTGACCTGAGAATGCTCTGTTGGCTGCAGTGAATATGGTGGGAAAATAAGTGACATCTAAACATAGCTGTAATTGCTAAATGTGTATTTCTTGCTTTGCATTGTGATCATTAAAGTGAGGGGGGAAACAGAACTGATAGCTACATCCAAAAACAGATCTCAGCATTTTGATGGATGGGTAGCGCGGGCATCCATCTGTAAATGCTGGTTGAAGAAGACAACAAGGGGTGGGCATGCAGTTCAGGACATCCATCTGTGTGGGGTCTTAAATATGAAACTTTTGACTTTAAACATTATTATATTACTGGAACCATTTTATTATTTTAGTCATTGTTGGTGGAGCTGTATTACCCTAGCGGCGTATTATGATGAATAGCCTGTTTGTTTTTCCAGATTTAGCCTTACTTGTCTTCATCATTTTGGGCATAATCTCATTAAAATTTTACAGTGATTGTTACGTATTCAATACATGTTTCTGTTTACAAATCCAAGTTATAAAATTATGATTATCTTTGTGATAGATGGTCTTGCTTGCTTCCTTGTGGCAGAATCATGTATCTATTGTTTAAAACTTTTATGCAGCATTTCCTTTAGTCTTGCTTGCTTCCTTCCTTGCAAATAAGTTTATCCATACACACACCTAATAACTAGCATATGTTGATCTCCGACCTAAGTGTTTTGGACTTGCAGTGCCCTTTCAGTTTAAAAAAACAGCTCAGTTCTTCCTCATTGTTGCCATTGAGTCCAGTGTGTATTCAAAATGACTTAACTGCTTGTCCTTTTATTCATGTTTGCATGGAAACAAAATATAATTGTGTTTGTTTCCTATGAGGAAATAGAACAAAATGCAGCACCAAAACGCTGCTAGATAACTCAGCGGCCAGCCTAGATCTTCAAACTGCTGCAGACCTGCTCAAAGAGCAGCAGCTGTGCCTGGATGAAAGTGGGTCTTAATGAAAAGATGGCATTCTTAGCCATGGAGAACATTATGTCTGTACTGCTACTGTTCATCACAGAACAAAGATCTGACATCAATTTATATAGGCTGAGCAACTTCAATGTTTAATACTGTGCCTGTCTTGATTTTTGACCCTCCTTAAACTCTTGCATTCACATTAAACCTTTATGTTTAAGTTTTTTTAAAAACACACTGCTGCTTGTTTTTCAATATTTTCTGCTGATGCTGTTCCTTAGATAACTAGCTTGTTTGTCCTTCCATCCTTAATCAATTAGTACTTGTCAAGCCAAATTCTAACAATTAACTAGTTTATAGTGAAGCGTCCCATGAGATATATTGTTTTTGTTTTTTTTTAAAAAAAATATGGCAGGTGAACCATATTGCTAATTGGTACTAATGAATGTATATCATTTTATCATTTCCAAATTAGAAAATGACAGATGGAGAGATCTCAGTAGGAAATGTCCCCTTCAGATCGATCAGCCAAGCACCAGCATTTGGGACTGCCTGCCTGACAAAAGCGAAGAAAACGCCATATGGCAGAGAGAGGCAGCTAGCACATGCGCAGTGACCAACTTGATCAAAGACCTCAGCCTCAGTGACCGCAATGGCAATCCCTCAGCACCTCCCAGCAAACGCCAGTGTAGGTCGCTCTCTTTTTCTGATGAGATGTCTAGCTGTAGGGCTTCATGGAGGCCTATAGGATCAAAGGTCTGGACTCCTGTAGAAAAGAGACGGTGTTACAGTGGCGGAAGTGTCCAGCGCTATTCCAATGGATTCACCACCATGCAGAGAAGTTCAAGCTTTAGCCTTCCTTCCAGGTCAAACACTCTTTCCTCATCCTACGACCAGTCTGCATTTAGCAACAGATTAGGATGTCAGCCATGCCAAGGAATGAGAAGGTCAGCCACTTATGGGCAGGCGAGTGATATCTGGGGCAGCGACCACGGTTCTGTAGAAGGTGGCAGGATTGACATCCAGCGGTCTCTCTCCTGCTCCCATGATCAGATTTCTTTTTCGGAATATTGCCTGCCCTCAGCCAGCAGCACACCTGCCTCAACCCCAGAGCTGACAAGGCGCTCCAATGGGCTTTCCCGAAGCCGGTCCCAGCCATGTGTCCTTAACGACAAGAAAGTTGGAATTAAACGACGGCGGCCTGAAGAAGTAAAGGAACAAAGACCTTCACTGGATCTTGCCAAGATGACCCAGGTAAGAGTTAATTATATTGTATGGTTAGGCCAAACATTTACAAAACACATAAAGTATGTATTTACATTATAGACAGTGTGCAACACACTGATGTGGTAATACTGTGTAATTAACAAAAGCGGAAAGCTGGTTGAATTCCACCCCCCTCCCAAAAAACCTGGTTCAATTGTGTGTTTTGTTTTGCTTGCTTGGAGTAGAGGTAATTGTTTCCTTTTATTAGTAGGAGACTGATTGTTTTTCTAATGGATTTGATATTTAGCATCATAACCACTAGCCTTCCAGGCCCTAATATGAAAGGTTTTTCTTCTGAAAATTTATTTATATTCATAATCTGTAACTCACTGGTCTTCAACTGGTGGATCATGGCCTGAGCCAAGGGGGGCGGGTTGGGTCACAACAGGATCATGACCACCATGCACTTATATGGCAAAGGATTAAGAAATAGATCCCCAAATACAAGTTTGGGTTAAAAGTGAGCTCTGGGTCTGAAAAAGTTGACGGCTGTTGCATAACTTAGTCGCTTTAGATAGCTTAGCCTTATTTGAATGAAATGGTGTTTCCTATAGATAGGCAGCATAAGTTTCAGCAAGCAATGGTTTGGTTTTTAATGAAAACAAACTTATTATCAGAAATTGCAGAAGAGGTGCTTTCAAGCACATGCTGTGGGAAGCCAAGGAAAACCTCAAGGGTACTTAGTGTTTGTTTTATTTCTGGATGAATTCTCAAAACTGGGGACTTTGCTCTCTATGAGTATTGACTTCAAGCAGTCTTGTCTTCTGTAATTTTCCACTTCTTTATTACGTTTCATTTTCAGTTGCGAAACAGAGGTCAAAAATTTCCCCTTTAGTCAGGAATCCAAAGTGTGAGCAGACAAGAGATCTGAAGTGCACATCAGGGAGGATGTTGCTTCCATAAATTCTTAACTTTCGGAATCCATTTGTGAGATAAGTGGCCTTTAAAATTGTGTGGTACATAACTAAGCTACAAGAACCCTTCGAAGCACAGGACTCCAAACCAGCTTCATCTTATTACTTAATAATCAAGGGTTTTCTTTTAATGATTCAGCATTCCTTTTGTCTGTAATTTATAGGCATACACTTGTTGATAAAATAAAGATACCCTTGTGTAGAACAGAGATAAACTAGGGTTTATAGATCTGATACCTTCCCCCACCCTCCAGCAGCAGTGCATTAACTCTGCTTTATTGGCATAATTCCTCTTTTACTTTATTGATTTCTGCAAGCCAAAAAAAAGCTCCCCCCATCGTTCACTTTTCACTATCTGTACTACTCTCAACATTGTTGTATGCACTTAAAACAGCTGTTGCACTGCCATGAAAATATGATCCTTTCCCATTGTTTGTATTGCTTTGGATTACAGTGACACTTCCTTAAAAAATGGTGCCAGATCATCCATTTTAATTGTATGCTGCCTTTCCATAGTCAATATGGCTCAAGATGAAATGTGCTGCATGTGCTATTTTTGTTAGCTATTTTTGTTAACAGTGACTCTCCCAGGCAGGTACAGCTGATTAGAAAGCTGCAGTTGTCCTCTATTTCCCCTTATCCAACACAATGACTTTTGACAGTGGAAACTCATTTATTTTCGTTTTATAAGACCGTGATGCTTTGCAATACTTTTATGACTCTATGGGTGATTGAATAAGTTCGTTTTCTTTTGTGTTTATGGGAATGCTTTTTCCTTCTCTAGAGAAGTTTGAAAGATAAAAAGGGTAAGAAAATAACATGCCTGGGTGATTTCAGGGGGGAAACGTACTACATTATACTGCTTGCAAGTCCCCCTTTGAAAATGTGTGTCAGTGAAATTTAATATGCTAAGCTGCTTTATTAGCTAATAAACTGGATAGGTAGTAAAAACAACCTTATTATTTTTTACGAGTCCCAAGTTGAAATCACACAGCTAGCATCACTGAAGGCCTTTTCATTTTCTTGTACTTGTGGAAACAGTTTAAATTATATAGTCATTCATGTTTGTACCCAGGTATATATAGGTTGTTTCATTTGCTCCAGGCTGGTATCCAAGGAAGTGGTAGAGGCTGGAAGCAGGAGGTGTAAAAGGGACCTCTGAATGAAACAAACCTATGTGGTTGGCTTAGTTTTTCATCTGCAGGGCTCCAGGTACATCAGGCATACATTAAAGCAGTACATTGGAGGCTTATAATTGCTGTAGCATTGTAAGCAGCTCTGGAATAGAGTTAAGTGTCCATGATTCTGCAACCATGTGTCCTCTTAAAATTGTGATAGGAAAATTTGTGGCAGAAAGTTATGTGTTTACCAGGAAAAGTGATGGCAAGAGAGCAGTAAAATGGAACTAGTGTCACCTTTACCACCATGTAGATTACCATGGTTATGAGTTGGATCCTGACAAAGGGTACTTTTGGATGGGTGTTTATTGTGGGGTCAATGCTGCTCATGGACTGCTCAGTACCACACAAAACCCAAAGGGTAAATTTAGTATGGATTTGCCCTTTCAACATAAAATCCATTTTTAAAAAAAGTTTCATGCCAGTGACCTGTTTATGATAGCTGATTGACCCATCTGCAGTATTCACTCCCAGTATGGAAGCACCTAAAGTTAGTTGAACTTGGGCCTCAGTAGAATATGACTCAAGTTCCCTCGCTGAGTGGAGGCTGGTCCATTCATGAGGCACTGTCCCATCAACCTTCATTAAATTTTACTGTTTTGCTTTGCCAACCTTCATATGCACACTATAATTCAGCAGCTGTGCGCCAGTTCACACATCATACTTTTAATGAGGGCCAAGATGCTGGAATCTTGGAACCCAAGTTTGGGGCAAGTGGCAGAACCTCAGCAGAGATTAACATCACAAAACATGCTGCAAACAAAAGTGTGGAAAAACCTTTAAAATGTGCCCTTCCAGTGAGTCCCCAAAATGTTCACTTTTGAAAGCTCTTTCCAAGCTATCCCACTTCCCTGGCATAGAGATAGACCACATGTTTGGTAAGGCATAAAATGGTTTACTTACAAAACTCTTCAAAGTTCAGATTCATGTGCTTTTCCATACAGCAGTCAGAAAAGATGCACAGGAAGTCAAAACGTTGCTTAGTTACAAAAGGTAAAAGTTTTGGAGTAGAAAAAACGTTAGTTTCAGACTCAATTCTTAGCTGAAACAAACAAGTCTGGTTAAAGCCATGTGGCTGGAGTGACCAGCTCAGAGCTCCTTGAACATACTGAAGAACATACTTGGAGAAAGAGAGAGAGATAGATTATAAAGGCTTTCTGATCTATTTCTTCTCAAGGTGGGAAGTGATAACATAGGCTAAGCCTGGCAGGACTGCTTACTCTATGGTTTAACATTTTCATGCACCAGTTAGATACAAACATATGAGGCTGGGACCCTACACAAAGTAGGTAAGATGTAGGAGGGGTATATGAGCAGCCTCTTGATACGTTCTGTGTTTACTGAAATCCTGTCTGTAGGGGACTGTGAACTTGAATGGAGCAGTGTGTTTGTTTGTGTGTGTTCCTTTTCCTAGAGGCCAATTGTTCTTATCAAAATTGTAAGAGAAAATATTTGAAGGGCCTCCTATCTTCTGCCATGCAGGCAGAAAGCAGCTTGGAAGGGAAGAGATTTTGATTTGAAAAACAACCTGTAGGGAAAGAGTTAAGTATTCCCCGCACCATTCCAATCAAACCCACAGGCTCCTACAGCTGCATTGAAGCAAAAAACAAAAATGTCAGTAGACATCCCATGCATCTCCCACCTCTTTGGGCCTGAGTAACCCCATGTAAGCTAACTTCCTCTGCCTGGGATGTTGAAGAAAAGAGAAACACACTCCTGTTTGGAAGATAATTTGTGCAATTACTTTTAAGTTGCAGTCTTTGTTGTAATTATAGTATTGTGCTTTAAGCTAAAAGCCCTTGCTTTCTGCATCTAGATATTCCCCAAATTACTTCTTCCCCTATTAATTTTAGTGCTTTGCTGATCTGAATCCAAAATACTTAGCTATTCCCACATTTTTCCTGGCAATTGTCAGGCAGGAAGAACAGAGCTCAGCCCCATGCTAACAATTGGGTACATATAACAGCCATATTATAAGTACTGTTTTCACACTCTAAACATACTTGGCGTTTGAATGTGCCCCCAAGCAGTGATGGTGCACTATATCTGACAGTGACGAAGAACAGCACAATATGTTCCTCTGTACAGCAAGGTTCCTGCTGTGCAAGACAATACAAAATCTTTTCTACTGCATCTTTGTAAGTGAACAGCCCCTCTTGTGTGGGTCCTTGTGAGATCTAACCATCTGCATGGAGGAACTAAATAAATTAGTCCCAAATGGTGGATCAGAGTCCTAAGAAGCCCAACATGATTGAATACTACAAGGAGGCTTTCAGGCAAAACAGATTTCTGAGTCATTGTAATTATGATCAGGCTTTTTCATTAGATGAAGCTGCTTTTAATGAAATGCGAAGAATCAGTCACCTTCTTCTAATTTGTACTAAAAGCTATTTTGATCATGGTTTTTCCATGCACTGCCTTCCCTTAAATCCACCTTAGGCAGGACCAGGGGACATTTTTCATCCAAGGATGGGCAAAAACCAATTAGGATTTAAAAGACAAAACAAAAAAAAAAAACCCTCAACCAAACAACAACAAACCCAAAAACTGTGTTATGGTTGAGATGTGAATAGTTTGGAGAGAAGGGACTAGGAAACAGTTTTCCTTTTCACATACAGTGGTACCTCGGGTTACATACGCTTCAGGTTACAGGCTCCGCTAACCCAGAAATAGTACCTCAGGTTAAGAACTTTGCTTCAGGATGAGAACAGAAATTGTGCTCCAGTGGTGCGGCGGCAGCGGGAGGCCTCATTAGCTAAAGTGGTGCTTCAGGTTAAGAACAGTTTCAGGTTAAGAATGGACCTCCGGAACGAATTAAGTATTTAACCCGAGGTACAACTGTACACGCTAAAGGTAAATGACTTCTGATTAATGTGTCTCACAGCAACATTATTCTTTCCGTACTGTACAGTCATCGCCACAGAAAGTAGCAATTGCTGTAAGCTCAGCTCAAATTGGAGAGCCAATGTGGTTTCCTGACAAATCAGGAAGTCCCCAGTTAAAATCTCACTTGACAGCCTTTTGGACAAGCCACAGTGTCTCATCCAAGGCAACCACCCCCCATCTGCAACATAGAGATGATAATAACGCTTACCATACAGGGGTGGTGCAAGGAGAACAAAAAAAAAAAAAAAGGTAATGTGTGTGATTTTCTTTGAAATTCAGTGCTATGCAATTGCTAAGCTTTATTAAATGTAGGGAATCATAATTGTCGGGTTAGTGCATCCTCATGGTTGACTTAAGCACTCAACTTTGGGAAGCTTCTCAAAAGAGTTAGCCCTCCTGTACTATTATATGCTTCAGGCACCTTGGTCTCTCCAATAATGAAGGCTGTTTGGACTACCGTTTTGAGCCTATAAGGTCTGTTCTTATGTTTAGTTCAATGTGACTGTATTTGTAGCATGCATCCCAAACATGATCCATCCTGCCCTTTAATAGAGCAGTTCATCCCATAGCATAGTAATTTTTATTTTTCATGTTGTGCCCCGACAGTAACAAGCATGGCTGCTGCTGTGCAGAGCTGCATTATCACACAAGGACTTTAGAAACAAGTTTACATAATGAAAGATCACACACCATTGAACTGGGATTTTTACAAGCATTCTGGTAGCAGCACAATGAAGCCTTTTACAATTACTGGTGAAAAGTAGAATTTTGCCTAAGGCCGCGGACTAATTTAGGAGACTGGAGCTCTTGTTCTCAAGTCTTCCTTAGATTTTTCTCAATGGCCAGAGGCAAATTGCTCAGCGCCCCCCCCTCAAAGGATTGCTGTGAGCCTGAGCCTATTGTTGTTTGTAAGGATCAGCAAGGTTACTAGAAAGTGCACTCTGTATAAAATAAAGCAAACAAATTATTACAGGAAATTCTTGATGGTTTTTTTTTTTTTTTAAAGGATCCCAGCATTTAAAGCGGGAGACACACAAGGAGTGACCATACTGTATGATAATGTGCATTCAGTGTTGGATGCAGGTGCCTTTTGGGGGATGCTGTGTGCATGACGTCGTCTCTGTACCACAGTCTAAAGTAGAATGGATGTAATCTGTGCCGAAAATGCACTTCTCAAGTGCTTCTTGTGTACTTGTGTTTACAGAGTGCTTTCTCAGGTCACCTCCTTTTGGGGCAGACCTACTCATGTTGCAGGGCTGTGCCTCTCCCTTCACTATGTTTAACTTGTCTATGAATGAATTTGGTAAAATAGGAAGCAGTAAAGTAATTTAGCTGTCTGTCTGTCCGTCTCTTTCTCTCTCTATATATCCTCTGTATATCAATACAACAGTTTCCACTCTCTTTGAAAAGATTGTGAAAAACCTTTCCCCCGCTTTTTTAAAAAAGAAAGGTCTGTTGAAACTCTAATTGAGGGGAGAGGAATAGAGAACACACACTAGTTCTCACACTAGTTTGAAAACATGACCACCTGTGTGTACAGAAGACACTGATGATATTTATTTCACAAGATTTATATACCACTTTATTGTAAAAGAACCTCAAAGTTGTTTAGAAAAAGAATAAAACAATAAAGTTATTAGTCAAAAGTTTAAAAACAACTATTAAAAACATTAAAAATAATATTTTAAAAACTGTTGTTGGCCTCCGTCTGTCTTGAGAGACAGTGGAATGTACTTCTAGGAACGAAGTCAAACCACTAGAGAATCACAGCGCCTGCTGTGGTTGCAGAGGCTGGTGACTTGTAATTGTGCCTCCCATGTTGTTCGTGCTGCATTAGCAGCACCAAAGCGAAATCTCTGGGGCACAAGCTGGTCCTGCAGTAGTGTCCACATGGATACTGAAACGGAGTGAACCTCTAAATGCAGTTACACATGTGCAAGATTTCCCTGCATATTGAGTAACTTGGCTAACCCTACTGAAATAGGTTTGGGTTCTAGCCATCGATGATGAGGGAGCTGAGATTTTTCTTTATTTCTTGTTTGTCGCTTAACACTGATATGTTTTGAAGTGAGTAGGAAGATCAGAAGGTGTAATAGTTACTGAGCAGAGGTATCTTTCTGTCCTCTTCTGTGCCTTTTAATCTGCCATGCTGCTGGCTGCCAGCGCTGTTATCTCTACCCTGATCTGTTTTTTCATAATGTCTTGGCCATTGCAAGCTCTGCAGGTTTGATCTCATGTTAACACAATAATGGATTTATCTTTGAAAATGCCAACAAGGTAATTCTGCTGATACTATCTGCAGTTTTGAGCAGTTTAATTGCAGATAATTTTTAATGGCTGACTCATAAGAGAGAAAATGAAGTTTGGTGGTAGAGGCAGATGAAAAGCTGTTCTCCGACATAAAATTCCCACCATCAGCACCAGCATCTATCTTACTTCCTTGTTCCCCCCCTAAAATTAATCACTTCCATTAATTTTTCTGAATTGTAGACACACAATGATTTCTCACACATCTTTACTCAGAAGTAAGTGTGCTTAGGTTTGCAGCCTTCATGCTGAGATGACTAACAGGCACATACCCACAAGTGATATATAGGATTCATCCTCCAACTGAATTTACGGCCTGGGATTCTCGAAACACAGGACTGAGTCCTAGCTTTGACAGCAAGTTATTTCGGGAATGTTTTCAAGACGCCACCTTTACCCCCATGATAAATTGGTAAAAAAAGCACATTGTTCCAATGATGTAGTCCTTGTATTCAGATTACCTAGTCTAGGTCAGTGTTGTACTACAAATTCAAAATGGGTTTGACTTCCTCCTTTCCCTTCCTTAGAAGTCTTGAAAGATACATGAGGGTGTTGTAAAACCTTTCCAGCATCTTTAAATAAAAGCCCACAAGTCCAAGGGTTTCATGAATGCACTGATACTAGTAGCATGCTACAGCCCTTTCCCTGTTGTTCTGTAAATCCATGCGTACATAGCACATGAATACCTAGGATGGAAATATTTTGCTGATTGTGAGAAGACTTCAAAAGTTAGGGCAAAAGAGTCATAATTACGGTAAAATAGCATTGGAACTCTTTCTCATGTGTTGCTCTTGCAACGTGTGTTGCTGCTGCAGTCACTACTTAACTAACTCCATGTTGCATCATTAATGCCTTAATGTCTAATCGAGTAAATCCTTTCCAATTCAGCATTACCAGGCTAGATAGAGTGCTGATGGGAAATGCCTATGATGTAATCTGAGCTACCCATGTGATCAGAATATTTATACTTTACCACCACAAATCTGCTTCCCTGGGGCTGGCAATGACTCCTATATTAAATGGGTAATCATGTCACAAAATGGACCTATAAAACCAGGTCTAATTTGAAGTTTTCAGTGTACTTGGTAGAAACCTGAACCAGGACTTCAGAAGAACAAAATTTTTAAAAGAAAGACAGATTTAGCAAGAATAAATGTATTGATCTTTAAATCGCCTTTGTTGTTTTTATTAATTAACACGACTAATTAACCACCCCTTTGATTGTGATTCATAGCAAGTTTTAGAGTGACTCTTCAACGGAATATAGTGAGCTTCTGTTGGAACTGGTTTATGTGTTACTTTTCCAAAATCAAATCTGGGATCTGCTCCCAGCTAGGAATTTGGGGCTACATCTATAATGTGCCTCCCCAGTGGCAGGTCTTGGCAGAGGTTTGTGTGGGGTATGTGTGCAGTTTCAAGGAAGGTATACTAATTGTGCAGGACCTTTGAGTCATAGTTATTGTTTTGGCTGTTCTGTCTGCTGATTTTGCTAGACCCTTTCATTTCATTTTTTCAATTTTTTTACATTAGCAGCAATCAGCATAGAACCTGACACAACTCTCATGTGGTTTGTGGTATCACACACAGTGGCGGAGCTTCATGCTCTGGCACTGGAGGGGGGGGATAGCAGGCGGGGGTGGGGCTGGTGCGTGTCCTGGGAGCGTGGCACGCCGCCTGTGGGGGTGTGGTGCCCAGCACGGGTGAAGGGGGCAGCCGCGATGGCACCCCACCGGGATCACACTGCCAGGGGTGGTGTGCTCCCCCCGCACTCCTCTTCCTCCGCCAGTGGTCACACATGCTGAATTAGCACACCTAAGACCAGTAGAACAAGGAGGGGAACATAGTATATGTTAAACATGTATGCTTATATGTTGTGTGGCACAAAACAGCTTCTGGAGAAGTTTTAAAGATATTTGTTTATTTAAAGACATTTGTTATACCATTTATTTTACAACTATCCAAAGCAGTTTACAACTTTAAAAAAACCCACTACAACCAATAAAAGAATTAAAGCTATACAGCATTTATTTTTTAAAAAACTAAAGTAATGGATGGTGCTCGACTAATTGTTACTCAGAGTAGACCCATTGAAATTAATTAACATGGCTAGGTTAGGTACATTCATTTCAATAGGTCTACTTTGAGTAAAATGTAATTGAATACCACCCAGTATCCAAAGTCCTTATATCATGTGCCAGACCAATATTGGGGAAGAGCTGAGTGCAGAAATAAGTCTTCAGCGTAGGCTGAAAACCGAATATGGCTGGTGCATGCCTAATTTCTGAGGGGAGGCTGCTCCACAAGGCAGATGCCACCACTGTGGAAGCTCTCTTCCATTCACCAGTCTAGCTCTATTGTGCATACATATATCAACCGTTCTTCCTCCTCTCTTCAGAAGACTGATATGGCTTGTGGATGCATAGTAGAGTTTCATGCATATGTGTTCGAGATTTGCTTGGGCGTTAAAACCTGGGGCCTGTACATTTCACTCCAGAAACAACAAGGTAGACGCCAACTCTCCTGAAAGCCTCTGTTGAGAAAAGGCCTTCGTACCCCAAGGCTCGTCCCTGTGTAGATAACTAATTCAGACATATCCATTTTGACATGGATGTGTGCAAGGGCTCCCTTTGAAAAGCTGTCCCGTGAGCGCCAAACATTATATAACGGGCCTTTAATGCCATCACTGCTTTTGAAAGGAATTTTGTCAGGAGCTGCTTGAGGGTGAATGGTGCAAGTATCTGCAGCGCCTGTAGGGACGTCCTCCCCTGCTTGCCCCCTACAGAGAGAGAAAAAGGGAGGCTGCCATGCCCTTTGAAAACTGAAAAGCTTTCGGTTTAAAAATATGTGTGTGAGAAACCCTGTACCCAGGCAAGTTTAGGTATTCAGAGCCTCCAGCATATATAACACTTCACTTTGGCATTTGAGGAACTGTATGTGGGGTTTTTGTGTTTGTTTCTTTTTGTTTGGGCAGCAGCAGTGGTACAGCTGCTCATGGAGCTTCCTCCCCCTCCTTCTTCCCCCTGTTTTTTAGCACCATTTTAATCCCTGACATCAATCAAGCCACAACACTTAAAGGGGGCACAAAAGCTCAATTTGTTCTAGTATTGCCCTTGACATGCTTTTCTCTCATTGGGGAGGCGGGAGGACAGAATTGTAATGTAATATAATAGAATTGCATTAACTTCTTCTAGCGATAGAGGGAAGGAGGAAGGTGAACAGTGGTGCTGAGCTTTTGAAGAGAGCTGCTCAGTATGTAAAAGCAACTTAATTTGGCGGTCTCCACCATGTTAGCTGCTCGCTCAGATGAATCATTAAAAATTTCGGGCCCTGCATCAGATCTCTATAATATGCTCTGGGTGCCCAGACTCCATTGTCACTGCTGGCCCTAGGGATGTCCAAAGCTCTCTTAACAAACAGGTTAATATCAGATAAAGGGTAGGGAGTAATCAGGTTGTTACGCTGAGTTGTCAGATCGGAGAGCAAGGCAATGCTCTCCATGTATCAGGCAATGCAGAGGTAGGTACTAAGGGTTAGGCTATAAGACAAAAGCATGAAAGGAGAGAAGCAATACAGTGGTACCTCAGGTTACATACGCTTCAGGTTACATACACTTCAGGTTACAGACCCCGCTAACCCAGAAATATTACCTCGGGTTAAGAACTTTGCTTCAGGATGAGAACAGAGATCGTGCTCCAGCGGCGCGGCAGCAGCGGGAGGCTCCATTAGCTAAAGTGGTGCTTCAGGTTAAGAACAGTTTCAGGTTAAGAACGGACCTCCGGAACAAATTAAGTTATTAACCTGAGGTACCACTGTGCATTTCAAGCATAAAGCAACAAATGCAGTATGTGTGTGTGTACAGCTTGTGTTTCCCTGTAGAATTTATTTATAACTGTGTCAAGCCAACTCAACTGACTCCGGAATCCAGTTTGGCTTGGGCCTTGACTGAATCCAGTGCACAGACCTAATGACTAGTACCATGCAATCAGTGCTGGAGTCGGATTATGAGGGACCTCTAAATTAAAAGAAAGAAAGAAAGAAAGAAAGAAAGAAAGAAAGAAAGAAAGAAAGAAAGAAAATAATGGAAGTAAATTGCATATCATGTGCAGAGCACATACAGTGCGGGTTGCAGTCTATCTTCTGTTTAGTAAGTGCTAAACTGTGTATGTAATACCTCTTTTGTTGCTGTACTGGGAGCCAGTGTGATGTAGTGGTTTAGAGCGATAGACTCATAATCTGGTGAACCGGGTTCGCATCTCCGCTCCTCCACATGCAGCTGCAGGGTGACCTTGGGCCAGTCATACTTCTTTGAAGTCTCTCAGCCTCACTCACCTCACAGAGTGTTTGTTGTGGGGGAGGAAGGGAAAGGAGAATGTTAGCCGTTTTGAGACTCCTTAGGATAGTGATAAAGCGGGATATCAAATCCAAACTCCTCCTCCTCCTCCTCCTCTTCTTCTACATACATGCATGCATACATACATACATATTTTTTCATATATTCTAAGTAAGATGTCATAAGGTATTTAAAGGTATTTTATATGCAGATAGGCTTATTGCAAGATTTATGTTTGTGCTCAATTGTTAATTTTTAAATGCATCCTCCCCTGGTATATATACAAATATAAATGCTTGTTATTTCTATTTTCATTGGTTTGGCCTCTTAAACGTGGCTTAGTTTAGGCCCTTAGCATATCTCAATTTGGCCCTGCATACAGTTTAATGCTGGGCACAAGAGCCTCATCAATGGCACCACTGTTGATAATGTAATTAGGGTGGTGGTTCAGAGACATGGAACCTAGTTCTTTCAACCTCCACAATCTCAAATGTAGGACAATTATTATTATTATCAATATGGAACATAGTTGAATAAAAGGCTCCACAATCAAGAGTACGTCCTGAACAAAGAGGATTCGAAAGATCCAACAAAGTATGGGAACCAAAGGTAGCAAGGACTGAACATTCCTTGTGACAGGAACATAAGAAAAGATTGCCCTGTTTTCTACCCCGTTTTAATGCACAATATTTCAAATGCTTAACTATAATAGGAATGAATCTTGACCCCCTGTCTCTTTCATCCCATTCCCCTTATGAGAAATGACTCCGCTTCTTCCACGAGGGAAGAAAATTGTGTGTGTGGGTGCTGTGATTTTGAGTTGAAAATAAGTATCAAAGCTAAGAGCAAACATTTGAAAGAAATGTGAACTTAATTTGACCGGATTCAAAGTGGGTGTTAATTGCTCCACTTTGACCAAAAGTTAAACAATGCTGCCTTTTGAAGAGCGACACAGCAGCCCTAAGGCAATGTGATTTAAAAAACCAAAAAGTCCTAGGGAAGCATAGTTCCATTACAGCGTGAGCATATTTAAACTCGTTGCAAGAAACATGATAATTCAGTGGTTCCCACATCTTCAGCATGCAGGCAACTCTCCACAAGCCACGGGAGCCCAGTGCTGGGCTCCCGCGCCTTGCGGAGAGCTGCGCGAAGGCTGGGTGCACTGAGCTCGGCGCGCCCAGGCTTCAGCATGCAGGCAACTCTCCGCAGGCCACGGGAGCCCAGCGCCGGGCTCCCGCGCCTTGCGGAGAGCTGTGCGAAGCCTGGAGAGTGAGAGGGGTCGGTGCGCACCAACCCCTCTCACTCTCCAGGCTTCAGCGAAAGCCTGCATTCGCCCCATAGGATGCACACACATTTCCCCTTCATTTTTGGAGGGGAAAAGTGCGTCCTATAGGGCAAAAAATACGGTAATTATTTTTCTGCCTGTTGTAGCAATTGTAATACTGTATGATTTTCATTGTCTTTTTACGGACACCCTGTAGAACACCTGAATGAAGCTTGTGGACCATCAGTGGACCACAGTTTGGGAACCCTGTGACAAATGATAGAATTTTCTTTATTAGAAGTTTTGTTACTTACGGAACAAAGGGAAAGGTAGTAATGTAAGAATGTCTAATGTTGGTATAACAAATTGCCAGTAAGGAATACAAACTTTATAATATCACATGGCAGTGCATTTACTGGACTGGCATATAAATTTATGCCTGCTGATTCATCAGTCTGCCAGTCTCAGTCATGTATAGAATGATCAGTTATCAATTATGACTGCATTCATATATAACATTTAAGCCCACGTGTGTGCTTTCTCTAAACTGGGGGGGACGGGGACTTTTGGCCCTCCATATTCGTTGCTCTCTAATTCCCATCACTCGCCAGCCAGCAAAAGCCAGTAGTCAGGGATGAGTTGGAGTCCAGCAACATCTGGATGTTTAAACTGCAATGTGCATAAGCTGCATCCTGGCACATGTAGCTCAGATACTCCTGTTATGCTTCTCCTTTTGTCCATCTGGTAGCAACAAGCAGTATATCTGCTCAAGACTGGATCCAGAAATCCCATTCACAGTGAACAGAATGGCCTTAACTCTGTTCAGGACTGCCTAGCACCACCTATAGATATATACCATTATTCCCTGATCCAGAGCATTAAAGATTCAAGCCTCTCCATTCACTTTAATAATGGAGACAGGTAGGGGGGTGTGTGTGTGTGTGATTTGTTATTGTATCGCATAGAGGCATCTCCTTCATTAGGGCGATGAAATCTTGAAGAAGGAAGAGGAAAGTTCAGTATACATCTCAGAGACTTGGAGTCTCTTGCTTAAGGCATCACTTAAATTGTGTATACTTTGGTGTGAAATATTCCAGTGTTCTGAATTGTTGTTCAGCAGTATTGTTGAGTTACAAAATCAGCTCTGATTGAACCAGAAAGCTTGTATATATGTATTTAAAAGATTCATATAGTCTTCAGCAAAGACTATGGGAAAATATACAAAAAGAAAAGAAAGTTAAAACATAATTCTAAACAAGTTTTTTTAAGCCTGGGAAAATAAAAAATGTATTTGTGTGGTTCTGGGAAAAGTCCAGCAATATTTGAGCCAGAAATTACATCCCTAAGGATGTAATTCCATGGTGCCACCACTGAGAAGGCACTCTGTCTGGTCACCACCCACCTTACCTCAAATATTAAACATCCTGCTAAACAACAAATCACATTTGTTGGTTGATTTTTAACCAACCCCACCCTTCCAAGAAAGAACAGAGGATGGCACTTAAAATGGCTATACAGTTTTTTATCTGCAAAGCATCCTATTGCCGATATGGTGTCTGGCCCAAGGTCACTACAGCAGAGAGGCAATTTGAGCTTTAGTCCAAAAGGGATCTTCTAGGCTTGCCATTAAAAACAAACAAACAAACAAACAAACAAACAAACAAACAAACAAAAACTATGTAAAACTAATGCCTGATATTATCTACCTTCCAAAATCCTAGTTCCATAAAAAAAATATCATTAGCAGGCAGTGCCCAAAGGTGGAAATAAAGTACAGTGGTACCTCTGGTTACATACTTAATTCGTTCCGGAGGTCCATTCTTAACCTGAAACTGTTCTTAACCAGAAGCACCACTTTAGCTAATGGGGCCTCCCGCCACCACCACACGATTTCTGTTCTCATCCTGAAGCACAGTTCTTAACCCAAAGTACTATTTCTGGGTTAGGGGAGTCTGTAACCTGAAGCGTATGTAACCCAAGGTACTACTGTATCTTTTTGTTGTTGCCTCTGTACGCTGCCATACCTGTTCACAGTTCTGTTTCACACATCCAGAATTTTGTTTCTTTTTAATAATAAATTTTATTCGTTTTCCAAACATTTTTATACAATTAACTCATATTTTATCACTCATTCATCAATTTTTGACTTCCTCCAGTTTCTCTGCCAATCTTTCGTTACAATTTCTATTGTTAACGCAATTCTAAAATTATTATTGCCTTTAGACACTCCTCTTCCCTCTTACTTTCTTTTTTACAATATTTCTTAATTTTTCACAGAGTCTCTTCAAAACCAACAAGCGTTATCTGTACATCACTTATATTTTTCAGATATTCTGTAAATCTCCCCCAGTCCTCGATAAACTTTTGGTCTTTCTGGTATCGAATCTTCCCAGTTAGTTTATCCAATTCTGCGTATTCAGTCAATTTCATTCTCCATTCTTCCACTGTGGGAGTTTCTTCCTGCTTCCATCTTTGCGCCAGAAGTATTCTTGCTGCTGTTACTGCGTATTCACACATCCAGAATTTTGATTACTTCATTAGTGGTTCAAGTTGGTAACCCAAACTTACATACATTCCATGACATTGTGGTTGCTTGGGGAATGGAAAGAAACTTTCACAAGTAGTGCCATGTCAATTGTTGCATAACTGCATGCATCGCCATGTGTGTACACAGCTCCAAGGGTAGTTATGAGAGAGGCACAAAAAGTCCCAGAAGATATAAAGAAGCTTTGTAATGTGTTGCTTTGCTTGTCCATGCCTGCTTTAGCACCAGGATGCAACTGGGGCAAGTCCCCCAGTGCAAACAATGTGTGTATTTCCTCATCTTAGTTGCTTAATGCGTACAAAGTGGCTTTCCCACAGCCTGAGGATTTAAGCCAGGGAGTGAAACGTCATGTTTAACTATAAGACAGCTTTGAATAGAAATTGATATTAGTCATTTCTGACTTAGTCAAACTATAGTATATCCACTGCATTTTGTAAACAGCACATGGGCCACGACCTTCTCTTCCTGTGAGTTGCACCCAACTAAGTCCTACTCAAAGTAGATCCATTGAAATTGATAAACCTAAGTTAGTAATGTCCATTAACTTCAGTGGGTCTACTCTGAGTAAGACTAGCACTGGATACAACCAACTGGCCCCTATCCAGAGATCAAGGTTGTGGGCACCTTTTTGTCAGCAGATGATCAGTGCACACAGGGGGTGTCACTTATTGTATATTGGTAAGTCACAGGTGTATTAAGGTACTGAAAAGTGGTTATTCCTTCATTCAGTGAATCACAGCATTTCTATACTGCCAATAAATAAACAGCTTTGTGGACAGTTCACAAAATAAAAGTTAAAGCCATGAAGTATGGATATTAGTCAAGTTAAAACAGCATCACGGCAAAAACAGCAATGCAGAAAACAAAGGGTAAAAACCTTTTATTTGTCCTCCTGGTTGCATGGGAGGTGGAGAAGGAATGGTGAGCATGCTACTATAGTGCTGCGTGCTAATATAGTCATTGATAGGAACAACGGGCATTAAATTGCTTGGAAGCCACTCAATGACGTTTTTATTTCCCTTTAGTATTAACACCAGAGGTACTACCCCTCCCGTAACACCCCATGCACCCCTTAATATGTTACAAAATTAGCAAGTACGCTGCTTAAGGTGCTTCACACAGGGTAGTCAAACTGGTGTCTTCCAGATAAGTTTTAAGACTACAACTCCCATCATCCCTGACCATTTGCCATGCTGCCCGGGGCTGATGCAACATCTGGGAGACACCACATTGGCTACTCCTCTAAGAGGGATTCTGACTTCTCAGCTGTCTTTATTTTTGTTGTACGAATCTGGGGCCAGAATCTGAAAGGAAATGTTAATCTTAAAATTTTGTGGCGGCAGAAGAGAATTAATTTTCTTTTTCCAGTGTATTCTAGCAGCAGCCCAACGCATCACATCCTGAAGGATCTGTGCATTGTCTCTTGACGACATTCTTATTCATTCAGCCATTGTATCATTCCCACAAACTATGGACCCCCTAGTACGCAAGATCAACCTTCAAAACCTCCTTAAAAGATGAATTTGAAATGAGTTTCATGGAGAAAACAATGATAGAAGACAAACCAGAGAAAGGATATTGAAGCAGACAAGCAACCACACACAACCACACCAACCAACCATCCATGTTCTTAGCAACGACGAGATATCAGGGAGGGCTAAAAACAACCATGTGTCAACATAGAAAATATATTTGGTAACAGAATTTCAACAGCTGCAATGTGGATTATATAGCATTAACTGTTTGGCAGGAAACACTAGCTGTAATCTGAAATGGCATGAAGTTAATTGTCATCAGCAGAGGTACAGCTATAGTAGCTGATTTCAGATGGTATGGGTGTTCTTGCCAAGTTATTGGGGCACTTGCTTGCTTTTTTCCAAAGGCTGAGGGTTTGTGTCTTTCTGAACTCATGTTCTGGATGATCTCCAGACTACTCAGATACAAATGGATACCTGATCCACTGAGATGTGGCCAAGTCACAGGTGGTTGGCTAAGGTACTGACAGCACCGTCTTTTGTGTCAAATGGGCCATTGAAATGTATGTGTCTTTTCAGGGTCAGATGGATTTGAACATCAAACATATTTGGAGAGGTTGGGGTGTAGGGAGATGGGGAGTAGACTGCAGCCATTCTGGTCCTGCACAATGAGAGAGAATGGCTGAATGCAGACAGTCATTTACCACTGCTTACTTACTATAGTGTATATTTTGCTGCCTGGTAAGCCAGTTATTGTATTATGTATATTGTCATGTGGTGGAGGGTAGTTTTATCACACGACTGCACCTTATCAGAAATCGAAGGAAACAGGGGAAGGTTATGTCTGCTCACCCTTGATGTGAAGCTATAGATAATCGTCTTGTCAAAGGTCTGCATTATCACTTAGTAAATGGTCATATGTCTTTCCTAGTGATATGCAAACTGCATTCATTTTGTCTCAAAATCTATTCATTTACTGAAATCTTTAAGTATTATTTTATTTGTAGTTCATTATGCTTTTCACATTTTTTGCAATAAAATGGTTCAAAGCCTTCTTTCCCCTTCCCAACCTCACTCCACCCCCCTTTGCCCTTTTAAAATATTTCCTTGAGCATGTCTATTAAAAAATAAAACCTTCAAACTTTTCTAGGAAAGCTTTAAATAAAGCAAATTAATACTATTGGGTAGGTGACGTATGCCTCCAATCTCCCACACCCACTCTCTTAGTTGAAAATAATAAACATCACTTCTTGGCAGGGATAATGGGATTTGTATATTTTCTTCTGCCTTTGGAAGTGAATTGGTAGGCAGAGAAACAACAAATCCCATGCTCCTCATCAGAAAATGATGGTCTTATGCCTGTTCAAGAGCATTAAAGTCAAGTACGGAGAGAGCAGCAAATCCCCATATCTCTCTAGCAAGCCATCCCTACTGCTAATTACGGTATGCACCATGCCTTATCAAAGGCAATTTGTTTTCATTTAGAGAGTAGTAGGGAGAGCTTTCTGAGGGGTGGGGGCAAACCTCACTTCAAACCAGACTCAAATTCAGAGGGGTCTGAGCAGGACTCAACATTGGTTTAAGATTTATTTATTTTTTAACTGAGGAAGTTTGTATTACAAACTTCCCCAGTTCCAGACTTGACTAATTCTGTCAGTAGTATTTAATAGTGTAATCAGATCTGCCAGGTTGGATTTAGGGTCTTAAGGGGAAATTGCAGTGGTTCCACCCCACTCCTGACTTTGACAGCTTCTCTTTCCCTTTCGTATCTGGGCTTTTGTTTTTTCAGGTTTCAGCAAGGTCAGTCTGCCCCCAACCCCATATTCACAGCCATACCAGCTAATTTCCCTCTTCACCCTGTGCCTTTCAGAGATTTGTAGCCCTCAGATTGCAGCTTCTGACCACCCATATATATATCATATATTGGCCTTAGACCCATAAACCACCACAGTTGCCGGAATCACTTCCTGGTTTTCTTCATAGTTTCAGGCCTTCCATCCTTGCTCTGGCTGCAGTTGTCCTTTAGTAGCAGAAGCCAAGGATTCTGGCTCTTGCAGCTGCATCTGCATCATCATCAAAAGCTGCCTCAGTTAAGCGATGCCTTATGTGGTTACTATCATGAAGTCGTGATGCATTTTCTGCAGACACAAAGTGAAATATCATATATTAGACCAAATTTTGTGTGATGCTTCTTCAGGCATAGATGATATGTAACTAAAATAAAATAGAGTGGAGCAAGGATGTTGGTTTTTGCTGGAGAAGGATGCCTTTCTCCCTTGTGATAGAAATGCCTAAATGGAATACCTAAATCGCAGTTCAGCAAAGAAGTGGCAGATGAGAGGAGCAGCTTGCGTGCCTCTGGAAGGAAGTGCTGAGAGTCTATTCTAAGGCTTCAGCAGCCTGAATGGTCATTTGTAATTATATATGCTCAGGATGCAGTTCTATTTATTGCTCACATTTTGCCTTAGATTGATCTGATACAGAGTCAGCAAAGTTTTGTTTTGTTTGTTTTAAGTTCATGAAAACTCATTTACTTATTTCTATTTCCATTGAGCATTGGCTTATGCGTGTTTCACACAATTTAAAAAATGGATCTTTGTGAAGGACATCTGGAGGAGAATATTTTGATTTCGAAGGCTGTCCAAACTGCATCAGTTAATAGAGATCAGAATATTGGCAGCTGTGTTCGTTCTGCGGAGAAACCTAGACCAAATATAATGTATTTGCCTTTGGTTCCACTAGTCATTAGAATCATGCATGCTTTTCAAGTGTATCTCTGTCACCAGACATAGGTGTGTGGAACAAAAATACAACTCATGGTATCTTTAGGCTGCTGGGTTTGCAGGTCATACAACAACCAAAAAAGGCAGTAGATTTATTGAAATTAGTGGCAGTAGTAGGACTTATAATAATTTTTTATTTAGGATAAACACTGTATTGCAAGTGATACTTCTGCTGTGCAGAATTGTGCTATGCATTAGGCACATAAGATAGGGCAGAGGGAGAGTGACAGTATTCAGGAATTACCAAATAATATTTTAAAATGAGAATTACTTGGTAGTAAAGACAACAAACAGCCCTGTGCATGATTTGAATTCTGTTGGTGCATTTGCAGCGGAGGCGTCACTATGCAACTTTTGTAGTGAGGTGATTTGGCAATGCCAAAGAAGAGGACACCCAGCTTCGTTTCGTATGCTTTCCATAAGCAGAGTTCTTCCTTTATAATATTTATTTTAATCAATAGTTTTGATTTCACTCCCATGACCTTCTCCCTCCCTGCCATCTGGACATCTCAGGTGACACGAAATAGTTGCAAGGTCACTTTTTATGCCCTCCCAGGAGGTAATAGGCAGCCTCTGTCACTGCTGGTTTGCCTTACTGTATTCCTTACTACCATTCAAGACTCAAAAAACGATAGCATGTTATGCATGTCCTCTCATATCCACTGTCTCATCTAACCCTGCTTCAAATCCACCCAGTTCTCCACGCCTACCATTTCTACAATACATATTTAGTGATCCTAACTGTCCAGATCTTCAGAACTTTGTTGGAAGGCGATTCAAGAATACTGCTAAACAAATAAATCTTGCTTGGTTAGCCTGTCTTTGAAAGCTAGCGTTTGTCTATTCACATTTCCATGCCTCAATACGCCGCCCCCCCCCCCACGCTCAAAATAGGTGGCACAGGGAGAGGAAAACTACATACTGGGAGGAAAGAATGAATTCATCAGTGTAGTATGCAAGGGGATGTTATTTGCAGGCAAAATATAATTCCTTTTGCCTTTATGGTAACAAAACCTGGAAGCTAGTCTGAAGCACCATCCCTCTTTTAAAAGGGAAAAAAACACCCCTGTCCTGAAATGCTGCTAATCCTAGGACAGGATGCGAAAGCAAACATTAAGTATATTTGACTTATTCATATTTTTGACAATTATCCTCCAAGGATTATTTTGGACATTTCAGTTAAAAAAAGGGTTTCCATTATATCTAACTGAGGGTGGAAACAAGTTGCCGGAAAACAAGATCCAAAAAGATTTGGCTGCCTTTTACTAAACCCTATTTGACTCAGGAAAAGCTCTTCCTTTGTCCGTTTTTTTGGGGGTGGCGGCGGTGGAGGGACACTCATAAGAAATCCGTAACATATCCATTACCCTTCTTGCATTTTCCTAAGAACCTTAATATTACTTCTGCTGGGGCTTCCCTAAATCCTGTTAAGAGATTTGTGTCTTGCAACCATAGCACAGTACAGTAAACTTGTGCCTGAGGTTGTGTCCACCAAAGGTGTAACAAATGTACAATGACCTTATTAGATTTTTCCGGCTACATGTGAAGAGTTTTAAAAGTTAGAATCTGCACAGTGACTTGGGCCCCAAAATGGACTACGAGGCAGGATACCTGGCATAACATTGTATTGATATGATCTCAGTGGTCAGGCCTCACAAGTCTAGCTGCTGTATTTGGAACTAACTGCATTTTGAACAGTCTTCAAAGGCAGACCCAAGTGGGGCTTAGCTGCAGGTTACCAAAACATGGATCACTTGGGCTCGATTATCTTAATCCTGGTAGTTTCATAGCTGTTCCCAGCTTCAGCTAATAATAATAATAATAATTAAACAACACTTCATACTGTGGAAGCACCCTGTGTACCCAGTGACAAGGATGGATCAAAGAGCAACACAAAACTGCAACTCTCTTTCTTCAATAGCTGCACACCCCCAACATGGGCAGATGCTAGTTTCACTCCCACTGTGATCTTTTCTTTGCCCATTGCGGTAAAATTTGTTTTTAAGTGGTCATATTGTAACACCAACATTTAAGGTTAGAAAGAACAATGGAGTGTAATTACTTCCTGATGGCCACTAGAAGGTTGGCGTTGACATGAGTGGGAGCAGGACTGAAGCTTTACATGTTTTCTAAGAAGTTGAGAAGGGACGTAAAAAAAAATAAATGTGTGTGTTTCTCTGAGGAAAGATTTGCCAGAGCTGATGCGAAAATCAAATTGTCTCCATGTGGGAGTAATATACTAACTGGCACAGAGAAACATAGCAGGATTAGACAAGTTGGGTTCAACATTCTTGACTTTGGTGGAGCTGATTTCCATAAGGACTGGGAGATTTTGATATTACAGAGGAGCTGGACGGAATCCTGGAGGCAAAAAGGAATTGGAAGATAACTGACCCTTTTCTCCATGGGCTGTGATGGTAAAGATAACAACAACAGCATAGGTATCACTTAGCAGGGTGGCCAGTCAATGTGGCTGATTGTAATGAAAACGGGGGCTAAAATAGGGCAAAGTTTGAATGGTGTAAAATAAAATAAAATAAAACTCCCATTATCTCAACTTGCATAAAACTAGATCCCTGTGCGACCTTCCACATTTCTAAGCAAACAAGATGCTATGGAGAGGAACAGGTTGGTATGGGGACTGAGTTTATTCTAGAAAAAAAATAAGATAAATATGTATGTATGATAGTGGGTGGTCTCAATACATTTTTCATAGCCATGGCCCATTGAATTGAACGACTACTACACATTAGGCCATGATCCTAAGAGCTGCAGTGGAAACGGGTGTTGCACTTGGGCCAGAAAGCCTTGGATTCAATTGCAGCATAGCCTTGAAGTCCACTAGGCGACTTGAGGCAAGTTGTTACCACTCAGCTCAGCCTACCTCACAAGGTTGCTGTGAGAATTAAATAGGGAAATGTGCCCCATGCCTCTCGAAGCTTCTTGGACGAAGGGTAAGCTACAAATACAAAGATTGCTACTACTGGGTAGACTGCGCCAAGTGGTATTTTGCTATATATAAAGAGCAGGTCAACAGCTGGGACCAGATGGCCCATTGTGTGCAGCCAGTCCCTCAGTGCCTGTGGGACTTGCCTGTGGTTTACCTTTTCAGAGATAATAGCTTTCTTTTGGGGCATGGGGTGGGCAAGATGTTGGAGGCCCGGAAAAATTGTGAACCATGAAGTTAGATAACAGTAGTTGATAAGAGTAAAGAAATTATGTTCTTTAACTGTAAGAAAGGGGGAAATGGCGATTGATGGCCTACCCTGTCTTGTTGGATTTTGTATATTTCATTTCTTGTTTCACTTTAACTGCCTTTGTGCCCTTTGGGGGTGTGGTGTGTGGAATTGTAGCATGTAATATATGATAATGGACAGCGGTCCTTTGTTACCCAGTAAAACTATAGCAGTACTGTGCAGACAGAGCTGGTTGTCTTTTAGAATGCTGAAACATTCTACATAAATGCTTTTGTGCCTGCTGTGAAGGTGGGGAGGGGAAGCCATGCCTGGTGAACCTGCCCCCATCAACATGCTCTGTCTCCTGATTTCCATATGCTCAGTTAAAGGAAGGGCAAATGGGCCTAGAGCTGTATGTATGCAGGCCTCTCTTTCAGACCCTCTGCTGAATGTGTGGAGGTCTCCATGCATGTGTGGAGATACTTCGGAAGAGGCTAAAGCCAGGATATACTTGCGAGTTAAGGACATGAACTATGTATGCACATTTATGAAAATGTTTGTACTTTCCCATTATGCTGTAAGAATATCAAAGGTTGCTTGTCCAAGCTGGCAGACACAAAGGAAACAAATGTACTGTATTCGGCAATGTAGCAGCTTACTTTTCTTCCACAGGAAAACAGTTTCGAACAGGCAAAACCTGGCCTTATATATCCTGCTAATATGTTTGCAAAGAGCCGAAAGCAATGGAATTCAAAGTCTTCTAGCCATCTCACCCCCCCTTCTTTTTTTACTACTGTAAGGGAAAGCAAACAATTTATAGGAGGCATTAATTATTAGATGAGGTATTTCAATTAAAGTAATTGCATGAGAGACTATGCAGGGATTTGGAAAAGATTAGTGAAAGCTCATGCATTATTCATTCGCTTTGAACTGGGGTAAGATTGGGCATGTCACTTCTTTTCAGCACCATGCTATACACGTCTACTCAAAAGTAAGCCCCATTGAAGCAACATGTCTCCTAGGATTAGAGCCAATGACAGGTTTTTTTTGTTTTTTGTTTTTAAATCAGACTTATCTTTTATCTTCTTCATGTTGAGATCAATATCCAATACTTTTCAAATATAAAAAAGCACTGCAGCCTAACTAACCATGATAGAACTAAATCTAACCAGCTAGGGCAGGTTGGTGGTTTTTTTTTTTTTATTTATTTATTGCACAAGATTTCAGTTTCTCTTTAGCTTTCATTTTTAAATAATTGATACAAAATATATACTTTCATCCTAAAACAATTCAACAACCATGCAGTGTAAAAAGTAGACTATTATTTTTTTTTTAACTAATAGAGCCCAGAAAGGCCTGGCAGTGGGGTAGGCTGCCTTTGATACTGGATAATAAATGGAACAGAATGTTTTCCTTCTCCTCTCCCTCCTCCTCCTCTGCCCTCCCCCGACCACAACCACCATGCAGTCACAAGCAGCCACATTTCTGGACGTTGCCCAGCCTCTTCCACCATGCCCTTAACACAAAAGGACTTGCACTCCAGTTCTTATTGCAGCAGTTCTGTTCTTAATGAATGGCAAACCTGTCAGCCCGCTTGATTTATGTCTGAACCTGAGACACCTATTTAAATCTCATGTAACAACACCCTGGTGCAGATGTCAGTGGCAGCGCAGCGCTGGTCTCGGAGCTGTTGAGCTGTCTAGACAGTTTGAGGTGATAGGTCATTCAGAAAATGTTACAGGACTGCATGTGCCATAATTGGATTATTATGGAAATTTGAAACCAGCTTCCCAAAGTGGTGGCCCATTTGGTGGCTGCATTTTTCACCCTTTCAGCGTAGAGAAATAAAGTGGTGCCATTTCTTAGTAGTAATCTCTTCTCTCTCTCTCTCTCTCTCTCTGCTGTGATCTTATATACACTTACTTGCCAGTAAACATGACTCTGTGGAACTTACTCCTGAGGATTGGTTTCCACATTGCATAATTTCCCTATGAATATTATTGCATTATGATATCCTAGAATTGCCTTGCTGTGTGATTTATTTATTTTTTAAGTTGCACAGGTCATCAAGTTCAGTCTTCTGTATTGAAGCAGAAAACTTTGTCACCCAACATATCTCTTGGATTAGCCCGCTCCACATGTTAGCTGGTCACAGCAATGAAGCAGGGATTTTAAGTGCAGGATAAAAAATAGGAAGTTAATAAAAAGTCATCCAGATTACTCAAGCCCACTAACATACCACATGTTTCTGGAGAAATATAAGACTCTCCCAGGAGCTCTTGCCAATGTGACCTTAGAGAAAATGCGCAGCTCCAAATGTAGTGACTTGACCCTTTGGTTGTAAGAGCAGATTCTGTCCACCAACTAAAATAGAAATTATTTAAAGCTCTGTGGTACTGTACATCATATCCTGTATTCGAAAGAAGGAAAATTGTATCACAAATTTTTTATATTTTTAACATTACAGGGCAATTTTTATACACTTTTCCACCTAAGGAGTCCTGATCTTTGCTGGACTTACACATATGCCCAAAATCAAATGCGTAAATGTAGCAATTATAGATATAATCATGAGCAATTCCTGTGATTGTAGCAGGGATTTTTTTCAGGTGAAAAGCTAGCATATACACTAAATAAAGTGTTTGCTCCATATGTACTAGAACAATGTTTGTTCCATGAACTCACCTAGTTTTTGAGTGGCTCCTCACACCCCCCTTATTATTTTTTAACCACCACCCTTTTTCTAGTTTTGTTCTGAGTTTCATTACTGTTGGGAGCTCTTACTTCACCCACAAGTTCTAAAGGTCATCTGAAATTCTATCCTTCCTCTCATATCCATATCTGTGCATCATGTTGAGGCTATTCCTACAGAAACTTGTCTCACTTCTAAATTTAGCTCTCTTCACAGTTCTTTGAGACATGTCACTACCAGCCGTAGTTTCAGAGTAAAGAAAGCTCATTGCTGGTGTTTCTTAAGAATGCACAAGATTCTTATCCACAGAGGGCTCTAAATGACCTGCCACATAATACCACCTCAAAAGATTGCCCCACTCTACTCATAGGGTACACAAAAAGAGTAAAGTAATAGGTGGCATTCTACATAGTATAGTAATGGCCTCTAACGTTACGTTTCATTCATGCAGTATGCTGGTACTGCCATGCCACGATTATCCTGAAGTTGTAGAGGCGCACTGGTGTTAAATTAAAAAAACAAACCCTCCATTCTTAACTTTTTCAGGAATCTTGAGGCAGTATTGTGGAACTCTATTTGCTTTGCATACACATTCGTTTTTGAGAGCTGCCATGGTTTCTGGTCAAACCAGTTTTGTAGATTTTCACACTACATCAAGCTGTGCTCTTGAAAAACCAAAGCTAAGTAACCAGGGCCTCTGCAACAGATGTGTACGTTTGTGACTATCACGGTACTCTGTTAGAGAGTGACCATGATGAACAACAAAATCCCTTTCCTCCATGACCAACGGCAGTTTTACAAGGCCCCATCCTCAGCAATGTTGAAATACGAAATATTGGTGTGTATTTGTTTATGCATCCAAGTAACCCTGTTAAAAACATCAAAGTGCACTAAATATAATATAAAGCTAACTGGTTAAAATAGGGCTTAGCCAGTTTCAACCGTCATTGATTTACTCAGACAAGCTACAGATCTCATCGACCCCAGCCAGCCTGGCCAGTGATCAGGGGTGAGGGGAGTTGTGGGGGAGGGGGGGAGATTGGGCTCAGAAGCAGGGCACACCTCCCCTCCCCGCTGCAGTGACCGTGGGCAGAAGAAACATAAATTCTGGGTGTTTATCATGTTTTATAAATCCCAACTCCATTTCCCTTACAGCATGAATTTCAAGGGCGAGTCCGATCCCAGTCTCTCCTTTCTCTGCCTACCCCATTAAACTCAGAAACAGCTGTCAAGAATTGTGTATGCTTCACTGTGATGTCGCCTGAGTGCTTCCAGCTGTGGGCCGGCAAACAGAAATTAGCTTATTTTAACATTTCATTATTTGAAAATTATAACACCCCGGGCAGTGCACGTGTCATACCTTATAAAAGAAATAGACGCCGAGCCCCATTTAGTGCTTGGATGAGAAACTTCAAATAAAAGCTGAGCTTTTGAATTTTGTTTTCGAATAGCCGCCCTTCCCCCTCTGCCTCGCCACATGGTAAGCTTCACTTGAAACTTGAAGTGGGAGATGGAAGGCACACCTAAAGCAGTTCTTTGGACAGTGGTTCTTGAAAAAGATGGGAGGCAGATGCTTTGACTACAAAAAATCTTTAGCCCTTGTTTCCACTGCAGAGAGTGTGAGAATCACAGAGGCCTGGTCAAAATCGTAATCAGTGATCAGTTACGGCCTAAGCCAAGGGTCACTTTTACGCTGCCATGAGTGTTGCAGCTATCAAAGGATAGTTTGTGTGGAATTGCTTTCATATATATTATGGAATATATATATATATATATATATATATATATATATATATATATATATGGAATTGCTCTCATATTACATAGAGTTCCTTCTTACTGCCTCTCTGTGCAAAACAAACTACAATGTCACGTTTTTCAACTGTTAATGCAGATTGTGGGACAACCCAGTCAGATGGGCAAGGTATTATTATTATTATTATTATTATTATTATTATCATTATTATTTACCTTCTTGTCATATGAAAAAGAGCAAGTTTCCACTGACATCTATTGCACAGTATTACACAGATCTGCTGTCATTTTCTATTCCATGTGGGGCTGCGTTGTTGTACCCTTCATCAAATGTTTTACCCATCCTTATAAATTATTTGAAGCTAGCATTTGGATTGCTAAAGAAGTGTGTCCACAACCTTCCCTTCCCCATAGTAACAGGCTGAATGTTACAGTGTGCAATTTGCTCCCATAATGCAACAGTGCAGTTGATACCAAATGAGAAAGAAGAAATCTGATTAAAGGTAGTAACTTTTGAGACAGTAGTTCCAGTTTTTCAAATGCAGAAATAGAAACTTGTGAAAACAAGTCTCAAGCAGGGTTTGCCATTTCTACAGAAAACATTGAGGTACTTGTGAACCAAAGAGCTCTGTTGCTATCTCATATTATCGTTTCCTGTTTGGCAGTTATTATTTCTTGGGCTCTTTTTTCCTTTTGCTTGGATTGCCTACTGTGTCAGCTGTCCGATGGCTGGAGAATCCTAACTGGCTAGTTGGGCTAGTTTTCCTTGTGGAGGTAACATTCCATTTTGACAGGAGCATTTATTATGGAAAACAAATTGCTCACTTGATTTTTTTTAAAAAGTTTTTTATTTATACAACAAGAAAAAAACACACACACAAATACCAAATTACACACAAATTACAAAAATAACCATAGGCACATAATTTTCTTCGCAAACAATAAAACATCTATTGGTCTTAACACTAAAGACCCAACCGCCCGTCTATTCCATATTTCAAATTCATATTACTTTTTGCCAGTATACGCTTTTATCATAATTAAACTTATTCTCAATAAATCTAATTTCTTATATCTACCTTGAGAGTATTACTGCAGTTCCTCGATAAACTACTATATTTATTTTTCAGATAATCTTTGAAAACCTCCCATTTTGAAACAAATTCCTGTTTTGATTTATTCTTTATTTTTTCTGATAAACCATCTAATTTGGCATATTCTGCCAGCTTTTGGATCCAATCTTGTATAGACGGGATTTCATTACTCTTCCATTTTGCTGCGATCAAAACTCTTGCTGCCGCCGTCGCATATAAAAAGATACCCTTCCTCTTTTGTGGAATATCCAAATCTGTTATTCCCAGGAGGTAGGCCTCTGGTTTTTTATTGAAAGAGATCTTTAGCATTTTTTGCAGTTCTACATGGATACTCTCCCAGAATACCTGTATTTTCCTACATATCCACCACATATGGTAGAATGTTCCTGATTCACCGCATCTCCAACAATTACTTGACACATTTTTATACATTTTTGAAAGTTTCCATGGTGTTAGATACCATCGATGTTGCATTTTTTTGAAAGTTCTCTCTAATCGTGTAACAATTTGTGAATTTCCAATTGATCTTCCATAAATTTTCCCATTGGGCCATGGTTATTGAACGGCCAAAATCCTGGGACCACCTCACCATTGCCACTATTACCTCCTCCTCCTTGACTGTCCAGTCAAGAAGGAGTCGATAAGTTTTGGAAAGAGTTTTTCTTTTAGAATTTACAAGATCAGATTCGAATCGGGAAATTTCTGTTGAGAACCCCTTTTGTTTGTCAGATTTAAATTTTTCAAATAACTGATGGTATTGGAACCAGTCTGAGATGTGTTCTCTTATTTCCTCAAAGTTTTTTAATTTTATTTGGTTATCTTCATTTTTAGAAGTGTTTTATATGTTGGCCAGCTTTCCTGAGTATTTTTCCGTTTTACTGCTACGGCTTCTATTGGAGAAGTCCACCACGGGACTTTAGGTTCCATCAGGTCTTTATATTTTTCCCATACAGCAAAGAGTGATTTTCTTATTATATGGTTGGTAAAATTTTTATGAATTTTCGCTTTTCCATATATCAGGTAGGCGTGCCATCCCCAACGGTTGTCAAAACCTTCCAGGTCCAAGAGGTCCGGATCCTGCAACGTGCACCAATCTTTTAGCCAGGTGAAACAGGCTGCCTTGTAGTAAAGTTTTAAGTCGGGTAGGGAAAAGCCTCCTCTCTCTTTTATGTCTATTAAGATCAGGTGTTTATTCCTAGGTTTCTTCCCTTCCCACAGGAATTTGGAAATTTCTCTTTGCCATATCTTGAGACAACCTGCTTCGCCCAGTATTGGAATCATTTGAAATAAAAAGATTAATTTTGGAAGCACATTCATCTTTATAATGGAAATCCTACCCAGAAATGTTAATTTTAGTTTACTCCAGGTTACAAGATTTTTTCTAATCTCTAACCAAGTTTTGGTGTAATTATCCTGAAATAAGTTTATGTTCTTGGGGGTGATCCAAATACCCAAGTATTTCGCTTTTGAGGAGATTTTCAGGCCCAATATTTTTTCTAAGTTGTCCTTTTCTTCTGTGGTTACATTTTTAACAAGCATTTTTGTTTTTGTGATATTCAACTTAAAGCCTGCCACTTCTCCAAATTCTTTAATCAATTCCAGCACTCTTTTCAGACTTTCTTTAGGATTTTCAGGCATAACAAGTAAATCGTCCGCAAAAGCTTTAATTTTATATGTTTTGTTTCCCAGAGTGATGCCTTTAACAAGCTGATCCTTTCTTATCTGATTGTTCAAGACTTATATCAGTGGTGACAGTGGGCAGCCCTGTCTGGTTCCCTTGTTTATTTTGCACTCCTCAGTAATTCTACCGTTGATGATCAATTTTGCATATTGTTCCGAATAGATGGCATTTATTACTTTACAAATATTTTCTCCCAGTCCGATTTCTTCCATTAATTTTTTCATAAATTTCCAGGACACGTTGTCAAAAGCTTTTTCAGCGTCCACCAACATAATAGCTGCTGGTTTATCAATTTTAATATCCAAATATTCTAATACATTAATCACACATCTAATGTTGGATTGCATAAATCGTCCGGGAAGAAATCCGGTTTGATCTTTATGAATTATCTCTTTCAGCACCATTTTTAATCTATTTGCAAGAATGTCTGCGAATATCTTGTAATCGTTATTTAGCAGTGCAATGGGTCTGTAATTGGCCATGTTTGAGGCATCTGTTCCCTGTTTGTGGATAAGAGTAATAAAGCTGTCCTTCCAGGTTTTCGGTAGCTTTCCATTTGCCAGAATATTATTCATTAGGTCTTTCATGGGAAGAAATAATGCTTGTTCTAACTTTTTATAGTAATTAGCTGGGAGACCATCTGGGCCCGGTGTCTTTCCTAATTTTGATCTCTGTATAGCTTGTTGCACCTCCATAGCTGTTATTGGTGAGTTCAAGATTTCAGTTTTTTCCTTAGGTATTATTGGTAGTTTATTTTTGCCCAAATAATCAATTATTTTTTCTAGAGTCTCTGGACCTTCTTTATATAGTTTTCCGAAAAAACTAGCAAAATTTTTACTAATTTCCTTCGGTTCTTGAATCCATTTGTCTTCAATTTTAATTTTATTGATAATTCTATCTTCCTTTTTCTTCTTTAATTGCCAGGCCAGAAGTTTGCCAGGTTTATTTGCAAACTCAAAATTTCTATGTCGCAACCATTTTATCTTCCATTCTATCTCTTCGTTTATTATCATGGAGAATTGCGTCTGTAAAATTTTTATATTTTGCTTAATTAGTTCATCATCTGGTTTTTGGAAAAGGATCCTTTCCTTTTTTCTAATTTCCTCCCAGATCTCCATTTTCTTCTTCTCCTTTATTTTCCTTTGGAATGCGTTTTGTTGGATAAAGAAGCCTCTTATGACGGCTTTACCCGCGTCCCAAACCGTCTCTAGATCTACTCCTTGATTTAAATTAAACTTAAAATATTCTTCTAAGATTTGCTTAGCCTTCTGTACAGTTTTCTCATCGTTTAGCATACTCTCATTAAGTTGCCACCTTTTAAACTTTTCTTCTTTTCCTTTAAAGTTAACCCAGACCGCGCTGTGATCTGTTATTGTCCTTGGATGGATTTCTGCTTTTGTAATATTATTTAATAAATCCTTTGTTGTCCAGATCGCATCGATTCATCCCGCCGATTTATGTGGCTCTGAATAGTGTGTAAATTCTTTCTCTGTTGGATTCTTAAACCTCCAAGCGTCAAACAAATTCAGGAGTTCTATTAATTGGAAAAATGTAGTTGGGAGTTTGTTCTGCCTCTTTTCTTTCTTCTTTATTGTTCTGTCCATGTTTGGATTGACTACTCCATTAAAATCTCCTAATAATATAATTTCCCCCCCTAAATATTCTATGACTTTTTCTTCCAAGAATTGATAGAATTCGGATTTTCTTTCATTTGGTGCATAAATTCCAATAACTATCGCTTTTTCATTATTGATCTTAACTTCTATAATCACTGTTCGACCTTTTTCATCATTGTAAAGCAGTTTTGGCTCCAGCTGAGGTTTTGCATAGATTACCACCCCTCTCTTTTTTTCTTTACTTGATGCAATAAACTCAAGCCCCAATCTTTTATTTATTAATACTCTTTTATGTTTTTCCGCTACATGAGTTTCTTGCAGACAGATTAGATCATATTTTTGCTTAACCAGAATATGTTCCACCTTGTTCCTTTTTGATTTTTCATTTAAACCATTTACGTTCCAAGTAATAAATTTATAATCCATACTTTATTTCTTATGATACGTGAACGGGTTAATAAAAAATAATAAATAAATAAATTTACACATTCAAGGTCTCAGTATACGTTTAATAAATTCCCTTCTTAGATCTGTCTCCTAACTCTCAACTGTTTGTTCAATTTCCTCTGATTCTCCCAACAATTGCCTTTTCCCTCCGAGCTCTTTCCGGTACTTTCTCCAGAACTTGTCCGCATCTAATGCCGACAAGCACTTTCTACGTTTCCCTTTAAAGAAAAAGGAGATGCCTTCAGGGTACTCCCACCTATAGTCCACTGCCTTTGCCTTTAGTGCCTCGGCTAGAGGTTTGTAAGCTTCTCTCTTTTTTATCAATCGATTTGGGATAATCTTGTGGACGATAATATCATTTCCTTCCGACTTGAATTTCTTCTTGTTGCTAGCTTGTAAAATTCTATTTCTGAAATCCATAGAGTTAAAAGAGACCAAACAGTCAGCCGGCCAGTTATTTGCTTTTGCTACATTAGATTTGACTCTAAATGCTTTTTCTATTTTTTGTGTTACTTCTGCTTCTTCTAGGTCTAACCAAGTTGCTAGCTCTTTTGAGATTTTTTTCTCAATTATTTCCTCTGCATCCTCTGTTAGTCCTCTGAATCTTAGGGTATTCTCCCTTCTCTGCATTTGCAACATCGCAATAGAGTCCAAAGTTGAATCCTGTTGCGCTTTCAGATCTGCTGTTTCTTTCCTTATCTTATCGCATTCCCTTTTCAACTCTCTATTTTCATTTTGTAATTTTTTCTGAGCTTCCTCTAGGTTCTGTGTTTTACCTTTAAGGTCTAGCACTATTTTCGTCAGTTCTGAATTTTTTTGTACTAAATTGTTGACCTGAGTTGATAACTCAGCTGTTATTTTCACATTTTCATCTATTTTAACTCCCATTGAAATAAGTTTTTCTTCCGTTGCTTTTGCCTTTTCATTTACATTATTTTTAAATCTTGGATATCTTTCTTCAAACTTAAAATTAATTCTCTCATATCTAGTGGTTGATCCATGTCAATTACAGAAGTTCTCCTGATTTGTGAGGCTGAAACTGCCGCAGAACCTGACACAGTTGCTTTTTTACCAGACATCACTAAAAAATTCAATTAACTCACAAGGTAATTTGTTCTCTTTCTTTCTGTCTTACTGACTGGATATCAATTAAATTCAATCTTTCTTAATACAATCGTGACAAAATTTCCAATGTGATAATTAATAAATATCAATTAAATTCAATCTTTCTTAATACAATCACGACAATTTTACCAGTCTGATAATAATCTCCGGCCTATGTATCCACTGATTCTTTATATTCACCAGTTTCACTAAATATATTTAAAATTGATTATGAACAATTATCTAATTAGTTACAGCCAATCATCAATACAGCAATATCACAAATTCATCAGATCAAATAAATATAATAAATGATTGCAATCCTTGCGTTCACTTACTCATTCAGGGTGATAGATCATATATATAAATCTTTAAACAGGTTAGCGGTTCAGTTAATCAGCACCTTACAACAAAACTAATGACATCTGATACTAATATCAGCTGTCTTGGCTACCAATAGATAGTGAAAGGCAAAGCAAACAAAAACAAAAAACAGCAACAAAAAAACACACAAGGCAGAACCACACAAGTTGAAAACCACACAAAAACACAACCAGAAAAACAACAAAAATGAAACAAACAGAGAAACAAAACAAACAAAACAAAACAAAATACCCAAAAAGAAAATTATAAAAGAAAGAAACAAAGAAAAGATGGGAGGGTAAGAGAAAAATAAAGCAAGAGAAAGTAATAATAATAATGCAATTTATAATTTGTAAAGGAATAAAGAGAGGGAAGAAAATACGAAAAGTATATATAAATAATAAAAAAAGAGCTGGGGAGTATTTTCAATTAATAATGTACAATGCAATAATATTATGTGCTATTAAGTTCTCTCTAGATGTTACTCTTCCAGAGGCAACAGGAATGCTATTCCAGGATTGGGGTATAGGGTCTATAAAAATTTATGAAACCTTGTCTCTTTCAGCAGATTATGATGCAGCGCTTTGGAATCTTCACTAGTTGCAGATCTTGCAAAAATCCCTGTAATTGCTCTTATAAGTCTTATTAGAGGAATGTCTTTTTCAAAAGAGTGCAAAAATTTTATTCACCAGCTGATGTCGCTGTTTGAGTCGCTCCCTCTCTGCGATTTTCAACCCCCTTCTCAATCTATGTCAGTCTATGTCAGTCTTATACAATTCATTTCCGTTCCTCAAACCAGGAAATGCCGGTCTAAGAAAATGTCGGGGCACGTGAGTCAGCAGAAATACTTTAGCCGTTGTTAAATTGATTTGTAGTAGTCCACAGCCAAAGACAAATTGCTCACTTGAAATTAAAACTATTCTGATGCGAGTAAAAATCCCCAAAGAGTGCCAACAACACCTAACAGTCACCTACAAAATTTTGGGGGGCCATACCCTGTCTGGCTGTGCAACAGGGATTTCCCTCCCTGCATACCCTGAGACCTTTCCCTCCCCAGATCTGCTCTGCAGATTGAGGAAAACCCCCAGAACAAGTTTAGGGTGCACATGGGGGAAAGGAGAGGGAGAGGAAGTCCAGTTGTGCTGACAGAAATCCTTGTGCTAACAGAAGGTTAGATACCACCAATGGATTCCCTATGCTAGGGGCAGAATACTCTCTTGTAGTTTCCACCTCCCCTCCCCACCGCTTTTTGTTGGACTTCTGTGTTCTAAATAGCATTAGCCTTTTTAAAAAAGAAAAAAGAAAATGAAAATTATCGTTCCACAAGGAGAACTCTTGTAGAGCAATATTTATTTATTTAGTGTGCTAAAGGAATCTGGCACCAAAAAATGTTTTCAGTTTTCTCTTGCTGGAGGAACTTCTGCCAAGGTTAAAAGCTGCACCTTTACATTTGCATTCGAAGATAGAGATTTGTTGTTTGTTTGTTTGTTTCAATGAATTTTATCATTTATTTATTACACAATGTTTAGTCTGCTGCCATCTTTAGGTATAAAATCTTTAGGCAAGCCCATACATAGACTTGCCTGAAGATTTTGTACCTAGAGTTCTTAGAAGATTTTGTACTTAAAAGTAAATCCCAGGACAGCTGAGTATGGCTAACTTTGGATATCGCCCATAATTTAGACTCTAAGATAAAAAAATATTTTATTTATTTACTAGATTTCTATCCTGCCCTTTCTCCCAGCAGAGGCAAACAACAAATTAAACCTTAAAATATATTTTTTAAAACATTTAAAAACCAACTATTTAACAGTTAAGAATATTTAGATAATATTTACACCCCCTAAAACACTGTTTTTAGACCTAATTTTATATTATTTTTTCTCCATCACATAATTTTATATTAGTTTTTCTCCATCACAGGCTGGTTTGGTTTCCTTGTTGACAAAGTCACAGCTTCTGCTCTGTTCTGTGGCAGGCCTCCATGGAAAGGGCAGGCCCCTTAAGGGCTCTGCTGCATTTAGTAGCAGGAACTCACCATTGCTGTTATTTACATTCATGACTTCACCGTGCTTGTTGCCCGACATCTAACTGAAGCAAGGATCTTGACTAGTGCTTGCCTTTAAAAGAAAACAATGCGTCAAGTGTTCTGCCCTTGCTGCTTCTCACATGAGAGAAACAGATTGAAGACTTAACAAAGATGCACAGTGTCTCTTTGTAGAATAAGTACAGATGCCAGTTATATCTGAAAGAGTGACACTGTCCCATGACTTTCTGCCATTGTTGGAGCATCTGAGGATGTATTTATTACATGTATTAGCAGAGAGCAAGTTTACTTGCCAATGGACTAACTTAAGGAATGGCTGAGGAGGTGGTAGGTCACGCTCCACCTTGGAAATGCTCCCTAGGCATTTCATGTTAGGAATGAGGAGCATGACTTCTGCTCCTCACATTGTTACCACTGCCTAGTTGGTGTGGAGCCAGTAGCCACAAGCTCCCAAAAAAGGAAAATGAGGGAAAAGATGGACGTCCATTCTAGGTAACCTCCAAAATGGTTCTCCTAGATCCTCCCATTCATGAAATAAACCTGGTTCATAAGACAGACAACAAAAATATTTGTGTTGGCCAAAGAGGCATCAGCTGCTACCTGGCATAGCTTCTCACAAGCACAGATAGCCCCTAAGTTTGCAATATAGCAAGTATTCAATTGTAATATTTATCTTAATAAAATTTACTTACTAATAATTGGATGAAGGTTTTAAGACATGATGTAGTTATTTAGACACACATCTGAACACCTTAAATATTTCATGGACAAGCATATTTTTAAAAGAGCTTAAGCAAATTATTAGTCCTAAATGGAGACTATTTACAGTACCTTCATTAAAACACACACACACACACACACACACACACACACATTCTGTATTTGTTACTATACTCTTGAGTGCAAGTTAGTTCCTGTATTAACTGCTTTGAGAACTTTGTGAATGTCCATGCGTAATGGAAACACTGAAAGCAGTGGTTAACGTGATTACTTGATAACAAATTGAAAGTGTGGGTTATTACTGGCAGCTAGTCATAGCACTGTTACCAAGGTTTACAGTACAACTAGACTGTAGTATGTGTGTGAGAGAAAGATGGGGTTGCTATATGTGTGGTGTGTAGTGTGAAGCATATGTTCAGTGACTGTGTGCTATAGATGTCATGAATGCATGGTTTGTGCAAATGTGTGTGCATGCATGTTTCATGTCCATAAACACAATGGGCATGTGGTTCTACAAAGTTTGGTCAACCATGTTTGGCTCTCGAGCCAAAAAATATTAGCCACCTCCTAAACTAGGTTTTAGGGACGCGGGTGGCGCTGTGGTCTAAACCACTGAGCCTAGGGCTTGCCGATCAGAAGGTCGGCGGTTCGAATCCCCACTACGGGGTGAGCTCCTGTTGCTCGGTCCCTGCTCCTAGCAACCTAGCAGTTTGAAAGCACATCAAAGTGCAAGTGGATAAATAGGTACCGCTCTGGCAGGAAGGTAAACAGAATTTCTGTGCGCTGCTCGCCAGAAGCGGCTTAGTTATGCTGGCCACATGACCTGGAAGCTGTACATCGGCTCCTTTGGCCAATAAAGCAAGATGAGCACCGCAACCCCAGAGTCATCTGCGACTGGACCTAACGGTCAGGGGTCCCTTTACCTTTACCTTTAAACTAGGTTTTGCAACCAGTTGCTCTTGACTTAGGATGTTCATGCAAGGTGATTTGCTAAACTGTGAATTATTTCCTTGTTACTTAATTACTAAAAGTTGTTGCCTATCGAAACATTACCTTAACTGTTTATATTTAATGGGTTAGTTATAATGGGTGACTTTTTGCAGTGCGGAAAGCACACCGTTCTATTACATCTAGAAAAGCAGCCAGAGTATGTAGTCCTTAGGCTTATTTTGTAATTAAAGTTGAGATTCTACACATTCTAGCAAACTATTCCCCACCCCACCCAAGTCTTCAGTTGCTCAAGTTTATCTGGCGCTGGGTATTTGCATAACTGGTTGATGGTACTTAAAATCTTCTTGGAACATTTCAGAATGAGTCCTGGCTTTTCTTCTTCTCAAACATCCTTCCTGCAATAAAGATATTGATCTGATCTTTTGTACAATTTCTCTGCTCATTAACGTTGGCCTGAGCAGAAAAATATCCATAGCCTCATTTAGCTGCAACATCTTTGTAGAACATTCGTTGCTATCTATTGACAACCTGCTGCATAATTGCTAAGATAGTTTGCCATGTCATTACCAGGTATGCAACCTTATTTGAACTCATGTTGACTCTACTCCAGAAGGCAAATATATCTGAAGATGTTAAATATGATTTAGGAAGCAAAACAGGTTAAGAGTGACCCTTCATTTTTTTAAAAGAATGCCTTGTCACTTGTAGCACACCTTGATGAACCCAGGTTTTCAAAAACTGATATTCAAAACAAACTGTAAGGGAAGGAGAATTATGAAGTGAGTCTGGCCTTTAAAACCTAAACATATGGGCTTCATTTAAGTCTCAGAAGAAAGGAACTGTCTTGAGGTAAATGGTCTAGGTGGAGCTCCCTTGATGGAACTCATTGAAGCCCACAGTAATGCAATCAAATTCAGCTTTGCATTAGATATTTCTATCATTAATGGTTGGTGGGTGTGTTTGTATACATCTAACAGGAGAAAGGCTCATTTAACTTAATCTGGGTTGGCTTTTGCCTGCAGATTAATCTTTGGAGAACCAGCCAATTTATAATTATAGTTATAGGTATGGGTGGAGGAGTATTGGGTGGTTGAGACATGCCAGTTTCTGTTACATTTGGTATGTCTGATACAGTTTGTCTGATCTACTCTAGCCAAGTAGATCAGACTCTCATTAACAACTTAACAGAATAGAAACTGTATGTGACTAAGAGAAATACCTCCCCCCCAAAAATTGTTAAGATTCTTAAAATATGGTCACAAAATAGACTAAGATACCACCCTAAAGCTTCCTGATGACCAGAACAGTTCAAGTCCTATGTCTTCTGGGTCAGGCTTGTTCTTTGGTCTGAACAGCAAGGTTTGGCTCAGCTTGTTCCCATTTTCTGCCACAGACTGACCCTTGCTGTGCCTTTCTCTGAGGATCTTGCCTTGGAGCCAAGTGTGTGGCAGCCATCTGGTTAGCTAACATTGTGCCAAACACACGGTGATGGAATGATAAAATACGAATCAGGCAGGTTCTCCGGTGGGGAAAGTGAAATGCACAAATGAAAATTGACTTTGTGGGCCAGCTGCCCTCTATTTTTAAGCTGAAGTATATTCTCTTTGCTGGCTTGGAATCAAGGAGTGTGGCCCTTTCTTGATAGCTGTTGCCAGATTCCTGACATGCTGGAAAGTGGCAGCTAGAAGCATTTGTTCATGGTGGCTTAAGAAATGTTCAAGAAATCCTTGGCTGTTCTCTTGCATTGAGATGGTCATCTGCTTCTCTCCTTCAAGTCAAACAAAGTGATATGCCCTAGACAGTCGATTTCTCTCTCTCTCTCTCCTGTTCTGCTCCCCTTTAGCATGTTTTAATAATTGCTTCTTATTTTTCTGTCTGAGGCTGGTGGTGAGTATAACTTAAAATGAAAAAAGTGTCAAGAATAAAGACAGGGAACACACAAAGCAAGACATTAAAGGACAGTTTGGGAGCCAAAGCCAATTTCAGCACAGCTGTTGAAACTGTTCCTTCAGGCATGAGAAAAAGTTAGCCATGACTCTTGGGCAAATCACATTTTCTTTTGTCTACAAATATTTTTCATGATAGAAGATTTAGGCACAATTAAAATAAATGCTTATGTGGCCATCTTGTTTAGAGCCAGTTCATGGGCAAGGATTACCTCTTCCGTCAAAACAAAATTACCTCTCATCTGTTGTGCATTAGTTCTTGTTCATCAGAATCTTTAGAGGAAGAGTAGTTAACAAATAATTCAAGTAAATGAAGCAAAATAACAATGCTTAGGGCTTCCTTCCAAAACTTGTAGTAATTAGAGACTACAACCAGTCTTGATTAATGTCCACAAACCACAACAAGTTGCCCAAATCACACAGATGCCAGTGGTATATACAAGTACCCTATAGCCCATGGATGACTAACCTGTGGTCCTTCAGATGCTGTTGGATCACAGCTTCCATCATCCCTGCCTTTTGGCCCTGTTGGCTAGGGGTGATGGGAGTTGAGTTCAGCAACACTGGGAGGGCCACAGGTTTAGCCTCTCCTGCTGCAGCCCATGTGCATTCAAATACTTTCACTGTACTGCAACTTCTATTCTGTAACATGGCTCACTGGTTACTCCAAGCCTTAGTAGACTTTTGTTACAACCACATCCCTCCACACTCTTCATTACTATTTAGCACAGCTGGATCATGGTGGGTCCAAAACATACCAGCCTGCTTTCAAGTTCTGGCCTTCCAAAGTCTTAACGGGGATGATGTCAACCATACACAAGGGGAATCACAAAATGCATGGGGGAATTATTGTGGATATGAGTAAAAAGTAAATGATCATTAACTTATTCATGGGAGGAATAAAAGAATAGAAATGGATCCCCTATGAATAGCATATGAATAGCATATACCCAGTTCTTCTAAGGTTACTTTATGGTTCCATTCTCTGAAGCATATACTTTATCCAGATTGTAAATATATTTTATTAATATAACTTGGCCCTGTGTCTTTCTGTAAAGGCACTCTCCTTAATCTTAACAATATACGATATTGCATTCATCCTCTAGTAAACTGTCCATGCGTACGTTGCATCGCTTATGCTTTAATATCTCTCATACTTGTGATAAAAATTATGCTTAAAATTGGCATAAGATGCCTTTTGGAATTGCAGAAGCAGAGCTGGAAGGAACAGCATGGATTATTTCATCGAACTGTCTGTCCCGAGGCAGGGAATTTTACACTTCAGGCATTTTTGCCAGATGCCTCCCTAGTTTCCTCACAGAAACATCCAGCAACAAGTGCTTCCAAACTCTGGATCTTGTTCCATTGCCCTACATTTTATTTGGTTAAGATGTTTTCCTAATATTCACTCAGTGTGAATCAGCCATTTCCCCTTAAACCTGATGCTACTTCTTTGTCCTCCGAATAGTAACGCAGAATGGACCCTCCCTTTCAGGAGGGCTGTCATGTTCACCTTTAGCCTTCAATCCATTTAAAAAAATGTTTAGCTCATGGAACGCTTCACTGCATGACTGACAGTGATTCAGATGTGCAGAAAAGTAATCTGGTGCAATCTTGGACTGGACTGCATCAAGCTGCAGGTGGGTTTCTGCAAAGCTCTATGGAGGGAGAAGGCTGAGGAAAAACTATTCTCCCTGGTATGCTAGCAAGCAGGATTTAAATTTTTATTTCCACATGAGAAAGAATTAAAAAGATCCCGCCCCCTCATAGTCTTAAATAGAAAAGTTTTTGGGTTAATTGTAGTATGTGCCCTCTCTGTACTTTTAAAATGGCTTTTATCTTGCTTGGTTTTTTGTAAATATCATATTCATATAGAAATGCTGCTCCAAATAAATGCACAGAGCAGTTACAGCTGTGTGGAATACTAATTGTTACTAGTACTATATTTCCACTTCCAGAAGTGTTGTGTTATACTTTATTGTTTTGCAAGGTATTTGGACATCTCCTATTGTGAAATGCAGCCTTTATTTTAAATAATTGCCCTTTCCCACGAAAACATTGTCTTTCATCATTGTATAATTGATGTCCCTGATAAGTGGAAAGATTTTTCCAGAAACATTTAATAGACTACCTGGGCTTACATTCAAAGAGTCCATATATACTGATTACATGCAAATTAGCATGGGAGAACATATGCTTACTATTATACAAAGAATTAGATGTAAATATCATATAGCCAATATAGGACGCGGGTGGCGCTGTGGGTTAAACCACAGAGCCTAGGACTTGCCGATCAGAAGGTCGACTGTTCGAATCCCCGCGACGGGGTGAGCTCCCATTGCTCGGTCCCAGCTCCTGCCAACCTAGCAGTTCGAAAGCACATCAAAGTGCAAGTAGATAAATAGGTACCGCTCCAGCGGAAAGGTAAACGGCATTTCCGTGCGCTGCTCTGGTTTGCCAGAAGCACCTTAGTCATGCTGGCCACATGACCCAGAAGCTGTACGCTGGCTCCCTCGGCCAATAAAGCAAGATGAGCGCCACAACCCCAGAGTCGGCCACGACTGGACCTAATGGTCAGGGGTCCCTTTACCTTTGCCTTTATCATATAACCATGGGGTTTAAATACCTACCAGTAGCAACTTCAGAACAGTTACTTCTACTTGAGAAGCTTAAAATAATTTCGTGTGTGTGTGTGTGTGTGTGTGAGAGAGAGAGAGAAAGAGAGAGAGAGAGAGAGAGAGAGAAAGAGCCAAGTTCATTCCATGGTATCTCTAGGTAGTGCTGTGACAAACTCTTTTATAACACACTGAATAGCTACTACCAGCAGTTTCCTCAGATTACCATTTGTTCCGATTTAGTGTTTAAGGGTGGGTTTTCCAGGGGAAAGTGGCAGGCAAAGGCAAAACTGCTTGGACCTGTGCCTAGGAAGGATGGGACAAGCAGCAAACACCTCTCACCTGTGCTTTCTAGGCATGAGTCAAGCAGAAGTGTGGACAAGCCCTTTGATAGGGACCATTAATCTCACTTGGCACAAGGCAGCCTCCCAGGTTCCTAAGTACTGTAATTCATCATGATTTCACCATGAACTCCCAGAAAATTCTCCCTGAATCCTCCTGATCTTGGCTGATCAAGTCTAGTTACCAAGTGGTTAGCCAAGTACTCTCAGAACAATCTGTTTTGCAGATGTCTTTTGCTTTTTTCCTCATGGCCTTATACTATTTTACACCGAATATTTTGTGCAGTGGAAATAGCTACAGAATAAATGGCATAATCTCACCTCCTAAAACTAAAATATATAAAAGATTCCCGCCCCCCTTGCCAAAGAATAGGAGGTGGTGCTGTGTAAACTTTGCAAGGTACAAAACTGCAGGCAAGTTTTATAGCTATACTGATTCCTAATTACTTTAATTGAGCCAAGTTGGTAATATATTAAAGGTGTTTCCATAGTGTAATTCCCCATTGGGGTATATATATTTGAAAACCACTTTTCCAAGGTACAACTCACGCATATAAGCTAGCCTATTTTTAATAACCATTTTGATCATCTGCCGATATAAAACCATACAGATTAATGTAACGTGAACTGTGGCTTCATAGATATTATGAGTTGCACATTATATGACTTTAATGGCTCTAAGAATGCTTCTGTGGCTGAGAATAAAATTAGCCAAGTGTACCTCAGCAGCGTCATGCAACTTACGCTTTCCTCATACAATCCCATCCATGGATGGAAGGGATTAACTGGAGCAGACAACAGGGACATAGGCAGGCGGCTGTATGTATGAACAAGTCCTCTTGTTATCCTACTCTCTGTGACTTTGAAACCATATGCCTGGATAACTTTCTCCCTTGCCTGCTTCTGTGGATAAACTGCAAATCTGCTTTCCTACATCTGCTGGACGAAGGTCTTACTACTCACACTGTGCTGCTTTTAAGACTCACTGGAATCTGCTTATTCTGGAGCACATTCAACAAACTTGGCACTGCTTTTCTACAGACTAGACTAACTTTCCTGGTGTGTGGTGATGCTAAATCCCAACTCAGTGGAATTGCCCAAATACTAAGAAGATTGAACACATTGTGCTACAGACCCAAGGAAAGTCTGTGGGCTTTCACAGAATGTAAGTCATTGTTGGATTTTACTCAAATGTGTTATCCAATTTAACACACACACACACAGAGAGAGAGAGAGAGAGAGAGAGAGAGAGAACGACATAAACCCAGAAGTGGAAGTTCTTAACTCCAATAGATTTTTTTCTTCAAACATCACTATACTATTTTGTATCTGTTACTCCTTTCCCATATCTGGTAGCAGATATGTACTTCCAAAAAGGTATGTGCCTACTATTCAGATAGCTCTTGGTGACTCAGGGAATTGATTCTAAAAAGCATGCAATTGAGAGATTGTTTTAGTAGTCGGGACTATATTGATCACCCTCTCATTAGCTTCTTTCTTTGCCTCCCTCAAAACTAATGTTTCCAGGATCCTCATTGTGCAGTAGACCTTATAATGCTTTCACATGTCACAAAAATCCTCAGCACTCCCTAAAGTCTGTTAAGTGACGTGTGGTTTCACTAAACTTGAATTGTGATGAGTTCGTTCCATAGCAATTAAGCATCTGTGCCATTTATTGTTGCACAGAAGAGAGAATTTAGCATAGACAGTTTCTCTGGCTACTGTAGGTCAGGAAAAGTAATGCATGAGTATGGATTTGAACTCTGGTCTCACATGTCTTAATCCAGCACTCTGAACCACTATGCCATGCTGATGTCATTACCATGTGCTCTTCCTGGAGCACTTCTTGAGAATCTGCTGATTAAAATAATTCCTTATTTCTTGAATCTGCATAGCAACCTTTAGGTTGTATCAAATGGTGTCTCTATGCTCACGGGGAGACTCTTTGCTGCACCAGAGCTTTCTGTTTGTGGAAGGGACGGGGAGGTGACGTTCACAAATCCTCCTTTTCTCCTCCAGCCCCTTGCATCACATTGCAGTGTTTCAAAGGGTTCCTCGACCCTCTGGAGGTTTTAAGTACTTTCCTGCAAAGGGAAGAAGAAATAAGCAAAAATCCCGCCCCCTCTTTTCTGCTGATGGTTGAACCCTTTGCTGGATCGAGGAGTCTTCTGTGACTGCAGGGAAATGACTGGGCGCAACCGCCAATGAATTGCTTTCAATCAGTGAAATTCTATGCTTGGTTTCAGTTTCCACACTTTGCATCAGACACACAGATGTACAGCTTTGCCCAAGGCGGCTGGGAACCTTGCAGCGGGAAACTGGTTTTGCTGCTTTGTGTGATTAAGGTTTGAGACCTCAAAACATTGTGTGAGCATTGACAACTTGCAAATTGTATCTGCTCTCACCAGGCTAGGCCTGCCTGAAGCAGCTTTGTTTTGGGGGCTGAAAAATGGCTTAATCAGGCTGAATCTCTCTCCCTCCCCCCTCTCCCCATGTGTGTGTATATATATTTTTTTCTACACTGCTTCTCTCTTTTTTGTCCTTGAGAACAAAGTTCCAGTCACTTTAATCAGTCACATGAAATGGTCGTTGGAAGAAGTCTGAAATCCTTGTCATCTCTTTTTCACATCTCATGAAGATTGTAACTCCACTCTGCGGCAAGAGTGTTAAGTAATCATTGTGGGTTGTTCTCTGGCACGACCTCCCCGTCTTCGCAGCAGATAGCATCTGGCTTGCAGTTTAAAGAGAACTATAATAAAGCTGCAAGGCCCTGCAGTTACTGTGCATGTTTTGTACCAGCTTGCTTTGAAATTAACATGCTTTGGTTTGTGTGGTTTCAGTAACGACAGCTGAAACATGGTACCTCCAGGGGCTACTTCTGTCTCATACTGCTGGCTTGTTCTTTTTCTGTGCTTTGCAAATAGAGCTGGTTTTGTGCAATGTACTAGTGAACTTTACGCAGGACAGCAATTATTTATTGGCAGCTATTGAAATAAAATGAGGCCTTGCCAGTTCATTAGGGCTGGCCCCACTCATATCTGAGAGATACAGTTGTTTCCTTGTTTGCCTTTCTCTCCTAGGGGATAGCAGTCAGTTACTGGCTTCGTCCAACATTTGATTACCAGTCCTACACACTTTCAGATGTTGTGACCTATACACGGGGCTGCATGGGTGGGAGCAAGAGAGCAGCGAAGGTCCCTGTGCGCACAGAAAAAGTGCAGAATGTGGCGTACAGTTTCCCGAGGATCTCAGCTCTTGCTCTCTAGCCCATACGGTTCTGCAAACGTGTTTGAAAGTGTGTGACCCGTGCCAGGCAAAATCTCAGAAATCAGAAATGTGACTGAATTGGTGTTTCAGCAACTGGGAGTGAGGAGGCTTCAGTGCCCTGTTCAGTTCTTGATCCTTCTCTAGATTAGCAAAAAAGAAGAAAAAAATGCAAAACAAGAGAAATTATACCGACACAATAAATTTACATATTGTACAGGTAATAGGATGCAGGTTTACTTGGTGTGGAATTTTGATTGCCTGAGGGCAGAATTTGTCCCCCCCCCCCCCTGTTATGAATACACATAGAGCTACTCATACATACATGTTTGCAAATCTTAGGTTGTTTCCAGATGACCTCTTTGTTGAACATTCATCCTGATTTGTTTGCAATGAGGTTACACAACATCAGGTCAAGTGATTGTTGTTCCATGATTTCCAATGCATGTTTGTGTCCTGTTCCTTATTGTAAAAACTCTGATATTGGGGTGGGGTGGGGAGTGGGTTAGTTACGCAAAATCACCAAATCAACTTTTAATTGTGGAGCCTGTATGTGATTGAATCCCACCCAAAACAGTCTGTAAGTGACCTTACTTACAGTACCCACTTATATCCATATTATGGTAACTCATTGTGTGCTTCTTTAGCACTCCCCAACTCTCTAAAGCAGGAAAAAGGAGGGTCAAATTGCAATTCCAATTAGGTTCAAGTCTATAAACCACAATACCCACAATTTCACTTAGCATGAATTATGTTTAAATGACTACAGACATTGCACTCATCCCTGAAAATGACTATCAAGTTGCAACTAAAACCTTATGTCTTTCAAATCCTTGGGCTTAACCTTGGCATCTCCTGCTTCGCAACGAAGGAAGTATGTGGTGATATGTATACATACATGGCCACTAGCTGCTGGACTCATGTATCTGATGGATGGCATGATGTTGAAACTCAATGGTGGGGTAGGGGAGCAGATGGCAGGAAGAAAGCAAGTAAACAAATACTCCTCTGGCTTCCTTCTGATCCACAAAAGCAGGTCAGTGTATAGAGCAGTAGTTTGTTGAAATAAAATGTAAAGGAGCACAAACTATTATGCAGGGGGAAGGGGGGAATTGTACAGGTGAGAACTCATTGACATGGCAATATTGGCAGGATCTTGTTTCCTTAGCATATAACCCAGTTCAGACTCCCTGCCAGACATATAGTATTCTGTTTGTATTTCACATATTTTATAACTACCCTCTGTGTATATTTCTTTTCCTTGAGCATTTCTGTCATATATTTTCCTGACACTTCATTCATCACTTGGAAGTTGAAGCCAGGGAAAAGAAATGCCAGTATAATATCTGCCTCCTTTCCCCTCCAAGACTGTTGGTCTTGTCTTGGAGTTCTTTGGCTTTCCCCTCACTACTTGAGTATATACTGGCAAGGCTGGCTAATTACTGCCGGGAGAAATAAGACAGCCACATCTTTCAGCATCTTTTGGAGCTGGGCTCCAAAGCTCACAGTCGTGGTGCAAATTAGAGATCCAAGACAGCCAGCAGTTAGGACTATTAGATTTCTACACTGACATTAAGCATAGGGAGTCAATGCACCATTGTATTTCATTTCAGTGGTTGGGTTTCATGGAGTGCCATTAAGGTTTGATATCAAGCTGCTCTTTTACTGGCAAATTGTTTTATTGGAGTGGCTAAAAGGTGAAAATGACACAGGCCAACCTGCTTTCCTTTTCTCTTGTTAGAAGCTTTATAACTGTTATAAGAGTTGTAAATGCACATGAGCTGGAACAATGGAGCATTGTTCTTTGGGCTCAGCAACAACATGTTGACAAGGAGTTGCTTTTAGCTGATTAACTGTCCAGATTCTGAATAGAATATTTTGGTGCTCGTAAACACCACATCTCGAATCAGGTAACGTTTGAAGGCAGCTAATAAAAGCACTGTTTTTAACTCACACGTACACTGCCTTGCCTTGCATGAAATCAGCAGATGTCTTCATTGTGCATGATCTCTGCAAAACAACACTGGACACCATGTATGCCTGTTTTCATTTAACCCAGATTCTCCGTAAATAATCTGCAGTGATTGAATTACTCATAAAACCACAGCATCCTTGTTTTGCCCTGAGTGTTTAAAGTTCTTAACACAAAAATTCACTTTTAAATGTATCAGGTGCTTTGAAAACATTTACCTTATTCATTTTGATTCAGATTCCTGGTTTAGGGGTGGGAAAGTGTAACTTGGCAGAAGGTGACATGCAGCAAATGCATAAATTGAGCTCAGATCTTAAAGGTCATACATTCTCTGGGCTACCATGTTCCATCGTAGTTTCCTTCTCCTGGCTAATGCTTTAAGGGAAAATGGTGAAGTCCTCTGTATGGACCTGTCTTAGATGCATTTTTTTATCACTGCAGTTCACAGAAGTTGCTCTGAGTAACTTCTGCCAGGTCTCAGCTCAGAATTACATTGTTCATGCAAATGCAGACGTGGGCACTTCATCCTAGTAGAATGAACAAACCAAGTCTTAAAGGGGCAAGCCAGCTACTTTGCATTTCTGCAGCTCAAAGTCACTTCACTGTTTTCCTTCTCGCAGACAGTAATTTTCAGCGTTGTGAAGAAACAATTGTAGCACAGTGTGCTAAATGGCAGGTGATGACAGTTTGGTAGGTAAGACAGGTATTGTTGACAGCTTATAGCATTACACCCTCAACAGGAAAGCTGCCACAATATCCTTGTAGCAGTGGGAGGTTTTTATTTTGGGGGTGGGGGAGGCATTAGCACAAGACCTTTTCAGTATTTTTTCACTTTGGGCAACACTGTCTTGTTAACCTTTCTTCTACCATAGTTGCTTGGGGATCTCAGAGAGAGACATTCTTTGGATTTCACTCCACATACATGCTCAAAGTGAAAAAGAAAATCTCACAGATTTTTAATTTGCAGAAAAGGAAGGATTTTTATCAGTGAACTTTCATAGGTTTTATAACTTCCTCAGTGTGACCCTTAGGTGTAGCAGGGAAGCTGGTATTATAGGTGTTTTTTTTTAACTAAGCCTTTAAGACTGGATAATAGAAAAGCAAATAATACAGAACATAGATTTATGCATTGAAGAGGCATTATGGATAATCATGTTCCCTATTGGCACTGGACATTATAGGCCTATTCAGGACGCTATATTCTTCGTGAATAGTGAGTTTTCCACCTCTTGGCTGCATCCCTGGCTTAGTGGTGGAGCATCTTCTTTGCCTGCAAGGGGTCCCAAATTTGGTCCTCAGCATCTCTGGTTAAAAGGACCTGAGGTATCAGGGTGAGGAAAGGCCTCTGCCCAGCAGCTGTTGCCAGTTATGTTACTAGACTCAATGTGGCATTCAAAAGAGTGCAGAAAGTGATCACTGATACTGGATGCAAATCCACCAACACAAGACTTGATCCTCAGCTCATCAGGTATGCCAGCCTGGAGCTGGTGCAATGAAAATTTAGGAGGGGGAAACATCTCCCCCTGCCCTGCTCAGTGTTAGTCAGCAAGACTTGGGATGTGGTGGTGAATCTGCTGCTCCTTTCATCCCCAATTCCATATAGGATAGCTCTGCTAGTCTTGTAAAAACCAAATACTTTGGTACTTTTAAAACTTTGACCTGTAATCTATGACACACTATCGTACTGCTTCCCATATACATGCTTAGATGTAAAAACCAAGTAACTGGAAAATAGTTTTTTAAAAAACAAAAAAACCCTAAAAATAATTATTATATATTGTAGATTCACATTTTTAATTTTAATTAACCCACTCTATGTCTGAATGCTGGCAAATGCCCACTTTCAGATGGTTCAGAGTGACTGCTTCATCAATATGTAAATCAAATGTGAAATGAATTAGTTGCCCTTTTGATTGGTGTTTTAAAACAGGCATATTCTGCAACGTGTTCTTGACACAGTAATAGTGCACCAATGGTGGATTTATTCTTCTGGATTTATTATTTAGTTTGTTTTGCAATGCTACCACATTATTACTGTCCGGAAGGGCTCTTAGCATAACAAAAGTAGAATAAAAATAATCCATATCATTTGCAGTATAAAAAGTTGTGATATTCCAGCAGGAAGATCTGCGATACAGACTGATTAGAAGGGAAGCAATGTGACCACCCCTAAACTTTTGCAGGTGCCAGCAGTAGTGAAAGAAGGATCACATAAGGCTGTCCTGATAACACAATGAGCACAAATCATAATGAATGCACAATAAAAGGGATGTCTAGAGGGTCCCTAAAACAAGCACGTAGCACTTAATGGTTGCCAAATAATTTGCAGCAGAGTGGGATACAGCAGAGTCTGGTAGAAGTGAATAAATAGGTAGGGTGTGATTAAGATGCCAGGAAAGATTGAGCAAAACAATAAGAAGCATAACTTTTTTCTTCTTATTATTTTTAAGTTCCGTGGTACCAGGAAGGCTGTACAATTGCACATCCGGGAAGTTGTCATTCTTCAAAAACTGAAAAGAAACATGCATTTTAGTTGTTGTTTGCTTTGGTATCACTGGTTCTAATGCAGCCCCAAATTACAAGTCTACCAATGGGAGAGTGCTGCTGGTTAATAAGTGCCATTCAAATTCCTGATAGCAGGATTCTTAAGAAAAATAAATGTAGATACTGTAACAAAGCTACTGTACATAAACTTAAAAAAAACCCCTGTTAAAATAACATTCCCAGCCTTTTCAAACTAATGACATCAAGGAGGTGCCAAGATAAGGCTTGCATTGGCATGTCGAGGCATGTTTGCAGAATATTAGTCCTGTGTGTGAAGATAAAAACCAAACACTTTTCTCAGGGTCAACATGTAGTGCTTATTCACAAGTGGTCAGCTGAGAATGAAAGCAACAGGGGAATGCAAGGAATGCCTTGCAATGCAAACAATCCAATGGAATTCACATCTCTATGTATAGAGATTAATTATGATTGATGCTGTTTTAACACCTCTTTTTTTTTCTTTTGCTCCAAAAGACTTATCTCCATATGTCTTAAATCAAGGGTTGATTTCTACCTAATGGCAGATACTGGGCATCCTCACATGACTTTCTTTTCTCTTTCTAACCCATCCCCAACCAAATAATACATATTTCCCATTGCTCCACAAAATAGGCTGTCATGTTGTGCCCTGCCATGCTTCCCACTAGTGACAGCCAGTGATGTGGAAGGGCAGTGAGAAAACAATGTAGGAAAGGGAAGAGACATCAAATTCGGGAGAACAACATGATGTCAAATTACAGGACAAGTAAAGCTACACATTACCATAAAGAACATGGTGTCTGCCACAATATGTACTTTAACCCTAAGGACTACTTTGTATAGTCAATGGCTTTGCAAGGGCCCTGAAATTTCTCTCTCTCCCTTTAAAAAATGCTACTCATTGTGATGTTGATTGATGTAAGTACCTGTTCCCCCAACTGATAGAGCAGCTGTTGGGGGGGGTATGTATGCACCATTCTGTGGTCCTGTTTTCTTTCTTCTGCTCTTTTAGATAAGGCAGCAAATTTGTGCTACGCCAGGCTCCTGTGGCAGCCATTTTGTGTTACGCCACAACCTACAGCATCCATTTTGTGGCATGCCATGACCCCATGGAAGCCTCTTTGTGTTCTGCCACATCCTCATGGCAGCCATTTTGTGTTATGCCACACACCCTCTGCACTTTCTAAAAAAATTTCAAGTTGGCCCCAAAGACTGGCAACCCCTGATCTAGGTCCTGGAGATGATTTCTCAGTCTTGTTGGGTTTTTTGTGGGGAGGGGGGAATGGGGAGGTGGGGAGAGTCAAACTATACCTTGTGCTTTTCAGGGAGCTCTGTTTTTATGAGCTCCATTGGATGTTCTTAATGCCATCTATGACACTTCCAGGTAATGCTGTTTTCCAGCCCTCGATGTCTCTCCAAATCTCCCTCTCTTATTTGCATTAAACCCAGAGTGCGCCACACTAGCAAGAATAAATAGCTACACCCACATATTGCTTTCTACAACAGTTAGATTGGCACATGGGGAAGGGGAAAACAAAGCCGTATTCTCTAAGGGATCGTTATGCATGAGGTGGGAACACTTGCAATTAAAAAAGAAAAGAAAAGCATGCCCTCTAACAGCAGAAATATGATAACAGGTGCACTTGTATGGCATTAAACCAGGGACTGACTCATTGCACAACAGTGAACCAGCAAAGCAAGCAAACTGCTTTCACAAGGCAGGGTGGCTCTCATTCAGAACGTTTGAAAGGTCAACTGTCAGGGGTTCAGGAGCAGAGGCACAGGAAAGGGAGGAAATAGAGAGCGAGGGGGAGGAGTCCGAAGGAAATGTTAGCGATGACAGCGGTCCGAGGTCTCTGAGTCTTTCCAGCGAATCGGAAGATTCACAGAAAGGGGCTCCCTTGGTCAGAGCAAGGGGGTTGCCGAGGGGGACACCCCAGGAAGAAGGGGCCAGAGGGGACTCAGAGAGCAGCAGTTGGAAATCAGGACCAGCGTCCACACCAGAGTGCAGTAGGGGGGGAGGAGTCCCAGGCATCGGGATCAGGCGGCGCACTGCCAGTGGGAGGACATGAGTCAGGATTGGCCACGCCTCCATCGGGGAGCGAGGAAACGGTCGAGAGGAAGGTTGAAGGCTGGGCGCGCGCCAAGTCTCAAATGTACAGGAGGGCGGCGCAGTTGGCAGCCCGGATAGGGAGCCAGGTCCCAAAGCCCGCCGAAAAGAGGGGAGGAGTCAGGAGGGTCATCGTCAGAAGAATCCAGGAAGGAAGGGACGCCTGGGGGGAGCAGGACCCAGAGGAGAAAGGAGAGACGTAAGAGGTGGAGTAAGGCTAGAATCTTAAACTGGTGTACAGGGTGCGGAGACTCAGATGGAGCTTCGCCGATCTAACCCCTAGACGTAGAGCTGGGGCGCTCCGGCTTGAAAATGGAAACTGTACTTCAATAAAGACTTTTGCACATTACTGCCGGCTAGCGTTGGTCCTCTGTGAGCTGGGACCTGGAGCCAGCTCTGACATCAACATTAGAGATATTAGTTTATGACCTGTGTGGTTTTGCATTCAAATATTGGGGGGGGGTCTGTTTTTTAAATCTCCCCCCTCTCTTTGATACCCAAGTAGAAGAACTGGTATCATACTGGTCAGGAGCTGTAGTGTAAGTTTGTGGATATGGACCAATGCCAATACAAATATGAATATGTTAGAGTGCTAGCTACTAAACAGCGTTGCTAACCGTCAGATAACAGGCCTGGAGTTATCGCTGTCTTTTTTGCATTGCAGCACATTAAGCACAAGTGACTTGTCTTCACAGTTTGCCCCCGCCCTCCCTTTTATCTGTGCCATGTTGGTCTCTACCCTTGCTGTAAAAAATGCTGCCAGCTTTGATCTCCCACCTGTTTCAACTGCCAGCTGCCTGGGTGTTTTCTCCCATGATGTTATTTAAGGGTGGACCCTTCAGTTACATTGTGCAAAAGCTGGAGCTGTCTAGCTAATTTATTTGAAACAATCCTAGTGAAATAATTATTAGGAGGATTCCAAAATAGTGCATGTGAAAAGTGCAACCAGCTGTCTTGGTATTCAGAGGTACTGTGCAGCAAATTACAAAAAGTTAAGCACCAAATGCAGAGGGATCTCTGCCTAAAGTTCAAGGGGTATGGAATTCTGCCCTAAAGCCCCCAGATTCTGAGTCCAGAAAGCCTGTATTCTGCTAATTAGTGGCAGATCCAGAAAAGGCAGTGAGTAAGGAAAATAAGCATATTGCACTATGGGAAAGACCAATGAAGAATAGTTGCACCATCATTGCTGCAAAACCCACCACTAAACCCTTCCCTCTCATTTCTTGACTTTTATGTGAAATAATGAGAGCTAGAAACCTGCTCCTTTAAAAATAGTTAAAGAATAATTAAATTATGGTTTCTGAAGAAGGATGAGAAATCTTTCAGTTTCTGTGGACTTTAGGGGAGTTTTAAAAACTGGTTGTGATGCAGCCTGGTCAAGAAAAGGATGCAATTTGCTTTGGCTCACTGAGAATAGCTTTTTAGATCCCAGCCCATATGGCTGTATGCTAGTGCAGCTGTCAATCAAACAGAGCCTATGAGGCGTCGAGAGACAATCCTCCTTCTTTCCTAGAGAAAACATCTCAGAAAATATCTGAAAAGTGGACTTTTGTGCACACCCCTGTTAAAAGGGGGTCTCAGATGTCACCCCCAAATAGATAAGGCCTGTCAGAAATCTGATATTTGACACATACGTAGTTGAAGATACTACCATGGCACAATGCCATTTTGTGAAAGTTTTTGTTTGATATCACACACCGCACACTGCTGCAGTGTTAGGAGTGGATGCAAACAACAGCCCAGGTTGAGCTGTGTTGCTGTTGGATTTTCACAACCAGCTCTTTAAAGCTTACAGCGATAGCCGAAGGAGAATGAGCCAAGGGGGAGCTCACCCGCCGAGCTTTATCCAGGAGCACTTATCCAGCAATGTGGTTTCTTTTTAGAAAGGGGTTATCTGAGCAAAGCAGCTGCTAGATCAGCTTTCTGCACGGCCTCCTTCAGCACTGTACTGCGTGCCCTTCAAAGGATCGGTTACAATGGGAACCACTGTCTATCACTGACCTGGTACCTATCCTCTCTGGGATGTTTCTCAGGGTAGTCTCTTCCTGAAGCTTCAAACCTCATTGGTGCCTCCCTTGCCCTCTGCTGATATGCGGCAATTACAATCAAACCCACAAGCTGTTGTAACTTGCGTCTCAGGTCTAGCCCTGAGCTTAGCAGCCCCAGGACCAGGCATGTACAATGCCGTCCTCCTCGAGCTCTGCAAATTGGTACAAAAACAAACAAAAAACAAACTCTCAATTGAATATTTTCCTTTTACCATCATGAGTTTTGATGCACCAACCTGGGCCCCTAAGATATATTAGTTGCCCACTCACTCTAGATGTTCCTACTGACTGCGGTGTAAGGCAGGTCCAAGCAATTTTCACCTGAAGAAGCAGAACTGAGCTCCCTCTGGCCTCTAGCCACGGTGCCTATCTGTAGTGGTGTATCGTGGAAGAACAGCCGTAATCTGACTCAGTTGTTAGTTTTGGCCTGGCCTCAGGGAAGATGTATGTTTTGGAAAGGTGCATGTTTCTTGTGTAATAAGACTTCTATTCATTTTAAGAGAAGACAAAGCGAGGCTGCCTTGCAAGCCTTTGGAGTGGTTCTACAATGTAGAGCCAGACAAACAGGGCATTTGTTCTGCAACTGTGAAAGGCTGAAAAGATCCCTTTGAAGCAAAGGTGGTGTACACCTTTAATCCCAGAGCGCGGGGAACAGCGGTATTGACACAGTTGCCTCCAAGCGCAGAGGACTGAAAGGTGGAATTCAGAGAACTCAGCCACTTCATTTGCAGCACTGTTTGCAAACTGAATACTCCTCAGTGGTTACCAGGTAACTAGAGACCAGAGAATTCTGCCAAACTCTGTGGCATCAAGATTAGCAGAGGCTTCTGTTCCTCTTAAAAGGCAGACATCTGCAGCAACATCATAATGCCCGCCTGACTAATGAATTGTCATGGGGCCATCTTTTCCCCAGCACTCCAGAAAACAAAGGCCTTGGTGCCTGTGAAAACTTGCTTTTGGAATTCGAAAGGTGGGCAATGAAGCTTACAAGCACTCCTTCGTTTGTAAAATGTCAAGTGATTCCAAAGCGGCTGAGCCTTCTTTCTTGGAAGTAGAGTGACGGTGGCTCGAATTCAGAGAGAGATCTGTGACCACCTTCTTTACAATCACCCACTTGGAATTGGATTCAGTCTTTGCCTCCTAGAAATGTAAGGCATATAGTGGGGTTTCAAGTGTTCTCGTTTGGTGTGTTTGGCCCCTTGCAAGTATACTGTGTACAGGTTCCCCACTTGCGACACATCCATGCCATTCAGAGGCTTCCCAGCCAACAGAGTAAAAAGAGCAATGCGGTTTCTGCAGCTTTTCACGCCATACTAAATATTTTTTCTGTCTGCTAGAGCTTCTTTCATGAATTCTCACAGGCATGCATAGATATAGTCATTTTATGGTATAATACGGAGGTTGCACCGGCAGATCCCAGTGCAGGAGTATCTCTGCTTGAGCAAATGTCTTAGCCACATTTCCAGAGAGCTGCATGTATATACTGAAAACTGGCATGTGGAGTCCACAGGAACTTCTTGTATTTGGTGACTCCTTTGTCCTGAATAAAATGGTCACAGACTCACCTGGGGGGATGTTAGAAGAAATGCAGGAACCGGTGAAAAGGGAAACAATAGTAGCTTTTCATTTCCTTCAGTTCTCCAGCATCTGCATGAACTTTGCTAAGAATAACTAATCTCTACTAGTGTGCCTTTGGGAAAAGGACACATGTGCCATCCCAAAGGGGCTGACCAAGCGAGGTTTACTGTTGAATCGTTTTCCTGAGATTTCCTTTGGAAAAACAATTTTTCTTCTTCCAAGTGTAATTCTGTATAGTGGTTAAAAATAACTAGTGACATTTTCCATGCAACTTGGAGATTGTAAAGCAGGCATCCCCAACCTACGACCCTCTGGGTGTTTTGGCCTACAACTTCCATGATCTCTAGCTAACAGGACCAGTGGTCAGGGATGATGGGAATTGTAGTCCAAAACATCTGGAGGGTCGAAGGTTGGGGATGCATGTTGTAAAGATTAGCAAAGGCATAGGCAAACCTGGCCCTCCAGATGTTTTGGAACTACAACTCCCATCATCTCTAGCTAACAGTGGTCAGGGATGATGGGAGCTGTAGTCCCAAACATCTGGCGGGCAGAGTTTGCCTATGCCTGGATTAGCATCTCCAATTCATGATGATATTGTGGTGAAACCTGCTCAAGGAAGTTGATGGAACTAGGCTGTTGTGGTGGTTAAAGTGTCAGACTAGGAGCAAGATCTGCCAGGTTCACAAAACCCTCTTGGTGGTGAAAGTCACTGGGTGAACTTAGGCTAGTCACTATCTTGGACCACTCATGGTCAGCTTAGCCTACTTTACAGAATTGCTTCAAGGATAAGATGGGGTAGGGAAGAATCCTGTTTGCTGCCTGAGCACCTGTGAAGATGAAGGGGTTTGACAATGGGGCTGATGAAAGGTGACTTCTTCATCCTGATAGTCTCGCAGTCCCTGAAAAATGCTCTACGAGATCTGGGGTGCCCTGTAAATTTCAGTATGCTGTGGGGTACAGAGGACTGAGAAGAACCTTGAAAATTTGGCAGTCTCAGCCCCCCAACCCCCCACGTGTTCAGCAGGGTCTCCTGGATTTCACTAGAGCATAGGGAGGGGATGCCATAGGGCAGAGGGGATGGGAAAGCCATCTCCTGCCCATCCCATTGTGTGTGCTTAACTCTGAATCTAACCCAATAAAAATATACAGGATTGTAGCCAGTTCTGTTGCTCCACTAAGCATTTGCACACCATCAAAATCTGCTCCAGAAGGATGAAGGACCCTTCTGGAGTAGATTTTGAGGACACACAGGGAGCAGAGAAGAAGAAAAAGTCCCACTATATGAGTGGAAGTCCACACAGACAGTGTCGGATACAACCCACAGAATCTAACCCAATAAAAATATGCACTGAAGTGCATCTTCACTGAAGCCTAGCAAACATGTAATCTTAATGAATGACAGAGAGATACTCAGTATGAGCCAGCACCCTTGTTTCCTAATTGCAGTGTTGTTTTGTTTTTTCTTCTTTTTCAGAATTGTCAGACTTTTAACAGCCTTAGCTGCCTTAGCATCACAGCGGATGATTGCTCTCAACAGAATCAGTTCTCACCTGGCATCAGCGGCACCAAGTCATGGACAACAGCATCCCTTTGCACCTTGGACGTCATGCCAGGCAGGACACCAGCCTGCACCCCTGTGCCAGAGCCACACTCAAACGCAGAAGAATGTAAATCTAGCAAAGAAGATTTCTCCTACGAGGAATCAGAGTTTTGTGCCACAGAAGACGAGAGCAGTAGGAAAGAAGAGGACAACTCCTCATGGAGGAACAGTGGGACAGGAGGGGATAACATCTTTCAGTTGGATGGCGAATTAGATATTGAGCAGATAGAAAACAACTGAGAAGACAAAGTGAGATGATCTGCCTGCATCAAACGTTTTAGGAGTGGTAAGATCACACAGGTTGTCAATGCAGGCAGGAAAGGAAGTCCACATTTTTCTTCCCCACTGATGGGTGGGAGAGGACAAGAAGCTTTGCCAAAATTTCATCAGGTATCTTGTTAAACCTTGAAACTCTTTTAGAACTACTGTAGCCCGTGAGGTTTTGCAAACATACTTTAGAGAAAACCTCCAAATTATATCAGCACATTAAAAAACAAAAAGCTTTGTGGATGAATCAAAACTTGAAATTGTGGAATGTTAGAATAATAGCAACTAAAGTGTTTTTTTTTAAGTGTCTGGAACAGGGCTTAAACAAAAAGTAAGGAAAGACCAGAAAGTCTGTTGCTTGGCTTCATTCACAAATAGGCAATGTCAATATCTAGACAGGCAGCTGGTTCATCCTGGTTCATGGGAATCCTGATCCACTTTGGGTTTTGGAAAAGAGTAGAATATTCATTTTTTTATTTTTGCTGTTGGACAATATTCATTGTAAACTGCACCTCAGATATCCTTATTAAAGGGAATGGGCAAGGTGGAGATTAGCATTGTTCTCTGAATTCATTTTCTGTTGGATTATTTCAGGTTGCATATCTGATAAGATTCTACAAGGTCTCACAATCTTGACTTTCCAGTCCTTGCCGTAGAATCACAGTAGCCTTTTACAGTCTGCTTGCTCCATTTTTTATTCCGTAGTCATCAAGAACGCCATTCAAAGAGAGCACACACAGTTTGCCCTGATCCAGTACAGCAAGATCCGTAGCCATAAACAGGTTTCCAGCCAAGGCAGGTATATATGAGCATTTGGACACACATTCTCATCAGTGCTCATTTGGTCCATGTTGGACCGACTGGATGCATAACCTCATTTGGACCCTTCTCCTTTGTACCTTGCAACTGCAGCTGGATTTCAGGCCATTGTCTTGAGGAGAGGAACATACAAAACATTTGTGCATCCAGAAATTTAAATAAATGCCAAAGCTAAATTGGCAGTGCTATATCCATAAGGCTAAACTGGTGTTTTGGTTCTATGGTATAAATGCACAAGGATCAGAAGAGTTAGTGAATAATGGAGGTTGCTGAGATTAGGGCTTGGCATCTTAAAATGATTATAAATTCTTTGATTATTATTTTCTGGAGTGGATAACATATAGTTTCCTAACTGCATTTTGTACAGCTTGTCACCACCAACAGAACTGACATTATTGGCATGCCACATTCATCAGCAGAAAGAATGGAAGGTAACAACTTGTTTTGCATGTACAGCATCACTTTGGAATTGTTTTCATCTCCTAGGACTAAAAAAAGGCAAAATAGCAATAATAGGGTGTGTACATAACATTGTTGAGTTTTCTCTTGGTCTAGTTTTCCTTTTACAACATACACTGGATATGTCCGCAGTAGCAGAATTATAGGTTCAGCTGTCAAGCTAAACCATGGGTTGGCATAATGTAAGCAAGCCCTGGCCTTCGTGCTCCCCTCCATCATGCCATTCTGCATTGCCTCTTTTGCAGCAAAACCAGTTTACTATTACATCCAAACCACTAGACTATGGTTGCATCTGCCCTCCAAACTAGACCAATAATGATCAAACTGTAGTTTGCAGCTGCGATATGGTCACAGAATCATGGTTTGCAGCTTTGAATATAATGGCGCATTATGCTTTTGTCCATAAAAAGGGGAATGGAATCAGAGCAGGGGAGAAGAGGGTGTGCAAGCCTGAGGCTTGGTAATACAGTGGATGCTCGGGTTGCGAACATGATCCGTGCGGGAGTCACATTCGCAACCCACAGTGCCGCTTCTGCGCACACGTGCATCGTGATTCGGCGCGTCTGTGCATGTGCCAAAACCCGGAAGCAGCTAGCAGCACTCCAGAGTTACCTTCCACCTCTCTCATTGATAGTGGTAAACAATAAGCTTTACACTTTAGCAAGCATAACTCAGTTAAATAAGCTGTTCAGTTATCTACATGAAACCAATGTTTTGTTTACCTATAGCAGGCAGAGGGGAGGGGACAATAGAGGTGACATTTTTCATGACGATGACACCCTACTTTTTTTTTTACTGCACTTTTTTCTGCAGTGGTGCAGATGTTTATGGCATCCAACATCACAGTAGATTCCATCCAAGCTTTAGATTTACAAATGTCCAGTCAAACTGCACAATTTTTTGTTGTTGCTATGTTGATTTCTGCTATTTCCTCCCTATCAGATGCTCACATAATGTGCAAGCCAAAAAAAAGATAATAAACTAATGATAGTAAAGTAGGGAGAGGATTGCTTTAATTCTGAACGTCCTGTATTATACAGTTTGATGCCATTCAAGAACCTGGTGAACATACCTATGAGCCCTGGGCTTCCCAAGCTCTCAGTTTGTTGTGTGCATGCCAAGTTAACATGCACTGCTGGTTTCAGCAATTGACAGAACAGGTGCTCAGCACAGTGACAAGCAGATCTCCCCAGGTTTCGTTTGGAATGGACTTTCCAAAATGATCTAAATTTGGCTCAGATTCAAGCCTGAATTTTTACACTCAGGCCCGTTAATATCTCAGTGTCCTCTTAGTAATGCCATCAGGGGTGTGATAAAGCTTGGAACCAGGCTCCCTTCTTCCATTTCCCTTTGCAAACCTTCTTGTCGCCTATTTTCTCTGCCCCCTCCTCCTTGTGGTGGCTGTTGCCTTAATTACATGGCAGGAACATGTTGGGCCCAGGGAATTAAAGACTGGGAAACAGCAGTTCCCAGGACTTGTAGCAGCCAGGGTGTTTCTGTGAGCATACTCAGGTGTATCCTGGGTGGCCAAGGTGCCTAGAAATGGCAGCTCCCCAGCTTCTTATAGTTTCCAATCTCCACAGTGCTGTTGTTGCCTAATGAATACAGCCACCCTTCTTGTCATTGCCTATTTCTGCAGTAGAAGTCAAGAGGAGGCTGTGGTGGAAGGAAGGCTGGTGCTGGTGAGCTCAGACGGAACCTGGCAGAGATTTGGGTTTGGCTTGTAGGATGCTTGGGAATTTTGGACTGGGGAAGTTCACACCTTGAACTCTCTAGTTCAAAACTTCATCCATTTCACTGTTGTGGATTGCTGAGACTGCCACCTCCTGATCAGAAGAAGGCTTGTTGGACATGTTGAAGGGGGATTTTCCCATAGACTCACCACACACTGAAAGGGGATTCTTTACCTTCTAAATTTCTCTATGCTACAAAACGATATTAAGGCACACCCAAGCTTTCTCTGCCTCAGGAGTGGAAAGCTTTTTAGTTTGACCATATGGGTATTGCTGCCCTCCATGAGAAAGCAAATGCCCATCTTTGGAGCTACCCCAGCATGGTAGAGAGGGAATAGGGTAGGGTGTTGTGCTGCGATGAGCGATGAGGGAATAGGGTAGGGTGTTGTGCTGCGATACTCTCCAACTCATCACAGTATTGGTTTGAAATTGGTGAGATGTGTGACACATTGAGCCCCTGCCATTTACCATTATGGGTTGCTTGCAGTTGATACTGAGGGCTGATCTCTTCTACCCATCTAACAGTTCAGGTGGACATGTTCTGTATTACGTTTTTGCCCATAGTAAAATGAGCACCTAAGCATTTCACTAATAAAGCAAAATCACTGCTGGGTTCATGTTGAACAGAAAAATGAAATCTCATTCATCTAAGCCTATGAATGCCAGTAGTCTGAGTTTAGTGGTTAAACGCTCAGGTCACCATGGGCAAAAGCATCCAGACAAGCTAACCAGCTCATGTGAATCAGTCCTCAGTAACTACCACAACCACAGCATTGTCTAATAGAGTATACAGGGACAATCTGAAAGCATACTGGATGTGCAGGAATGAACACCATGTACACAGTTTAAAAACAAGTGTTTGTATAATCACGTCAAAAGGACAGAAGCAAAAAGTATTCAGTCAAAGTCGCATGCTTTGAATGGTAGTAGAATTGATGGGCTATCTGGACGTGTTCAAATGAGATCTGTTCCAAGGTACTAGAAGAATCCATGAGTCCAATATGGTACAGTCATGTTGGAGCAGTCGATTGTTTAAGGCGGCACAGAGATTCTGTGGCACATAGGGCTGTTGACCGTTTTATGCACGGTGTAAGAGCCATATTGTCTTCATTGGCCCTTCTGAATCTCATCCTGCAAAGAAAGTGCTCTTTGTCTGCCTTTTCCCAGTTACTTTTCTCTTTTCAAACTCACTGGGTTGTACCCAAGAAAGTTGTTCCACTTCCTGCAGAGTAAAGCTACCCCTGCCTCTCCTCCTCCTGTGAAGCCTCAAAATTGGGGTTTCCCCCCAACCCTCTGGAGCAGATTTGAATAAGGGGGGAGAAAGTTCTGTGCTAACAGATCAATTCCATCGGATAAAGCCAAGGTATGTAGCCCTGAGTCATTGTAATGCAGCACTGCACCAACTGTCTTGTCAAGATAGTTGTAGACACTGGGTTGGATCTGGACTAAGTATGCATACTTACATTGGGGTAAGTCTTATTGAGCTCTGGGACTTACTTCTGAGTAGATATGCATAGGACTGTGTGAATTGGCTGAAATTATGTCTCATTGAAATCAATGGGACAAGATTATCATGAATTAAGTCCAAAGTATTTCAAAGGGGACTCAGTTCCACTCACTTAGTCTGCATCCAGCTCTCTCTCTTTCAATTTGTTTCATGCACCTGGTGTGACAAAACATACCCCAGCATGATTTGATCAGAGATCTCCCTAAATCTCAGTCTGTTATCATCGCCCAAGCACACTTTTCTTTAACATAACCCTCTTACAGTTGAAGTAACTGTTCCTCACTGTGACATCTAAACGTGGGCTCACCAGCACAGAGGACATCTTGTGTCACCGTATTACACTTCTTGAGACAGCATTATCAGTTCTTTTATGGCTAGCATGCATATATCTTGGTTTATGACACTTCAATTTGCCTTTAGTGCTACAGGGATAGCATTTCTGATTTTGGATTAAA